TTGGCGGCTGGATATGTTGTCTCATATTTCTACTTTCACGAGTCAACCTAGCAACCTAGCAACTTAGATCCAACAACTTTGTTTGGGACCGACGCAAGTTGCAAACTTCAGGGGCACACTTTACACAAGCCGAGCATCCACAAGATGTCAGGCAGTTTCCGCTGTCATCCCATTTGCATGTCACAGAAAGATGGGGTGTCACGGGCGGATAACTATCAGAACTATCAGAACTTCAGGGTCTTGCTTGGCTCTTGCTTGATATGTCATATGAAGCCATATGGAGCGTGTATAAGACAGATTACATCATGTTTTCACCTTGAAGAAGCTAATCTAGCAGCGTTTGCTTACAATATAAGCGTCTTTTTTTTCGATATCTTACGTATGCTAAGTACGAAGTACATAGACCGGTCCACCTAGAAAGTCCACCGAGAAGGATTTCCGAGGTTCGCGGGCAATCCTCCCTCCACGTTTTCGCCATGCGTATGGAGAGAACCTTGATCGCTCGCATTTAACATCCATGTCGATTTTGTCTTTACTGTTTTCAACTGCATTGTGACACCTTAAGAACACCGCAGAATTTTCGACACTATTTGATTTGATTTTTTTCTTTTTTCTTAGTAGGGGTTTGTTCGCCCTACGATCCCAAACAGGGGGTTCTAATATCATTTGACGAGACAAACACCAACACAGCGTTGAAGTGCTTGCAGGTTGCTTATGCAATGCAAAAGCAAGTGCTTTTGTGGTAATATCAAGCAGTACAGGGCACTAGAAATGATAGGCAGGAATAGGGACAGAGTCCGCTTACTGCAGATGACTGACAGATAGCGAAAGGGAGATCTTGGCTCCAACGGATTGGATAATTCTAGCGGAGTGCGCACGCGAGAGCGGGTCAAACTGACCGAATTCGTACATGCGAAATTTCAAAAGCTGATTTTAGGGGAACGACGGCGTTGCGACGGCTTCCTTTTCCACAGCTTAGGGGCAGCGTAGGAAAGGGAAACATGCCAAAGGGGGAAATCCGAAATCAGCTGCAGGCACAGATACTACTCTTGTATCGTCAATTTCCAACCGTCCAACCACAGCTGTTGTCCAAAATTCCCAACTTACCTTATATAAGCCTTGGCAAGCATCGTTAAGGGTTACCGTTGCCGGGTACTCTTCCGAACTGTGATAGTGCCTGAGTGCTATGGTTTTTCATCAATCCCACGCGCGAACCTAATCAATGGAATATGGAATTCGTATCTGTATATATAATACGTACGATAGTCCGTGTCATGTTGACTCGAGAATCCAGCTACCGCCTCACCGGAATTTGCCAAGTTACCTAGGCACGATTACTGGACGAGGCAACGCTGCCAACAGCTAGGTCAAATATCGCTCGACTGCCCGAAGTCTCCCCCACGGACACGCTATCTTCATTGAGTTGACAACAACGAAGATCATCATCTAGATCGCGAAGAACACGCCCACTAACCGTGGATCACCGTGTTTAATATTGATACACTACTACAACCAAAAACAGAAAAAAGTTTGCCGAAGGCTCAATTTAATCGATAACGATCCTGGGCGACCAGGTAACGAACTTGCACAGGAATCTATCATTGCGTTTGTGTGGTTGAGGGAAGAATAAGGGTATTACTAAACAATGGAGAGCCGAGCTCCCTAATCCTTCGAACCCCGTGCTGATACTCACTTCCATCCGTATTCTGAATACTATCCACACCACTTAAAGGATGCCTTTGAAGGAATTTCGTAGATATCACGTAAAACACATTGCTCCGATATCAGGGAGATAGTACAGCCAAAAGAAAGAAAGAAAAGGCTTGATTCAAAAAAAATTTTCCAAAAAAAACAATACGCGTGTTTCAAAATCTTCCGGAACATCGTGGCCGGCGGTCCTTTGATATTAAATTGACGGACACCGAGCGCTAAGGCGCTTGTCTCGCCCCCTGCCTTCTTCTTCGGCCGCTTCGGCGGGAGTACACTACTAGTAGGTACCGGGGGTAGGAATAATATGTACCAACCTAATGAAGATTTCACATCCGCATATTTTTATTCAACTCTATTCTGCTATGTAGTCAATGCTCTCGCCAAGGATCGCCAGAACTCGATCCGACAGCTAGGAAGCAAGCCACCTCGATTCGTTCCCCGCGAGGCGCAGGCCAAGATCGAGCAAATGCCATCTTGAGACCCAACGAATGACGAGTAACCTAGTCACGGTTGGGCAGCTATTGGCCATTGTGATCGAGTGATCTTTGCATCTGTAACTCTATCTGGTTCATCATCGATCGAATAGAAGATCCTAGATGTGAGCGGTAAAACAGTTCCGATTACGTCTGCATACTTACATAAGGTACGTAGTCATGCAATGGATCGAGGGGCGTGGGCAGCATGTATGTGCTTGCAAGGAGATTTTCAACCTTCATCACGGCAAAATGTATATATTATTCATACTCCAATAGCCATTGAGCACTAGAAAAGCCTTCAGAAGAGAATAGTATAGCCTCGAGGTTAAATTGGCGGGGCCGCCTGAGGCTGCAGTAGTTTACCCTAGTACCTGTCAACTGCCGACGTGATGTTGTTTTCCTGCTGTATAACAAGTCGTGATGTGACGAGGACCGCAATATCTCGACCCTCGAGGTCGGTGGTGATAGCTTATTCGTGGAATACTATGAATGACTAAAGTTTTGCAAGGAGTACCTAGGTAGTCTTCCAGGTTTCTATCGCCATCTGCATCACGACCGTCCCCAGAACAACCCCCATATGTTCGTCTGATGGTGAGCAAGTGCATGCATGAAGCAATCCCGGCAAGTTGACCTTGATTTTCTGCGACGGCATCCTTAATCTCTACATATACTCATGCATCCCATGACTTCTTGACTAGGAGCTGTTCAAAGGTAAACGCAGATCACATTACCCCTCCATATCCCTCCATATCACATGTATGCAGCCTTGTTTCCGAATAATTGATATCGAAGCCCGTTGAAATCTGTATCACCGCACGGTTACATGGTTTGGAACGACATTAGAACATCGGAAGATTCGTCAACATCAGAATCTTCATCTCTCACTAGGTTACAAACTACAGGCGAGCTAATCAACTTCCAAGTTTAGGCTACGATTTCTGCTTCTAGAGCATCGGGTGGCAGGGAAGCCCGCAGTAGTTCGTGACAAGGTCTCCCTGGAGGTCACATCGACGTGATGCTACATACAAGATAGAGAGTAGATAGATAGGTAGACCAGTTTTCAAAAACATCAAGTCAGGAACAGTAAGATGACGATTACCTAATCAAGGATCGAACATGAGCGACCGGCAATGCAAATCCCCTTTGAAGGAAAGATCCGCCTAGATTTCGCCCGCGTCGTCGGAGTTAGATGATGTTCCTGCTCTAAGTTCCTCCCGCCGACTACGCTGGTGATCCTTCCAACTCACAACCAGCGAATAACCTCCGTCTGACCCCATCAATACATGGAGGCGCACCCACTTATGAGTGTTTCGACATCCGAAGCAAAGGATCAACTCTTTTGCTTACTGTACCTCGATATCTAGGAATTCGCGCAAACTTGACCAAGTTATGCGCCTTCTAGTGTCGAATTCTGTAAGTTATAAGACGTCATCTATTCATAAATCCCGTAGGATTCTTCAACTATCGACAACGATTTACGCCAGATTTTCGTAGCTGCAGCGTAGCGTACATACATGCGCACCTCGCGAAGTCTCCAGCCGTGCGCCTTTTCCCGGGGCGTCGTTGATCATGATCTGATCACCGTCTGCCTAATGCTCGGAAAACCAGGCCTGCCAGGCTACTTGCAGTTGGGAACGTCTGAGCGTACTGAAAAAGACAAGGCGGGTTAGTTGCGCCGATATTGCCGCAGGGCTAAGACGGCCTGTCCAAATTTGTTTTGCCCAAAGCACGAGGTGTGTGTGCAATGTGATTGGTGGTATGTTTCAAGCACCCTTCCCGCCATGCAGCTGGTTCGCGGCGATAATGGGCTGCCAAGACCCGAGTATGCTGAATTCCACCGTTTGCGCGCCCGAGCGTGCATACTGGTTATGCACGTACGTCTGTATGCGCAAGTAAGTGATGAAAGAGAACGAGTCGGCAAATTTATTTCTCTGATGCCAGCCCCATTACCCATCACACGTACATATACCTAGATAGACATTGCCTTTTTGAGAAGTATTTGGAGACGTGCAGCTCTTCTTGCTCTTCAGGCCCGATTTGGAGTTGTTGGTTCGACATAAGAAGCAAGCATCTCCTGCAAGCTTTCCCAGTCACACCTAGCAAATGTCGCGATCCTGTGTTTCGAAAAACCTAGTAAACATATCCATTGACCGTTTCCAAGGTTGCCAACTCTGCCAGTGACCAATAACCCTACTGAGCTACCGATGTCCGATACCCTAGGCATTGCGAAGGAAGCCCTGTTAGCAGGAATTCGGAGAGGTCATCCCGCGCGTGGAGCGGATGTCTCATCACTAACAATCTAGATTGTCTTTGATCCTCGGGGAGAAAACCGTTGATGCTGAACCCCTCCTGCTCCTCTTGATGTGGATATCAAGGTTTCACAGTTGACAGTTGACAGTGAATGCATGCGACTTTCGGCACTGAGTGTGGGACGCGGGCATTGCATGGAAGTACCGAGATGCAGATGAGTGGTCATATGAGCTTGAGATCTATCGTAGCTATGTGTAGGCATGTAAAACATGCATAACCTTGATTATTCCGTGCGAGATACTACCAAGTCGACTGCAAGATAATGTAGAAGATGCATATATCACGTCTTAGTCTAACTTTCCAAGATGACTTCGTAGAAAAAGAAAGTATCTGGATACTGCATAACTCAATGACATGAATTAGATAGGTATTTACGGATAGAACGAATTCAATGAATGAGTTAAATGGGGAGCTAGAATGATATTGAGTTTGGTGTCACGTGCCACGCGTCATACACGCGTTCGCTTGTTTCTTTGTCACACGCGTTTCTTTATCCAATTTGCTAATTTATCGATTGTGGTGATAACTTCAAACGCTGTCCCTTTGGACTACCTGTCCTCAGGTCTATACCATTCTTCCTAAAGACCAATTGGCCTTTTCTGGTAAATATCAAGGGACTTACGACTTATTAAGCTTGCTATTGAAGTCATGTCAAAATGCCGGCCGAAGTAATCAGTCTACTATCATCAAGTCCAGCCGCCGGACCTTCCCCGCCAATCCTCCTCCCTGGTGCAGCCTCGTCGCGAACAACTCAGAAGCCCCCTTCCAGAGCCCTCGACTATGGAATCGTCGACCCAAACACTGGACCCTCATCGAAGGTAAACAAAGGACCTGGAAAGATATGCCATGACCCACCCATTAGCGCAAAACGCGCGAGTGGCTATATTTCACGACGTGATGACGACTTTATGTTCCTGTCGGATGACTTTGATACAACCGGCGATCTTGACGGAAACCCAGCTAAGAAGCCTCGAACCTCGACCTCGACCACGGGTATCCAGAAGAGGGGTGATAATACTCTGCAAAGATCAACCTCTGCCACGTTTACTTCTAAAAATCTAAAACCGCATTCACCAAATGGGTTGAATCGCTGGAACTGGAACGCAATAGACGACCCCATCGAACATAGCAGCTCTCCTGGCAAGTTGGTTGCTAGTAAAGCGCCGAGCAGGTCGCATGATCTTTCAGATCCATTCGCAAGCCCATTAAAGAAGCAGACGACGAACGCCAAGTCTTCCCGGCTGGATTTGACGAGTGATCCATTCAAAAGTTCACCTATACGAGAGGTTAATACCCGCGCACCATTAAGGGACACCACAGCCAATCAATCGTCTAATGTCCCCTTTGATTCTCCAAAGGGCAAAAAACCGACGAGGGGGCCAGTAGTCATCGATCTCTCAGATGACGATAGCGAAGATTTGCCAAGAAAATATCAGCCCAAGAAGTCCAAGCAAAATGGAGCATGGGATCCAATATCTAGTTCTATGCCGGAAGCGAAGACCAGTAACAGCCATATCGTAGATTCGGACTCCGATGACTTACCCGACTTGGGCGACATTGATTTCTCGAAGATTAGGTCTAGCAAACGTTTCTACAGTCTAACACCTTCGCCGCCTCGTAAGAAACCCAAGGCGGCGGTAAAAGAGAGGGGGACGACGAAAGGTGCTACGGCGAAGAAAGCGGCAGAACCGAAGAAAACTAGCGAAGAAAGAGACTACGAGAAGCAAAAGAAGGCAGAAGTTCGCGAAGCCGAAAAGGAACGCAAGCGTATCGAAAAGGAACAGGCAAAGGAGCAGCGAGCCGCCGAGAAGCAGAAGGAGAAAGCACTCGCCGAAGTCAACAAGCTCAAGACCGACAGGAAAGTCGCCGTGCCGGAGATGATAGTGGACCTTCCCGAGTCCCTAAGCGTCGGCATCAAAGCGCAGATCGAAGAGCTGCTCCGGAAGATGGACGTGCAGTTCGAGTACCGGCCAAACCGCATCGGCGACGTGGTACAGTGGCGGCGGAAGGTAACCTCGAAATACAACGAGGAGCTCGGGCACTGGGAGCCCGTCCCGATGCGCGTCGTGCCCGAAGCGCACGTCATGGTCATCCTCGAAGCCGCCGACTTCGTTAAGCTCGTCCTCGGCGCCGAGGACCAAGGGCTCGAGGCCCACGTGCTGAAGATGAAGACGGCGCACCCGGACAACATTCTCCTCTACCTGATAGAGGGCCTGACGCCCTGGATGCGCAAGAACAAGAACATCCAGAACCGGCGCTTCGCCAGTGCCGTCCGCGCCCTCGACGTCAACGACGCCGCCGCCGCCGCCGCTCCGTCATCCAGCCAGCAACGGCGACGCAAGAACACCACGCAGCAAGAATACATCGACGAAGACATAATCGAAGACGCGCTGCTGACGCTGCAAGTAGTCCACGGCGCGCTGATCCACCACACGAACCTGCAAGTCGAGACGGCGCAGTGGGTGGCCGTGTTCACGCAGCACATAAGCACGATCCCGTACCGGCGGGCGCGCGACGCCGCCGCCGACGCCGGCTTCTGCATGGAGGCCGGGCAGGTGCGGACCGGCGACGGCGCCGCCGACACCTACGTCCGCATGCTGCAGGAGGTGACGCGCGTCACGGCGCCCGTCGCCTACGGCATCGCCGCCAAGTACGCTTCGCTCCCCGCGCTCGTGCGCGGTTTGGAAAGGGAGGGTCCGCTGGCGTTGGAGAATTGTCGGAAATGTGCGAATAAGGATGGTGCGTTTAGTGATAGGGTTGTTGGGCCCGCGGTTAGTAGGAGGATTTGGAAGATCTTTACTTGTCGGGATCCTGGGAGCATGGACGTGTGAGGGGAGAAAAAGGGAGAGGGGACTGATGGTAGAACGATGGTTGAATTTAGAAATTACTGCAAGGTACGTAGAAGGGAATTGAAGTGAGTTTGCCTCTGACGTGCTACGCAGCGCGGTTTTGTATCGTTCGGTTTATAACGCAGGTAGGTATTATCCCTCGGGATCTTCAAGATCGAGGGGTATAGCGGTTAGTTAACATGTCTTAGATGCCTCTACCCGCCGCAGTGTTACGACATTCTGACAATTAACGGCATCTTCGTGGCCTACGTCGAGACAGGTCGCTAATTTTAGACCTATTTGTTTCACGACGGTGGTTGGTTATCATGTCTCAATTTATTTATGTGCCTGTCGGCATCCTATATACAATGCAAAGTAAGCACATGCTGTGCCACGACGATTACCAGCTATTCAGGGCTGTCTGTCCACACCACTCTGCCGGTGGTCATCAGTGGAAAACGTCATTATCCCTGTTGATAGCTGCCCACCCTTATGGATATGCCCCCCATTTGTTCTGCGCGCCATCCTCCCGCCCAATATATGCAGCCCTAGGCAACGAGAACAATACTCGGATAAAGGTATTAAATATAAACACCCATTTTCTTTAGGCGCTCCTTATATTCGCCACACCTGTAATAGAAATAAGCATCGGGTGAGCGCTCCTTCTAGTGAGCTCTCAATTCAAAAGTAGGCATTCCAGATTTGCTGGCCTGGCTCTGAAGATGGCGCCAATGTATCTCAGAAAGGAGTTCGGGGATAGAGTACAGAGTCTTCTCGATCTCGGCCTTAAGAACAACCGTCTGGGAGCACTTATGATAGATTCCGGCGTCACCCTCGATCTGAACGGCCTGAAGTTTCGCCGCGAAATCCCATACGCTGCACTCGACGGCCTCGGGTTGTGGTATAGGCCATAGCCCATTGCTGTGGAGAGATTGGATCGTCGTTCCTAGCATCGAAGCCAAGCATTCGCCTCTCTCAGACGATACCTTATACCGCGAGCAGAGCGACTTGTTTTGCTGGACGAGTCCTTGTAATATGCTATCGAGGCGGCTAAGAAGCGCCCTAATCATGGATAAGCGCGCTTTTTGTATGCTCTCTGCAAATTTGGTTTGTAAGTTTTCATGTTTTAAAGGGGATTTAAAATAGCAGGAGTAGACTCACCATAGATCTCGGGCGGTTCCAACGCTCCCACGTAACGCAGGTTGTTCCCGGCCGAACTAGAAGAGTTCAACAGCAAGGCCTTCGACATCGCATCGAAAGTGACGAAATCTCCCAACTCCCACGCGATCCAGAGCCGCTCGTGGCAGAATTTCGAGCGTAAGGACTGGCCGAGCTTCTCACACTGGATATGCGTAGTCCGCGACCAGCCCTTAGCCCAAGGCCGCAGGATATGGGTCATGTCGTATTTATCCGTCAAGACACACAGGTTGTAGAGATGCGTCGTATAAACGAAATCTTCGTAACCAGATACTTGATCGAAACGGCTGTGGATGATATTCAGAATGATGCTCATCGCGGCGGAATTATCCTCGGGTAACTTCACGACCCATGTCGACTTCCCGTCCTTCGACTGCGCGTTCTTGCCCTCAGAAAACTCTCCGTACAGCATCTTCCTCCAGAAAGGTGAGGACCTGGCCATGGCCTTGGAACATACTATAAACTCTGCAGAAAGATGGCCCACTTCTAGGCACAAGTCGCCTTTGGGGTCCATATAACATTTAGGAGGACGAGGAGGCATTTCTGGCTCCATTGATGTTTGTGATGATGATCCTGAAGACGGTGCCGACTTACCCCCAAAAATAGGACTTGGGCTCTTTGTCGGCGACTGACTTGAGGTGGAAGACGGGGTCTGGCTGCCGCGGGCAGGAGAGTTTCTAGTAGAGGAGCTCCTGACAGGGGAGTCCCTACTGGGAGAGTTTCTGGTAGGAGAGACCCTGGAAGAAGCGGCCCTGTTGCTATTGCTCCTCGCTGGCGTCTGACTTGTCTGTGATGTCGGTGGCGAGGTACTAGCTACAGGTGCGGCCGGCACAGCTGGTACAGCCGGGGCAGTCGGCCTGGGACCGAATAGGCTCGGCGACGACTGCTTCGGTTGGGCTTGTACATGCACTTGTGCTTGAGCGGGGACAGGGACCGGAGCGGGCGATCCGATAACGAGCCCGCGCGGGTTCCCAGAGCCAGCAAACGGTTGTTGGGATGGTGGGGGTATAGGAGTTCCGAACAGACCAGCTCCCGATCGGCCTTCCGGATTACTAATGGTGCCGAACAGGCTCGTATGAGGACGAGCTTGCGATGTTGTAGGCGAGAAGACACCGCCGCCCCAGGCAGGAGTAGGCGGCTGGGAGGTGGGCGCACCTCCGTTCCCGAAGTTGGCCATAGCAGCAGCTATTGCCTAACCTGTAGTTGTGTTATAGACTGGAGTGAGCACACGAGGAATACACTTTCGCCGAGGTGGATCTTGACAACTGGTATTCCTTAACTGGTAGTATATTCTCCAGGAAAGAATCAGCGGGCATTCGCAAGAATTAGGTATTAAGCACAAATCTTAACTAGCAAAGTCATCATAAAAAAAGGTCAGATAACTCCTCAGGAAGCCATTACGAAGTGAATCACTCTTTAAAACACATCAACGGGGACAAAAGGGCAGAAGCAATTCCTGGTAACAAATTAAAATCAGTCTTTCCTGCCTCTCTTACCGCCAGACGCATTGACCAGGGATCCCTTTTTCCTCTCACACTGTGCGATCTCAACCCTCAATTCAATGAATTCATGCAGCAAGATGCAGGTGCCTCAGATACACATGCATCTCTCATCAACGATGAACCTTCAGAATCATGCGTCTTTAAATTTGAATACCCGCTCACCTATGTCGAGCAGCTATTAAGCATAGTCAGATCCGGGGGGCACCGTATTTTTCCACTAGCAATCTAAGAATATTCAAGAGTCTCAGGATCCTTCTACAGTATAAATACTGTCCCACCCGGGCTACCAGCACGGTGTTAGCCCTAGGAAGAGATCTCAGCCCCTTTTGGGCACAAGATCCATTTTCACCACGTAGCCCCCTGCCGGTGGAGCAAAGTCCTTTGTTGTTTATTAGACAGATTCAGATGTGCATATCGCCCATACGGCCATTTGGGTTGGATATTAGGCGCATTTGGGCAAATACGACATTTGAGTTGCGTTAGTGTATGTTGTCATAGCCAGAAAAATCAAGTTGAGAAGCTGATATCTTGGAGCGCTCTAATGGGCTGAAGAGGCCTGGGGTTGTGTAGCATTCTTATGTTAGGCTAGATCTAGGTGAAGCGGGGAGTATAGATCCACATTATACGTGACATTTATCGATTGGATTCTGATGAAAGTGAATAACATATGTTTAAAAGCCACGAGATTCAGTATCTCGTTACTACCTATGCACGTGGTAGGTTGGGTCGAAATTTGGTATCTATTCCCAATTACTAAACCAGAAAGTGAAGAGATAAAACTCACCAATGCATTATCTTCGGTTATAACCGAACCTAGGTATACTTAAAAAGAATTATAATCTACGGGAAATAAGTCAATTAACAAAACCCCATAAAGTGGTCTAAGCATTAAGCAACGCCATGGCGTACGCTCAGACTTGCGAATACTCTACTATCGCATGTTTCTCGTTTACAAGAGCTATCATAAATCGAAATCACAACCAACTCATGTTGTTACTATATTAGTTGATATCATGTCTACCTAAGGAGTACAAAATAAGTAGTGTGGTTCCTGCCGGAATATAATCATCAAGTTAATCTCTCTAAACGAGTTTGGAATATCTATAACTAGTAGATGTTGTATCTTGTTAATTTGTCATGCTATTATTGTTGGTTTGGTTTATCATATTCTATCACAAATCATATACATATATCTAAAATGGCATGTTCAACCAAAAAATTGAATTGCGGCCGTATTGTCGTATTTGTATGTGGATGCCAACTCGCCATCCCTACCAGAGTCTGTCAATAGGGTTATTTTTTTCTTCTCTAACTTACGTTCAGTTGTAAGATACTTTGAGGAAGACGAATTCTCTAACCCATATGTTCCATGATTCATCTTGTAAAACGGGAAAACAAATTTCTACGAAATTATGAATGTTGTAAATACCTATGTTCGTATTGCTTAACGACTAGGTGCACTTTCAAGTATTAGGTGAATAGGAAAATAGTTGAAAAGGCATTTTGGAACTATATGTACCTTGTATGGAGAACGATCATAGAAACTTCGGAGGGTAGTATACCGAGATCATCTCCAACAAAGCAAACCGTTATACGATCCAAAATCTCCTCATCTTTATCCCTATTTCCCTGTAACTAAGTGCAGCACCCCAGACTGCAACTACTACCTCTAAATTTGGTAGTACGATGCTGAATGGTCTCTAGTCAGGAAAAGTAGTATTGTCACCATGAATATGCATATCCCAAAGGTCTTAAGAATCTTCTCACCTCTCCTCGCCACCTTATTTATTACCACTCGAGCATGTGTGACGGACGAAGACTGTAGTCTCAACGGCGTCTGCAACCAGCCCTTAAGCAAATGTGGGTGCGATCCGGGATGGAAGTCAGATGATTGCGGCAAGCTCGACCTCCGGCCCGCTGTACGGTGGACGGGGTACAATTACACGAACTTCACTCTGCCCGACTTCTACAGCACGAAAGGGAATTCGTCGTGGGGAGGAAATGTTATCCAAGATCGCCTTGACAAGAAGCTATTCCACCTTGTCGTTGAACAATTCGCCCACGGATGTGGGTTATCGGGCTGGAGACCGTTTAGCACTGTGGTTCGCGCCGAGTCGCGTACGGGGCCGGCCGGCCCGTACTATTACGCGGATGAGCTACTAGACACGTTCCGTCACAACTCCAAAATAGTTTGGAGTCCGGCAGACGAGAGATATCTCTTGTATACCATAGGAATAGAGACTAATACTCCGGGCACGTGTAAATCATACAAGTGGGCGAATAATATTTCCATATCTAGCGCCCCTGATATTCGCGGGCCATGGGAGCCACCGACATATCTTCTCGACGCGACCAACCCAGCACCGTGGCCGTTGTGGGCACAAGACAATCCTACCCCTGAAGTAGTACTCGGCGTAGAAGACAACTTTCTTTACCACGCCAAAGCTTTTGACGGCACCTACGACCTAATCAAGTCGATGCCGTGGAATACATCGGATTACAGCGACCACTGGACGGAGGATCCGTTCTTGTGGCGTGATCGACGCGGAAACTGGCACATTCTCTGCCACTGGATGATAGATATCGCAGAAAGGGGAGAGAAATACCCTCGAGTAGGAGGGCACCTATTTTCACGCAGCTTAACGGGCAACTGGACGTTCAAGCTGCAGGCGGCTTACAACACGACAGTGTACTTCACCGACGGCGGAAGGACCGATTACTATCGGCGAGAACGGCCACAGCTCTACTTTAGCGATGACGGTAACCTCACGCCATTGTATCTGATAAATGGTGTTCAAGAGTTTAATAGCTCGGCTAGTTATACCTTTATCCAGCCCATTGGAAAAGGGGCAGATCTGTATGAAAGGGAGCTAGGCTTCTGATGCTCATAGTTACCTACATATGTAGGCCATGAATTGAAGTCTATAATGGATTGGCACTATTGCTTCCTCTGAGGTCAAGTTTGTTAACTCCTATGACTCATGATAAGGTCCTGGTAAGCCTACCTAGTCATACACATTACACAATAGAAAGCAACATACGTCTCATCATACCCTCACAGCTCACGTAGCTCAATCGGTAGAGCATGAGACTTTTAGATGTCTTCAAGTTTATCTCAAGGTTGCGAGTAAGTTTGTCCTCTTTCCCAACCATTGTGGGATCCTCATCTAAAACAATCCGCTAGGTTCGATCCTCGTCGTGAGCTCAGTTCTCGCGGCTCCTAGTCAAATTGGGAGCGCATCTTTATACCTTTTCCTATACTTTGATCAACTTTTTGGGCGTTTTTAGTACCTAGCTGGTACTGATATTCTCGTGTGTATAGTAGCACAGCTTCCTTGAGTACCTACTATGTCACGTCTGGTGAAACACGCGATTTGAAGATAGTTCTCGGAAAACCCCGTTGTCTAAGATGCAACAGATTATCAAAAGTGAGAAAATATACATAAACTAAAAACTGCGAGCCAGCCAGATTCTCAGAGCTGACAAGTTCTTTTGTTACATATTATGGAATATCCGATTGCAAGCATTCCCGCGATCCATCCCACTCCTATGGACCATACTCAATACGTATTTTCCCATTTTTCCCTACCGGCAAAATCTACAATGACGCGCCGCCATACTATGTGCCTACCAGGCAATCCCACCCCCGTGCGGAGACCGGCTAAACAAGCACACTCGCATGCCGAGCCCTAAACGCCCTGCGTATCCTCCTCCCCGGCAACGTCTTCCCCGGCTCCGCCTCCTGCTTCTCCTTAACCCGTTCCTCCTGCTCCCTAATCACATCCTCCGCGTCCCTCGCAGCATCGCCATCAGCCGGGACCCCATTATCCACAGGCCTTTTCAACCAACCATTACGCTCGACCTCGAGGATCTTCTCGATGAAGATATCGCCCATCTTGAAGTATCCCTTGTCGGTAGGATGCATATCATCGGGGCCGATATCCGCGCGCTCGACGCGGCCGGGCATTCCCTGGTCGAAGTGCATCTCGGCCATGACCACGGGCTTGCCCTCGCGGATCAGGTCGGCGGCGACCTGGCGGATCTGCGCGTTGGCCGACTTGACGCAGCGCTCGGTGCCGTCCCACGGCGACGTGATGATCGTTGACATGACGACGGTGGCGCGCGGCGACGCCTCGAATAAAAAGTCTACTAGTTCTCGCATGCTCTGCAGCACGTACGCGGGCCCCCAGTGGTCCAGCTGGAAGCAGTCGCTCGACCCGGCGTTGATGAGGAACAGGTTCGGTTGCACCTGCGGCACGACCTCTTTCAGCCGGTCGAGCGTCGGTTTTATGGGCTGCGCGCCGAAGGCTTGGACGTCGTTGTCTTTGAAGTCGCCGTACCGGTTCTGCGGAGCAAATGTGAGAGGTTAGAACGGTTTAATGGTTTTTAGCATGGTGTGATGGATTGGGATATATAGGTAGGTATATATACCTGGCCGACGTAGTTCACGGGATTACCTCGAGACACAAGCCAGTCCCGGATTTGCTTCCTATATCCCACCTCGCCCGTCGAGTGCTCGCCAAGGGTCATCGAAGCGCCGATGAACATGACGCGGAGGGGAATTCCGCCTGCCAGAGGCCCATTTTCGGATTGCGTGAGGCGGTTCCAGCTAGTACGAGCGGTTTCCGGCGTGGGTTGTATGAATATTACTATATTGACATCCTTTGTTAGATCACCGACGCAGGCAACGCACGAGACTCCAAGAACGGGCGTACCTATTAGAAACAGCAGTAGCGCGAATACGGCTAAGACTTTGTGGAGATTAGGGAGTTGTTTCCATCGCATGTGAAGCGCGGAGAGGCGCGACTGCAGGTGCATGTTGGTGAGAAGCCCATCTGTTCAAAGATAGTGTAGTTGTCGACGGCGACGCGTTGAAAATAAGGCATTATAAATCTCGTCAGCTCAGGGGCTTCACGATGTTAGAAGTCCGAGGTACTTACAGATACTTACCTCAAAGCCTAACACAAGCAGCCAATCCCCGCCAACTCTGCCACTTAACTGCTGTATTTTTATTTGTCGGAACCGGGATTGGATCTTGGCGCTATCTTATCCGGGCCATCGGCACCGTCAACGATTGTTTGGGGTACAAAGGTACTTACACATGTGTTCATGAATTACGACTCTCGTATGGCTGACTGCCGCTTCCCGATCTTAAAATAACCACCTGCATTCAAGTTCCAACACTCAAATATCGATTATATAATCATCTTTGACATAGGTATAATTGGTATCATATATTTACTGCGCTCTCGAACGTAATGGTATCTCGCAACATTATACGGTAGTGACTGAAAATACGGATCTCACAATATTTCGCTTCAACATCTGTCACACTTGATCAAAGGTCCAAATCTGCGTTACGAACTTGTTCAAGCGGGCTCAATTCATCTCAATCCTCCAAGGCGAACACACTTGTCAATCCAACCCTCTTTGGTAACTTGTGGTTTTGGTTGCGACCAACCCCATGTCCTCCACGTGCTTTCGGACGTAGCTGTGACTTCCGTTTGCCCAGCTATTGAAGGAGCCGCTGGTGGTGGCATCCTCGCGTTAGGGGGAACGGTAAGCCCATCCTCCCTTTGACCGTGATAATACCCAGAAAGGAGTTGGTTCACGTATACTGAGTTTGTGGCACTGCCGTCTCGAGGTTGTGGCATTGAAGCACTTGACTGTCTCATAGACATAGGCTGCCTCGGATCTGGGGGATACGCAGATCCGCTGGATTGTCGTCTCCCGTCCACATACACACTATATTGTGAGGAACTTCCGTCTTCGGCGGCATACGCCGCTCTCATGAGATTATCCATCATTCTTGATGGCGTATTTCTTGACGGAGCGCCTCTTGATGACGCATAGTCTGCTGTAATCGGACGTCTAGGTTCTTCCATCTTCTCGTAGCCGGAGGCTGTCATGGATTCGGGTAAGAGGCCTCTGCTTTCACGGTTATGACGTCGCCGACACCTCCATATGAAAACACCTAGGGCTGCTATAATGACTACAATTCCTGTTGGGTAGGAAAGGCATTCATTAGTCTTCTGTATTACTAAAGACCAACCTCACTCCAGATTAAGGGTCCTTACCAATTGTACCGAACGCTATAGTTCCTCCTGTGCCTAGACCAGGTGCACTAGCCCCTTGCTGACTTACTTGCGCTTGAGTAACATCAGTGTTCTGCGCTTCCGCATTTTGCGTAATGCTGGCACTAAACGAGGACGCTGGAATAACTGGCACGCTAGTGCTAGTGCTCGAACTCAACTTCGTCCGCCGTGAAGAGGCTGAGCTGGTAGTCGCTGATGGAATCTGTGCTGACGATGTCTCCGTCGGCGATGGAATCTGTTTTGACGATGTTACCGTCGGCTGCTGTGAAGGTGTAGAACTTCCTATCAGAGGAGACGGGAAGCTGGGAGATATCGGCGAAGGTGAGTCTGGTCCGCCGTCACCACCAGAACCAGATAGGTCTGGGTCTTCTGGGATCTTCGGGACGTCTTCGCGGACAACTATTCTTAAGTCATTTGCACGAGCACGCCTTCGATACAGTGGGCTCCTTTTTCTCAATTAGAATATGAATACGGATACAAGTGCCTTCAACACTCACCCCATGATAGTTGTGCGACACTATTAGAACCTCGACAATCTAAAGATTGGTAAAAGGGGGATATTGATTCAAGCCAACCGATAAGAAGATAAATTCTATCAAATTAGGACCTGCCGTCGATGGTAAATAGTGAGGGCGCAGCCCAAGACCGGAAGTGAAGTGAAGCGACCTGGAAATCACAGCTGCGTATGTAGTTTCCAACAGCAAAGCAAGTGTAGAATCTCGCAGAAGAGGAAGAAACATCCTCTGCAGATGTAATAGCCTTAAGATCAACCGCGTGCCCCTCCATCTTCATCCCAACTCGAGTGCCCAGAGAGCATGAAACGAGTTGTGTAGGCACTAACAATGAGATGTTTCAAACCTCAACTGCGAATGTGGATCCCGGTGGCGCCAAGATCGACAACTGCCCCATTTAATTCGTTAAAATCAAGAAAGATCGCGTTTCACTTCCTCAATTCAGATATGCGAAAAGTTAAGATTGCGCGTATTTGGCTATTTATGGTATAAAGATCTGTTGTGGTAGATCCGGGGTGAGTAGGTAGGGAATTCGACGCTTCATCACAAATGTGATCAGACCTTACGAGATGTCACTAGCCCACCAATTTAAATGTAAGCTATGAAACAAAACTATAAACGTCGTGAATACATACATTCGTAATCGTGCAAGGTCTTCGCGCCCTCTTCGTGATGCCAAGGGCTTGTTAGACTTGGTTTAGAAAGCTTCGATCTCGAAGCCCGGTAATTATAAGCCGTAGCGGTAATCCTCCATTTTGCTGATGCGTTTGGCATAGGGGCCTGCTTAATTGTTGCTTCAACACCAACCGGTCATATCGCGCTGTTCACCACCACCTTGGAAGAATTTCACGCGCGCTACGTACTTGGGTATTGACTTCAGGGGATCAGCACGTACTCAAAGCCGAACGGCATTTGGTGCAGTGAACTTACGTGGCTTCCGAGGCTGGTGATTCGATTTTATACTATCACGCCAAATTCGCAAGCACCAGCTACCCATCATGGCATCCATCGTCCTTCTCATCACGGGCGCTGTGACTATCAATCTATGATTGCCGTCCGTTTCGTCTTCTACCGCGATGCGGTTTCCTTCGGGGCTCATCCACTCATAATGACCGCGCTTCCTGACTATCTCGAAGATCATTTCGCCTCCCTTTAGCGACTCCTTCCTCGCTTTATAGCCTTTTGGAAGCCCGTCTCCCTTCTCTTCGTTTATCCTCACGATCTTGAATGTTGACCGCGGGAAAGAGGGAGACTTGAGCGCCAGATTCCCTAGGGCATGCCGCGACGTGGCCTCCAAGCAGTAGGGAAATCCGGTGGATATGACTGGCGGCAAATGCTTCAGCTCGAATATGTGCCTGTTTCGGTGTAACACCCGAGGCGTGCCGTTGGCGCTTACCCGTACATTGTGTATGAGGCGTTCGAGCGACACCTGAGCAAGCTGAGCTTCACTTGTTGAAGACGTCCGGATATCCCGAGATAGCTCGTAGAGCGGAGTACCGCCAACGCTCTGAGCGCGGATGAAATGGCCCGTCAGCACAAGAATAACAGGTTGAAGAATTTCACCTGCGTCATTATGATTGCCGACGACGTATGGAGGAGGGGAGTCGTCGTCTTCGAGTGGTGGACTCGCCATCGGTTCCTGGCTAAGTGGCTAGGCGGCTAAGGCTGGTGGACAAAAGAGGCTCAAGTGGCATTTGAGGCAAGAAATCACGCGGTCTCATTCTGACCGGAACCGGAGCTTGGACGACTTACCAATCAATGCCGAGACGCCGTGGGGGGTGACAGCTTGACAACCGCCAGGTGGCTAAGCAGCCAAGGTGGGAGGTGTGATGACATCATGTATCTGTGTATTGGTGTATTTGGGATGCATGGGCGGGTAATAAAGAGCTAGGGGTATATTGAAGCCATCGATATAGATGCTCATTCTTCAGCTTATAAGATATTCACAATGGCGTTGTTGGATTAGAAAGAGTGTTGTAGACATTGTTTGTGTTCTACCAGAGTTCTCGGTCTCAATCTCCAACTTGGAATTACCTAGACAAACATTGAAGTGACAGGGGTAATTGGTTATTACCTAGGTAATCATAAAATGCAAAGTGAGAAAGTTATGTTCATAGAAAGACACAATTCCTCTTATGAACGCTGGAACTTACGTAGAGTTTATTAGTCTCGTCATCCCCGTCCTGCCCCGTCCAAAACCCTAAAATATGGGAGCATCTACAGCATGGGTCATGGATCATCCATGTGTGGCGGAGCGTCGGACAGTCGGACGGTCGGATGGTCGGACATAATCCTTCAGAAAGCGAAAAAGATTATCCTGAAGGTTGGCAATCAACAATATTTTTCTTATTCTACAACCATTTATGGGATGGGTAAACGTTAGATGCACCTTTGGCTGAGACCCGACACTCGGCATCCAATGACAAAAGCGATATGTCCGGATCACCTCCAACGAGACAGCGTCCGTTACCTCCCCCGAATCGGCGGCGGGACAAGCCTCAATTATCATGTAATCCATGCAGGAGACGCAAGTATGTAACCAACCGCTAATTCATCTCATTTCATTTCATCTCAACTCAACTCATTTTAGCTTACCTCTCATTCCATCTCATAATTCTACGCTGATACTTTCCACTCACTGAAACTAGGGTTAAGTGCGATAGACAACAGCCATGTCGTACCTGTTCCATGAGAGGACTGGCCATGGCCTGTACCTATCCGGATGCCTCGTCACGTCCCTCAGATAGAGAACCTGTTACTACCGTGCAGAATCGTATCCGTGAGCTTGAGAGCCTTGTACATGTTCTTATGCAAAAAGCAGCACCGAAGAACCCGTCAAATGTAACATCAGCACCACCGCCCGAGACCTCCGTCTCTCCCGTCGAGGGTTATCCTGACCCTGGCGTAGGAGCAAACGGGTCCTCAGAACCGTCTGATTGTGGAACATTGACAAACACTCCCGCTGGAGTTAACTACGCCGATGGCGCACATTGGACCGCCCTTTTAGATGGTATCTCCGAGCTCAAGGACTGCTTTCAAGACACATCAGAGGCCCCCTCAAACATGCGTCATACCATTCCGCCGCAAGCCGTTCCGGAATTTGCACCTCACCCCCAGCTTCTATATGGCCGTTTCGCCCATATCAGCAAGGGGGAAATTCTAAGCACGCTTCCGGCCCGACCCGTTGTTGATCGACTCATATCCAAATTTTTTAATACGATCGACTTACATCCAGGTTCGTTTTAACCTACCTAGGTGCTCGACTAAAGTTACATGCCAAGACAAATACTCATATGTTATAAGTAGCACTCCTACACAGCAGCCAGTTCATTCGACAGGTAAGCTTTCGTCGTGCATGTTCATCGCTGTAAATGCTAACACACCATCATCCTGAAGTACGATCAGTTCTGGGAAGATACTTGCTCAGCCCCTATAATGTGGGTAGGAATCTTGTTCGCTATCATGTCGCTTGCGCTCTTACTCTCATTGCCGCATGCGAGTTATGATCCGAGCACTCAGCCGTCCGACCTGGAGAGCGCTACTCTGATCAGAGCATACCGGGAAAAGGTCGTCCAGTGCCTAATGCTAGGCAAGTATACTAGGGGTGGGCCACATACTATCCAAACTCTTATCCTTTATATTGCTATAGAGCATTTGATCCACGAGGACTCGGAGTTTGGTACTCATATCTTATTGGGCGTGATTTTGAATATCGCCATGAGGATGGGCTATCACAGAGACCCCAAGCACTTCCCCGTCATATCACCCTTCGAGGGTGAGATGAGAAGGCGAACTTGGGCGGCCGTATACCAAGCGAACCTTATCTTTGCCTCCCAAATGGGCCTACCTAGTATGCTCAAGGATCATCAGATAGACACGGAAGAGCCCCACAATTTAAGGGACACCGACTTTGACGAAAATACGACGGAGCTACCACCATCAAGACCTGAGAGCGAGCTAACACCGGTTCTATATATTATTACGAGAACACGCGTCGCACACCTATGGGAAGAAGTCCGCGACCTAGCTACTGATACCAGACGTCACAAATATGAAGAAATTATGGCCATGGATCAAAGGGTGCATACCGAGCAACGCCGTCTTGCACCAGCCTTCAGAATGCAACCCATAGGACAATCAATAACTGATCCACCACAGTTAATTATGCAAAGGATCTGGTTACAAATTTGTTTCCTTAGGCTACAAATTGTGCTACATAAGAAGTATTTCATGAATCCTACGCAAAACGAACGTTACAGTTACTCGCGAAACATATCCGTAAAGGCCGCCGTCGAAATCATCGAATATCAACACATGGTTTATGACTTGGTGAAGCCGGATGCTTTATTATACGACGCTCGGTGGAAACTTTCATCCGTGATGAACAATGAGTTTATGTTGGCAACTGGTATTTTATGCCATTATATAAAGCAAGTCGACGGCGCTCCGCAAAGAGGTGTCGAAGGAGTAAGCACAGATGAAATCAATAAGCTCCTATTAAAGTCCTCTGAATGTTGGTCGAGGTACGCTGGCACATCTAGGCACGCTCGGAAGGCTATCGAGGCTATACGTTTAGTTCTTAAGAGCACGAGTACTCCAACGTCTAGTCCTACCAGCGCAGAAGATGAATTCGGTCAAATCGATTTTCAAGGTACGTTGCCCCTATTAGGCACAGATCTCATATATGAATGGTGTATGACGATATACCCTGCTCTATCCTACCTCCAATCTACTGTCTTCATATGCAGCTCGCACAGAACCATCACACTGTGGTTTCTGCCTGGTAAAGGGGTAGGCGATGTTGTTTCCCCCCTAAGTCATTAGCACAACCAGTCAGTCTCTTGGAAGGTGAAGCTTGCTAACATGACAAAGATCCTCTACTTATGGACCTCAACTTTCCATGTTCAGTAGATGGCTTTTATAGCGGAGACGACTCTACAACTATCGGCGACCCTTCAATTGAATCAGCTCAATTCACCATGGGTGGATTTCTTCCGTGGAATATTTTGAAGGGTTAACCGAAATCTTTAGGTCAAAGATGCGTCGCAATCTTTGGTCTTTTACTAAACTTCCCAATCATAGAGCATAATAGAAAGCGGGATATTACAATACGTAAGTATATCTACTCTCTTCTATGACTGATGATTCTGACCCAACGCCTGAACAGTCACTTCTTTGTTCTAGCCAACCTTGTCTCAGCTCCGTCTTAGTTTGACAATAACTACTCCACAAGCTCATTGTAATCAAACAATGCGTCTTCAAGCAAACCAACAGCTTGTTCAATATGTATTTATATGCGCGGACAGGGTTTTGGCCTGGATGGACGAAGCTTCAGACTTAGCAACTTGGCTAAGACAGCTTAACGATCAGTTACAACCAGCTCTTGAATTGGATCTTAGCTTGGTCAGCATTCAGGATGTCAGCGACCGATAGAGCCCCAAAAACGATAGAGCAGCTTCGATCTGCCCTTCGGTTAGAGGATCAGAGCAAGGCCGAGGCACTTATTCAGGCCGAGCCTGTCAAGGAAGCCTACCGGAAATATGCAAACCGATGTCTCTCATCAAGCTCTACAACTAAGTTGTTACCGGACTGGAAGGAGGTTGACGAATATCTCATAGAATTGAGAATGAGATTAGGGGGCAAGACATTAGAAGAAGTGGTAGAACAGAAGTGCAACGAGCAACGGTACGAGCTCAAACCCCATGTAGCACTGTTCGCGCTGCGGATCATGACGTTCTTTAAGAGTGAGGAAGGCGAGGTGTACGACAACCCTCTAGAACTTCACAGAGTACGGATCAAGGAAGACGTCTCATTCGATCGCTGCGTTAGGATTATGAATCTTCTTGGTTTTCTAGTTAACCAAAACCGAGAGAGACAAGCAGAAAGAGCTGCGGCTGCTGCTGCTGCTGCTCCTGCCGCAGCCGCCGCTGAGGCAGAACAAAACTGGATATGAACCAAAGTAAAGTTGATGATTTAGTCATATCTATTGAATAGGAGAGGATTTGGAGGTTGATATTTATTATGATACCCAGGTACCCAGATAGCTAAGGTAAAGACTCCATTCATTCGTGAAGACTACTTTCCCTTTTCATATACCTCCTATGTTAGTGACTTATGGAACAGTGCTTCTAAGACAACGATGATACCTAAAATCAAATGCATGATATAACTAGTAGCGAAGAGGAATCGCTCTAGCGAAACTAGTAGATGGATAGAATCTCAGGGGTATTATCAACTGCACATTCACCTTGCCAAACTCCCTCAAAATTGATACATCATTACCTCCGCCCCCCCATTCTTCACTCTTCTCCCCTTCCCTCCTCCCCTCTCCATCCCGTCTCATCCTCTCTCACACCCAAAAGCAAAGCAACCCAACCCAACCCACCTCACCGCCCCTCCCTCCCCACCCCCGGCGCAATCCACCAAGACCGCGGAAAACTCATCCCCCACCTCCTCACCAGCCCCGCGAGCTCGGCCCTTTTCCCGGGAACCACATTCACGAAAACCCGATCGCCCCCTCCGAGCGCGGGCTCCGAGTGCACCGCGCCCTCCTCGCTTCCGATCCGGAACAGCGCCGCTTGGCCCGCGCGAGCCTGCGCCTGGCCTAGCTTTGCTAGAGAGCGCGCGAGCGAGGCGCGCACGGATTCGGATGTCGAGGCGCAGGCTAAGCAGCGCAGGGATGTGCAGGGGTGTGGGGTGGTGAGGGTGCGTTTTGTGGTGTGCGAGGTACGGCGCGCGAGGGCTTGAGAGGGGGAGGGGATGAAGAGGGTTGAGGGGCCGAGGAGGGTGGTGCAGAGTTTGTAGGTTGTTTGGAGGTCTAGCTGTGGTGACGGTTCTAGAGTTGAGGCTTGGGGCTTTTTCGTCTTGGTTTTGATTTTTTTGCTGAGCGCGGACTGTGATGGGGTTGAGGATACTGTTGTTGTTGATGATGGTGATGATGATGGCGGTTCCCTGAGCCCGCTGCCGCCGCGGCTGAAGAACAGGTCGTCGGTGTGCCAGCGCGGCTGGTCGAACTCGGACGTCGCCTTCGTCGCCCGGATCGTCAGCCAGTAGTGGTCCAGGCCCTCCGCCGCGAGGAACTCGTTGACGAAGGCGAGGAACGGGAGGAGCAGCGGGAGTAGGGAGCCGCGGAGCACGGCTTCGGCCCAGTCGTGCAGGCTGGGCGGGAGATCGCCTTCCGAGGTTAGGAGAGGCCCGCAGTAGCTCCAGAAGGCGTCTTTTTTGACGGATAGGTCTGGCGGCGGTTGCAGCGGCGCTGAGGGGTCGTAGGTTAGGAACTCGAAGCTGGAGGAAGCTGGGAGCTTGTCTTTGAGCTTCGATTTCATGGTGAGGGACTGTGTAGAGGTTGTTCGGTTTCGGTTTGGTGGTCGTAGTTAAGTTGGGTATGGACGTTGTTTTAAGATGGTCTAGATGCTGTTGCCTAGGAGCTACGGGGCTTGGCAGGCCTAATTAGGTGGTATATATCTATTAGATGATGGTCTATAGCAAAAATGCAATATTTACCATGAATCCTCTATGATATGGTATATACAAAGTAAGGCTACGGAAGGAGATAGTAACGGTACCTACTTCGGAGCCGACTATTCTTATATACATCTATTGAAAGGTGTGGGAGGTAGGAGGAACGTCCGGCACCTAACCCAACGAGAAGGCTCAATGGATTTTCAGCTTTATACACTTCATGCAGTCTGCCATGTGTCAAATGCGAGGGGAGGTGGATATGATCTGCGAATCCCGAGCCACGGAGGTCTCTCGTTGGTAAAGTTATGGGAGGCCTAATGCCGTTCCGGGGCACAGTACATGTCGTGCAGCCCAGCACGAGGCCGGACTAAGATCAACTCGTCAATTTGGCGGGGCTGAGACGGTGCAATGCTTGGGTCGACGAAGCGCACAGCATCATGACCCCTCATCTTTGATGTGATGAGCATGTGAATGGGCACGATGTCATTATATAATAGGTAGGAAGTATTCGGGCCATTTATGAGGCCTTCGGTTGAGATGTTTTCCGGGCATCAAGTATGAGTTGTCTATCCGGCAGTGAACAGATATAAGACGCTGCAGAATAAGACAATCTAGGCCCCTCCCTATAATTTGGATAGTATTAAAGAAGGTAGTTATTTTCTGTGGCCTCGTTATTGAACTATTACACACAGAGCTTTTATATTGTACCAAGTCTATAGTTTCCCCTAATGAGCGAGCCATAGTGTTTAGCCAGGTAACGAACGGAAATCCCACGCTAAGTCCGTATGTACGATGAAGGCGGCTAACCTTCGTCTATCTGATGTAGTAAGCCGAATATTCGTGGGTGAGTTGCCAGAAGAGTGAGGCCATTCCGTTCGTGGTACGGCTAAGAGAGGATGACATAGGTGTTCGCTCATGCTAGACCCCATCGCGGCATGTCGATCATATATGCGGGTCGTTAATATCCATTGGCAAAGCGGGTACGTTTCGACTTGCGCGATTTCGACTTCGGCCCATGTTTATCGGATCCAGAATATATATCTCTGTCCGAGCTAGCATCGGAAGATGATCGTGACCTGTTCTTCCGCCGTTCTCTCGCAGCTGCCGACCATGGCAAGGTAGACCAGACTTGACGGGCTCTGCTAATAAACTGATTCAATGGCGAGTTCTCCTCGATCGTCTCGTTACCTTCGCTATCATCGTCCAGGCGGATGACCTGTCTCCCTTTATTCTTTCGGGCACGGTTCTCTTGATATATATCGAACGAGTCGCGATGGAAGATAGGACCAGTGAGTGATGGTTCGGTATAAGTCGTCGTCTGGCGTGAATATTGTATGCAGAAGTACTCGACAGATGGTACTGATTCTGTATCTGGGATTGACATCATTTTGCTACCGCCGCAAAGCGTATAAATGTATGGGAGTCAAGAAATACGAGGCATGGAATCACATCCATTGAAACGACCTACATTGCCTTTTACCTTGGAAGATTAGTTGTGAATGGCACGTCTCACCCTGAGGCAATCACTTATCCAGCAACAATTTAGATTTGTTGGGTTGAGTTAGAGAGCTTTGAGGAAGTTCGTTGGTTTCGACGGCCTGAACTCTGTATGGACTGAGATGATCGTGAGGTAGGTACCTATATGACTTCAGTCATTTCAACGACTGACGTAGAGTATCTTTAAAAAAGCATTGAAGTTCTCCGAGCGTCGTCCAAACGGCAAAGTGTCATAGATAAGTAACTCGGGTACACTTTCAGACTTGTCGTCATAGGTGTTGACGATCCTTTCGTGGCCTTGACAACGGCCTTACCACCTTGACCTGTACGTAGTATGACTAAGTCTTCAACCCGTGTAGGAAAACATAGATTATATTGTTGGGGCTCAATCACCTGAGGCCGGGAGCATGCGGTCCAAGCGGATGCAGTCTAGGCCAAAGCCCAGGAGCTACGCCTCAGACAACGATGACAAGGCGCTTATTGATACGGCCCCAAGCGTCGAAGAATAACCGCGACCCTCTTAATGGCGCGGTGGCATAAGGTGCTTATATAATTCCAGTGACAAATTCCACATGGCCTGAGTTTTACCCGCCGCCACGGGGCTGACTTGAAGACTTGGCTAAACATTGCATGGTTGCATTGTCCACATGCTCGCGGTCTGCCTTGGGGTCGCTTGTGATTGCAATAGCACGGAGGGGCCGTGTTTCACATTTTTTCACGATTACTTCTCCGGGCAAGTCTGCCAAGGCCTTCTACTGGCCGGTTTAACATTTCCAGAGACATGGAGGACACCGACAATGAATGTTTTGCACTGCTGTCTTAGCACTATTCTCTAGTAAGTAGTACATATAAGGCAAAGGATTGTAACAGGTATAGACTAGTGCGGCAAACGTATTGTCTCTAGCCGGCTGGCTGAAAGTCAACGAATAGATTGATCTGCTGATGCAAGCAATAGTTAGCGATCTAATCTAGCAACCGAGTCCCATCTATGTTCGATCGGCGTTGATGTCCTGCGTTAAGGTCGGTCGATTACAGGGCGGCGTTCGTAGATGTAGTAAATGGCCGGTAGTCGGGACCGAGAGGGCTGCCACGTGTGGTTTCAGGGGGCCGCGAGAGGGATAAATTGCTATGAGAGCAGAGAGAGACAAGATATGTAAGGTTACCATATGATACCGACACTACCAAGGTGCAGTTTCGGTAAAGGGGTCTTCCAGTTTAGAACAGGGAATACCCGCGACTACTTCGTAACTTGGATTCTGAGGTTTTACCAATTGCAGGACCCTGAAGCTAGTAATGAGAGCGAGCCGGATCAGATAAGGGTGGGTTTGCCTATTTACGCTTGCTAAGCAGCGCGGCTTCAATCCGACAAAGTACCCATCTACTTGGGCGCCTGTTGCGGGGAGCAACATAAGATGCAGTGACCTTTTTACGTGGGATTTGACGAGTACGGGACGGCGATGAGTGCACGGGTCCTTACCTCATTGGAACGTCCTACACATTAATTCTTAGGGAGACGGATAAGGTGCTTATGGCGTAGGATACCTATTGTCGTTGGATCGATTCGAAAACATGTGTAGAATAGAGGAGAGAGAACATCTTGAAGATGCTGCTTTACCGGTTCGAGCAAGAGATTATCATCAATATATCGAAGACGACGATCTTTTGAAGCATCTTCTCCATTAGTCTTCGATCTAGCTAACTGGTTGCGCCCTAAGAGCATACATGGTTGAGGGGATCTATGCACTACTACTTAGCTACGCCGCAAATTGACGAAAGTGACCCTCCCAAGAACCAATTGGGACAGCGGAAATCCAATGCAATGGGACGTCAAGGATAGAATAGGAAGCATTCCACGATGACATTACTTAAGACTGGTATGTGATAGCTGTATATATTTGACTGCACATTTACTAGAATTCTCAACAAGAAAATGTCTTCTTGACTTGATTTGAAGTATTATTCCAAGCCTCCAGGCTTTCGTATATGAAAAGCGTGATTAAAGCCCGGGCCACTCGAAATCTGTATCTTTCGTCTAGACAATTTCAAACGACCCGACCGCTCCGCTAAACTATTACTTGTGAAAACGCCGCCGAGCAAGACTGCGGATATTCCTGGTAAGAAGGCCTGCAGATCGTTCCAAGAAGGGAAATTTGGACCTTGGAGCTGGAATATGGCCAGATGGCTAAGCTTCTTAGCTGGGCATTTATCCTACAGGACCTGGGTGGCGTTTATATTTGTAGTTAGTCTAGGGCTGCTAGGTCCCAACTAGGGGCGATAATTGGGGGCGGGCTGAAGCTATCTAGCGAGCTAGCACGATCCTTCGGCGGCAGAGCAGTTGAACCGTTGAGATCTATAGGACAGTAACGTGAAATCATAACAAGATACGCTATAGAACACTCGTATGTAGTTTGTGCAATTTGGTAAGGCAAGTTTCGTATGGTGTAGGTAGGAGAGAATAAGTATTCGTCGAATTCGGGTCCGCACGCACATGAGACGTCCTGCTCGCCCTGAAAATAGGATTGTTAGCTTCTCATAGGGTAAAAGATCATTGGAGGGATGTCCTGGAAGGATTCCACGCTCCCTGCACAGGGTCCCATCGAAAATAAGCATGTAACTACCCGAGTCCATATAACATGCTAGCCAAGATGAGATGGGACGGAATTGGGTAGACAGGGTAGGATTGCTGCGAAGCAGTAGGTACGGAAGGATTCTTTTCATAAAGCAGCCATATGTACCTAATTAAGCCCCAGAACAGAAGAGAGAGACGTTTCTCATTCTGTTTTCGTCACAGCGTCAGCTGTGTCTGACAACTTGCTTTTCCTGTGCTGTGTTTCGTAATCGAGGAAAAAAAGAGCAAGTCATGCTCCTCCTCAAGGTATCACCATCACATCAAATCCTCTTGAGCTGAGCCATCCACATCCGATTTCTAACGGCATCGGCCGTTTGAACCAGAAGACGCGATGTCGTCAATACCACCGGCCCATGAACCGCACAGTACTCTCGAAGTCTCCGAGAGGGATCCTGAGACCTATCAGAAAGAAGTAATAGCATATCCCGATCACAGCTATCCACAAGCAGTTCCGGTCGAGCAAGTTGGCGCTGGTGGAGCGACGCATTCATTCTATAGTCCCGAGTCGGCGAAAGAAGTCGTAGTAGAAGCACCTCACGATGCATACGCAGGAGCTGGCGTCTTGCCGGGACCGTATAAAGATCCTAACTCCATGGGCGGCGTGGCATACCAAAATGGCTATCCAGCGGGCGCGGTTTATGCGGACGGGTCAGCATATTCGAACAGCGCCTACCCCAATAGCACGTACCCGAACAGCGCATATCCGAATAGCGCGTATCTCACAAGCAACGGCAGCCAGATGGACCCCAGTATGTATGGACATAGCCCGGCCGAGAACGGTGGTCAATTCCCTCCCACAGATGAGAAGGCAGGGAAGAAAGGACCGATATGCGGGCTTCCAAGAAAGATATTTTTCATTTTATTAGGAGTCGGGATTGCGGTAATCGCGCTCGTGGGAGGACTAGCGGGTGGGTTGACGAGTAAGACTCATGGCGGGGAGAAGGCGGCAGCTTCGTCGGGATCGTCAGGCAGTCCCAAGGACCCGGCGTCGTCGAACACGACCGAGAAACTTATCCTCGATAATTCGAAAATAACAGCGTCGAATTGGACGGATTCCAACGGCGTCGTTCACAGAACCGTCCTCTTCCAAGACGTGTATAATTCAATTATCGCCCGACGATGGGATTCCAATGGAAAGTCGTGGACGACGGACAACTTGACCCAGTTGATGGCCGCGACGACGACGCCCCTTAATCCAATTCCGGGAACCCCCTTGGCGAGCGCGTCGATGGATCTTGATCCTACATACGAAACGCACGTGTGGTTCACGGATCCGTCGAATACGATAAGATCGATGGTCTGCTCTGACGCGCTGAACAAACCGGATAGTTGGGACAACGATACCCTCGACGACGCCGTTCTTGTAACTTGGCCCGGCTCTGGACTGGCCGCGATGTGGCAGCGATGCTGGCACTCTAGCTGCGATGGAACTTGGATCGTCGCGTATCAACGGCCGGAAGGGGCTATTAAGACGGCCAATTCCAGCACCTGGGCCACCGCAACTGTAGCGGTTGATTCCAGTGATGTCGCCGCCAATTCGAGTTTGGCGATTATCCCTCAGCTAGACGGGCCATATCTCGACCGTCTCGAGCTCGTCTCGGAACGCGTCGATTCAGGTCAGACGGGTGATATGAGAGTAACGACGTACAACGACACGTGGAACGGCGCTGATCAACGAGGTAAGCACCCTATTTTCCCAAAGATCTTCCAAAAAGAACTAAGAACATGTGTAAGCTGACAGGCTTATTAGTGACCGAACTCCAATCCGGCATACCATTGCCAGCGCCATCTCAGCAATTCGCCATAACGAAGTGGGACAGCTGGAATCAGGCGCTCTACCTCAGCCTGCTCCAAGGCGGCACACTTAAAGGCAACCACTGGGACGGAAAGACGATGAGCAATATCTCGTCTTTCAACTTCAAGTCGGGCCCCGATACCAACTTCACGTCCATCGCGATGACGCCGGACGCCATGTTCTACGGCATCTCCAACAACCAGATCATAGAGTATTCGCTCGACACGACGGATCCGTCTACATTCAACTACGTGGGCGTGGTCTTCCCATGAGATTTCCTTTTCTGCGTTCAAATGCAACAATTTTGTGTTTTCAGTTGGTCCCCAAAAAAGGATAGGATACTATGGGGCCCGGGAATTTGGGAAGGGCATTAGGGAGTTGGCGGGAAAGACTCGTTGCGGCACAGCATCAACCAAGGTGTATTTTTCTATTCTTATGATACGGCCTTATCCTTGTGTAAGTCGAGAGGACCTATTTTGACACGATACCAAGCGGAGCGAATTCGCTTTGTTTACCTATTATTTTGCCCTTAGGGTAATACTATGACACGATCTGTTTGTACGCATAGTTAGCCACTTACTACGTGGGACGATTTACCTAGATATCTAAAACAATAGAAAGAGAATCATATTCAATGGTTTGACTCATTCGGTTTTATTTATGGATGCAATGTATCTAAGTTAGTCGGAAAAGAACATACCAGGTAGGTAGGTATTGAACAACTCATCTACGCGAGGCTAATTTTGTGCCATTCCAACCGACGATGGCCTCAATTGGGTATTAGGGACATAAGCATCGTAATTAATGTAAATCAACCAACTTTATATGCATAACTCTAATGAGAACGTTGTTTGTGCGAGATCAGATTTCAATTCGTAATCGTGACGCGATGCAATTGTCAACGACGTCATAATAGCATAGCGATGTCTCACAAGACCAACAATGTGCTCCCATTCAGCTCTATGATGGTTTTCCGCACGTAACCTAAACCACATGTTATATAAGTGGCGGTTTCTATAAAACGAATGGAAATGCTAGGAAGGTCAATTACATTACGAACTGTACCTAGAGTTCTCATTAGGAGAAACCTGTTCAGAAATCCACCAACAAGATCTCCCACCACAACTGCAGCTATTACCAACTTGAGATATTCATTTAGAGATATCAAATTCAACAACAAAATACTTCGCACAATGGCTACCTTTTCGAATACGGATACTGGTGACAAACCGTCTGGGCCGTATTATAACAAGAACATCGACAATGATGTGACCCTGAAGGAGAAGGTCGAGACTCTCACCAAGTTCGTTTCCTCGTGCAAGTTCGGCATGATGACAACGCACGATGTGGTGAGCGGCAAGCTAGTGTCTCGCTGCATGGCCGTTGCAGGCAAGGTAAGAAGCTCCCAAGTCCATCGATATTGATCTCAATCGTCCAACACCCCCTCACCACTTCCCTGACCTCCCTCCCGACATACCTACATTCATGGGTTATGTCATGAATGAGCGTATAAACAACTAACCACAATCCCAATATTTAGGAAGGCGGCGATATCGACCTGACCTTCACCACGAACACAGAATCGCACAAGACGGACGAGCTCAAGGCGGACAAGCACACCAACATCTCCTTCTGCGACAGCTCCGGCCAATGGGCCTCGTTCGCAGGCAACGCGAGCATCGAGACGGACCGTGACGCCGTCAAGAAGTTCTACAGCTCTGCGCTGAAAGCCTGGCTCGGAGATCTGGGCGATGGCGTCCACGACGGATCGGAAAACGACCCGCGGATCGGCGTCCTCAGAGTGAAGACGAGCTCCGTGACGTACGCCATCACCGACAAAACACTACCCAGCAGGATGGCTGAGGTGGCCAAGGGTACGATTACCGGGGAGCCGGCTAAGGTTAATAAGTTAAGGGAGATCAGCGAGGATGAGGTCCGGCAGTGGAGGGCTACGGCTGCGAAGAAGACCTAAGACGGGATAGGACGGGATGAGACTCATGTGCAGTTGTGTGTCCCATTTGCTGTAACTGTAACGTAAGGTACCTTATAGCTGGATCGTTATAATTGTCCCCTTACAGAAGGTCTTAATGCGCCAACTTCTCATGTTTCATGCCATATACAGTTACTAGACTATTATAACCTTTCTAAGAGGACATTTCAAGTCGAAACTTAAACTAGCGGTCTAGGTGCAGCATTAATAATCGTATACTTTTATAAATAAAGAGGGCTTACTTACTCAGACCCCCTATTAATTCACATGCCTACCTACATAGCTATTGTTCTTTAACCAGACTTAGGTATACGCAGAGATATACATACCTCTCTGAGTAATATAGATAACACGATAGCGGCAGAATGGCGAATAGTAATGACGAACGTCGACCATTTGCCGGATATGCTTCTCTTTAGAGAAAGTGCGTCGGTGCTTGCGAAGCCTCGGAGGCAGGAAAATTAATCTGGAGATTTGGAAGAATTAAGTCAGCCATGCTAGGCCACGCTAGTAAACCAGTAAGCGGCGATCTGAGGAACCGGTTGTAAGGAGCCATGCCGTGTAAGGTCAAGTGCGGCAACCTAGACGCGGGCGCTACTGCCAGTTAGACGCCATTATGCGCCAGTTAATTGCTGATGTAAAGTGTTTGTAAGGCTTGGAGTGGCGGGACTGCGGGGTGGCTACGTACCTGTCGTCGGGAATTTTGTCAAATATTATACTTGCTGACCAACATGTACCTTCCGCTTGGATATGGGAAGGAAAGCACGCCTTTCTATTCCAAAGGTACCTCACCTCTGATATGATCCACTTTCGCATTCTTCCATTCTTTTCCCCTTTTCCCATTTTCTTATCAAATAATCAAGTGTCGGAAACCGAGGCGACAAAACGGGCGAATGTTCGTGATATTTCTAGCCTGACCTACTAAAGTACCTACCTACATAATGCATCCACCCTCGTCCCTGATTCGCGACCTACCTGATTCTGTCTTACTATTCGACCCAGCGTAAGAGTCTATAAAACTATCCTCTCGTAGCCTTCCGCCCCTCATGAGGGCCTTATCGCTTTCCATCTCTATTCTCGTAGCAATACTTTCCATTGTCCTATTCCGGGAACAAGTAGCCGAGCTTGCGACCGTATCTCTCAACGCCATCCTAGAGAAATTCAATAAGTCCTACGACAATAGTAGTAGTAGTAGCAGCGTCGCGACAGATCGCAACACCGTGACGACGACGACGACCTCCGATTCCGAGTCCGCATCCCCTTTCTACAATCCCAAAGAAAAGCTCGTCGCGACCGAGATGTCTATCCCGCGCGCAATCCGGAAGGTCTTCCTGGCCGTCGAACAAGCGTACGCGACAACCCAAAATACCTTTTCCTTGTGAAACCATTTCTAACTCTTTCCCTAACAGCGAAGGCGCCGGTGCTCGAGTCCGCCGATCGATCGGCACCCCGCAACTGCGCAACTTCTCGCCCTTCCTCATGCTCGACCACTTCAGCATCAAGCCCGGGTCGGGCTTTCCCGACCACCCGCACCGGGGCCAGGAGACGATCACGTACCTGCTCAGCGGCGCGGTGGACCACGAGGACTTCGCGGGCAACGCGGGCACGATCGAGGCGGGCGACCTGCAGTTCATGACGGCGGGGCGCGGCATCATGCACGCGGAGATGCCGCGGCAGAACCCCGACGGCAGCGCCAACGTCGGCCTGCAGCTGTGGGTCGACCTCCCCGCCCACCTCAAGGCGTGCGAGCCGCGCTACCGCGACCTGCGCGCCGCCGAGATCCCGAGCGCCGACCTCGACGACGGAAAGGTCCACGTTAAAGTTATCTCGGGCCAGGCCGCCGGCGTCGACAGCGTGAAGGACCTCGCGTACACGCCCGTCTGGATCCTCGACGTTACCATAAAGCCCGGCGGCAAGCTGGCGCAGCCCGTGCCCGCGGGCTGGAACGCGTTCTCGTACCAGCTAGAGGGCAGCGCGGTGTTCGGTGTGGGCGAGGCCAAGAGGACGGTCGAGCAGTACCACAACTGCGTGTTCGAGGCCGAGGGCGACACGGTGGTGGTCGAGGTGCCCGAAACGGCGAAGGAGAGCGCGCGCTTTGTGTTAATTGCGGGCCAGGTACTCGACCAGAAGGTCGTGCAGTACGGCCCGTTCGTGCTCAACTCGCCCGAGGAGGTCCGGAAGGCGTTGATCGATTACCAGTTCCACATGAACGGCTTCGAGAGGGCTAAGGACTGGCAGAGCGAGATCGGGAAGACGATGGCTGGTTGAGCGGCCGAGTTGTTGATCGATGATGAATGTGCATGTGTGTATATATTCGCGGCGGCCAGATGCCTTCCCCTGCCCTCTCACAGCCTTTTTTGGCATTGGCGAAGTTTCTTGTATATAGTTCCCCCCTTTTTAATTTTTGGCAAGCCACTGCATTGGTTGGCTGCTTGAGATACCCGATTGCACGGCTGGTGTATAGGGATAGCGGATAGTAGATGATGTTGACGATAACGACGAAAAGAATTTGAGTAGTGATTATCTTTTTGCATCTGTCCCCTCCCTCTCTCTTCTTCGTCTGCGAACCCAACCCCGTTTCATTGCCGGCTCTCAGAAGTTGCCCTTCGGCCGCTTGACGGGGTAGGCGTCCGGCAGACTCATGACCCATTGCAGCCGGATCAATTCGTCCATCGGCGGGTGCACGCCCTTCCACCAGGACGCTTTGCGCGGGTGCAGGCCTGTTACTTGTCGTAGGCGCGGGTTGCTCAGGATTGCGGCGGCTTCTAACGGTCGCGTGGGGTGCTGGTTCTTGGGCATGCTGTCGTAGCTGATTCTGCCTTTTTGGGTTCCTGGTTTCGTCGCCGGGGCCGGTGCCGGGATGGTCTTGCCAGGCTTTGGTGTTTGCGAGTTGCTTTTCGCTCTGGGAGAGCTGGAGGAGGTAGAGGATGATGATGGTGGTGGGCTCTTAGGAGCCTGGTTGTGAGGGATTGGCTTCATGTTAGATCTTCGGTGTTCGTTTATCGTGTTTGGGATCGTGTCTGGTCCGCGAGTATTCCTGGTTTGAGCAATGGAGTTCTTATATGTGGTTATACGAGAGATGATATCAGGTTGTTTTGTAAATACCTCAGCATACAAACCCGGATCCCGCACCGCCTTCTCCAGGTATATCCGCAACTTTTTATAATCCCTTCTCGAGACGAGGCTACGGGATATAAATATATTGCGTCATTGCCTACCATCGATACTATGTCAAGAGGTGCAAGTGTACAGTGTTACGACGTCTGACATACATACACGTATAGCTGTATGGGGGCAGAAATGGCGGCGGCATGAGAGACAGAACATGACTAGCATCTGTAAGCACTTGTAGCCTCACTCTCACTCTCTCGCCTGCTTGGCGTTGGATTACCGAAATCGATTGGCGCCTTTTTACTTGGCCGGTTTCACGGTACCACATTTTTAGGGCTATTATTACTGTCTTAGCTCGGTCCGACATCTCTCTCGTGAGATGCTACCTATTATTGTTTATGTCATTCGGCGAGCTGGGAACGGGCGCGAGTGCTACCCAGACGCGTTTGCGTCTGGACTTGTGTGGTTGCGGTACGGCGCGGGCGCGAAGTCGGAAGGGGTAATTGGACTTATTTCTCGTTCGTTCGGTGCGTCTCCCGCTCTTCATCTGCTTTTCACCCCGGAACACACCGCCTCGCGTATTGATATCCGGACCATGCTGTCATCGTTGCAAATGCAACGCCGACTTGGAATACAAAGAGTGAGTACCTAGATGCGCCAAATATATACAGGATCATTTGACTCTTTTCGGCTGCTGTAGAGACAGGTCAAAGGATAAGGGGCGGATAGGGCCATCAGCCCATCCGGGACACATGCATGGTGGGTGATGGTGGGTCGAGCTTTTCGCTGGTTGGTACGTGAGAGCCTCAATATTTAATAGTTTCATGTCGGCCCATTTACCTGTGAGAACGGCGCTGCCGGTTTCAAGGTTTTTTGTGATATGGCTTGGTGGTGTGCAGTCGTTCTGTTTGGCTCCATGTCGTGTCACATCTCCAGCAATCCTTCCCACACTCATGCTTTTTAAGCCACTCCCAAGCTCAATAGGGAAAAGAGGTCGACGGAAGAATTAGGGGTATTATCGGAAGAAACAATCGAGATGTTTCATACTCCTAGGGCGAGATCGACTGTATCCGACCCTATCATTCAAGGTCATTATTATTGGAGATTTGCATGGCTATAACCTCCACGCTAGTTTTGCTGGCAATCATATCACCGTATACTATGATAGTACAGACATAATAGGGCGGTACGAAAAAAAAAATCTCAAGCCACATGTATACCTGCGTACCAGGTAAGTAGGTATATGCGGGTCGTATCACAGTGATCGGGATATTTCTAGGTAGGATACGGCTAAAGGAGAGGAGAAATTCATCGATAGTTAAGTCATAGAGTTATAGTATCTAGAAGAGTGCCCTCTACATACCTACCTAGGTACCTACTTACCAGGTAGGAATCCAACCTTCTGGATCTAGAACTAACAATAGGATGTCAAAAGAATAAGATCTAGGTAGGTAGAGCTATTAATACTGATCCCAATTGCATCTATATATCACCATCAAGGGTCTCCTGAGAACTCTACCAAAGGCCAAGTTATCATTCGCGATGTCCTGGACGTTCATCATCTCTAAGAGATACCAATGTTATGAGGAGCGTCGATATTCTCATAGTCATCTAGAACCTCGAGTAAGTATTCCATTAAATTACTTACGAGGTGCTGGCATTCACTCGTCCATGAGTAAATTGTGCCTAGGCCTCGCTGCCTCAGGGTACCCCGTGATAAGGCGCCTTGACTGGTCATCTGTGGCCGATGGCATATTAAGGAAAATTAGCCAACGTACGTATTTACCAGCTTCTTGATTTATAGTAGGGGAACATCCCGCTACTAGGGTTCAGAGCCACAGAATACCTCCATATTCCTAGTTGGGGAACATCCCACAGAAGCAACGCTGTCCAATCATTGCTGGCTCGATAGACCGGTACAATTACTACGCCGGGTGGTAACTAGCATACATGTAATAATGATGCCGAAGATAGTAACTATTCAACGACAAGACTTAGTCCCATTATCTTCCGAGATGTGTGAAACCTCCCGTATCTTACATGGGTAGGTAGGCACCCCTTTTCGAAGATCGGAAGACTGGTTGGGTATGATATGACCATCCCCTGAAATATTTTATATGAAATATATGCAATGAGTATTGCTACCTTTTTGAACGAAATGACCTAGTCACTTCCCTAATTTGACAATCTCGTTACACTCACGATATTGCTTGTACTAGCTCGCTTCCGTTACCTATTGGTTATCTTAACCTCGGGAACATAAAGCTCGGAGCCGCAGTTGATTGTCTTCGTTATGTGCTGGGTTTCAATATGTATCCTCATAGAACGTTATACTCCATCGAACGAACACCTTCTCCCAAACTAAATACCATGGTCCCCTTTTGGCATAAATTCTGATATTCAGGGGGGGGGGCGGTTGTATGACTACTATTAGAAAATTGGATCAAGAGACTAGAATACTCATAATTGGGCTAAGTCGTGTAAATGGCGTGCATTAATCCTCTCCTAACAGAGCCATTAAATCTGATTACGCCGTTCAGTTCCTCTCACAAGTACCTCACAGAGTACTTAAAACTAAGGTTATCATATACACTAACAGTTTTAAGCCCTTCTTTATCATAGGTCAATGGTAAAATGGGTTGCAAATGAATAATAGCGTTTGTAAGTCCGAACTTAAGCTTGTGACATGACAACGACAACCACGTGGTGGCAAGGACCAATCCATGGTCAATATATTAATCTGCATGGCGGATATTATTTGGCCGGTATATCAGGTAATGTATCAAGCGAGACGATATCGATCTATTCTGGAAGTAGACGTCCATATAAATGCCGGTTAAATTGAACTAATTAGGTGACCTCGAGTCAATATTACATTACGTTTGATCAACTTCCTGGCATTGCCGACGTTGGTGATGTATCGAATTAGTTTACCGGCGTCTCTAGAGCGAATAAATATCTACCTAGGCTTTCAGACCTGGCCCCTTCGCTTTACACCTCGAGTCCAGCTCTCTGTCAGCGTTAGCACCGCAGCCAACGTTGACTCGAACTTTTAAAGGCGTGGGGGTGATTTTCCATCCTTATCCAAAGGTTTTGGCATTATCGAAAACCGCTTGAATTTTGGATTGGTAGTCCTCTAGACTTAACACTAGGTAAGGTTTATACCGAAATTTGGAACAGCGAGGCTACTTATTGTTAAATACAGGGCACTATTCCCTGTATTTAGTACTACACTATAATAGTTTAAGGGATTATTGAAAACAGTTATAATAGCTGTTTACGGCGCTCTTTGTTTACTGTTTTTAATATATTACATTCCATTGTTTTTAACACATTAATCCATTAATTAATAAAACATTTACAGTTATATAAGCTGTTATACATTCCTTAAATTTAATAAACTTTTAATAAAATATAATAATAATATATAAAACATTTCTTAATAATAATTCACATTTTTTATAACATTATTAAATAATGTTTTATATTTTATAAATTTAATTATAAAACCCGTTTTAATATTTTTATTTTTTTATATTTTAATATTAATTTTATTAATTTAATATATATATTATATTAACTTAAATTTAATTTTAATAAGTTATAAACCCGGCTTTATAAATTAAATTTATTTAAAACTTTTTACGTTTTAAAAAATATTATAATATATTTATAATATTTTTTATAATTTTAAATTTATATAAGTTATTTTTATTATTTAACCTTTATAATATAAATTTTATTAAATTTATATAAAGGGTTAAAAACTTTATTTAAAATAAACTTAAAAAGTTTAAAATTATTATTAAATATTTATTATTTTTATTTTATAATAAGTTTTTTATAATAAATAATTCCATTATTAAATTTATTAAAAAAATTATTATTTTAAAAGCTTTAAAAATTAATAACCGTTTTATAATAACGTTTACTTACCGGGAATTTATAAAAAAATATTTAACGTTTTTTAAAAAGTTTAAACTTACAAGCTTTGAAAATTACCAAGGGTAAATTTTATAATTTTAAAAGATTTTTAACGTTTTATAATTCTTTAATTTTATAAAAAATATAAGGTTTTTAAACATTTTAAAAATTTATAAAAAATTAATTATAAACTTAATTATAAAAAATAGTTTAAATGTTATAACTTAAGTTATAATATTATATTTTATAAAATTAAAATTCATTTTATAAAAGTTAATGGATTTATATTGTTTTAAACGGGGTTTTTTAAAGGCCCGTTTATATATTGAATTTTATATTTTAATATTATAAAAAAACATTAATTTAATAATTTTTAATAATAAATTCAACGGTTTAACTTTTAAAATAAAATGCTTAAAAAACTTTATTAATAATGAAAATTAATATAACGTATATTTAAAAACTTTATATTTAATATATTTAAATTAAATTAATATAACGCGTTAAAACTTTAAAGCCATTAAAAATAAGTTTTTTACGGACTTTAATTCGAAAATAACCTTTATAAATTTAATTTACTTAATAATTAATATTTTATTAAATTTTAAAATTAATAAAAAACCTTATAATTATAACGTTAAAAACGTTAAAAAAAACATTAAAAATAATATTTATTAAGTTAACGGACCTTTTAAAAGGAATAAAAATAAAAGCAAATTAAAAAATAATAAAAAAAATTTAAACCAAGGGTTCATTAAAGGATTTAATAGGAATAAGTTTAAATCCATTAAATAATCTTTTAATATAAAAGATAAAAATTTTATTACGTTTTATTTAAGGTTTATTTTTAAAGGAAAAAATAAAATAATTTTTTTAAAATTTAATCCTTTTATTATAATAATTATTAAAGTTATTAAAATTATTAAAATTATAAATATTATAAACTTTATAATTAAAGTTTTAAGTTTTAACGGCTTTATAATTAAAACCTTTAAACATTTTAAAATCATAATTAAATTTAATAAATTTATTAATTTTAAAAAACTTAATATAATACTTAAAAAAGGACTTAATAAAAAATTTAAAAAAACTAAGAAACTTAAGGCTTAAAACATTTCTTACTTTAATTTTACGTTTTTAAGGCCTTATAAATAACTTAAAACATTTAAGTTTAAAATATTTATTAAAAATGTTATACCTTTTATAACACCCATTAAAAAAATTATATTAAAACTTTATAAACGGCTTAAAACATTTAAGTTTATAACATTTATTAAAAATGTTATATTTTTTATAATATTTATTAAAAAAATTATATCCTTTAATTTTATTATTAATTTTATAACATTTATTAAAAAAATTATATCTTTTAAATTTATATTTAATATTATAATAAATATATATATATAAGTAATTATTAAACTATAACATTTTTATATAATTATTTATTTATTAAATCCCTTAAATAATAATAATAATTTATTATAAAAATTATTTTATAATATTATTATAAAAACCATTATAAGGATTATATTAATAAAACGGTTTTTATAATTATATAATATTAAATTTATTTCATATATAATAAATAATTATAATTAATTTATTAATTATACCTTTAATCGTAATTTAAGAAATATAATAATAAATAAAAGGTTTATAACTTTTATAAAATTAAATATTATAAAACTTAATGTACGCGTTAAAATTAATAAATATAAGGATTTTATATTAAAAAATATATTATATATATTTAAAATAAATATAAATATTATAAATAATATAAAGCATTATAATTTAAAGGGTTATATAAAAAGAAAAACGTTATATAATAAAGTTAATAAGCTTATAATAGTTTTAAATTTAAAAAGTTACCCCTTTATTTACATTAAAATTAAAAAAAATAAATAATATTTTAAAAACTTAATAAATATAATATTTATAATTTATTATATCATTAAAAATTTAAAAGCCTTTTTAAGGGTTTTTAAATTTACGGATACATTTATATTACCCGTTATTTTTTCCATAAAATCCTTTATAAACTTAATAAATAAAGTTTTATTATAACACGTTAAATTAAATTATTTAAGTTTTTTTTTATTAAAAAAAATTATTAATATAATTAAAAAAATGTTTAACTTTAATTTATTATAAAATAAATAATTATATTACGAAAAATGTGTTATATTTAAAATAATTAAAAAGTTAAAACCCATTAAAATCTTTAATTTTACAAGGGCTTTAAACGTTATAAAAAAAGATTTATTTATTATTTAACTTACACCTTTAAATAAATAATTTATTTACCTTATTTTAATGGATAAAAAAACTTATTATAAATGGATTTATTAATTATTTAACAAGGAAATTAATACATTATTAAAAGTTTTAAAATTTATTTTTAAAAGGTTTAAAAACCGTTATAATAAATATTTAAAGCGTTTTTATTTTAATAAAAGTATTAAAATAAATAACAACGTTATAATAAATTAATTATAACGTAAAAAGATTAAATTTAATATATTTAACTTTTATATATTTAAATAAAATAATTTAACGAAATATTTTATTAAAATAATTATTAAATATTTTAAGGTTATAATATAAAGGGTTAATGTTTTATTACATTTATAAAAATACATTATAACACTTATATTAAACTTTATTAATAAAATAATAATAATAAATAAAAACTTTATTTTTTATTAATTATTAAATAATAAATTAAATTTTATTAAAACATTTTATATATTTAATTTAATAACTTATAAAATTATAAACTTTAAAACTTTAATAATTAAATTTAAATAACACATGAATAAAACTTATAAATTAAAATTATATATTAAAAAAAATATTATTTTAAATACTTTAAACATTAAAATATATTAAGTTTATATACTTAATTAACTTTTTAATAAAATTATATAAATTAATTTTATAAAAGTTTTAAAAGTTATTACATTTATAACGAATAAAGTAATCCTTAATTTTAAAAGTATATAAATTAAAAAATAATTCGATTAAGTTTTTAACTTATTAAAAAAAGTTATTAAATTATTTAAAAATATAAAGCTTATAAAATTTAAAATTATTAAAAATATACTTAAAAAGTTTATAATTAAAAGTTTAATTAATAACTTAAAATTAAAATTAAAATTAATTAATATAATAATTAAAACCTTTTTAACATTTATATATTAAAAACCTATTATAAATTTAAACCTTAAATTAAATTTAAAAGGGGACTTTATGGATTTAAATCCATTAAATTTATTAAAACTTATAATGAAATTAAAAACCTTTTTTCTTTTTACACCTTTTACATTTATTATAATTAAACTTAATTCCTTTATAAAATTAAATTATATTAAAATAATAATAATTCATTTAATATATATTATTATAATAAAGAATAAACTTAAAATAATAATTAAAACTTTAAAATTTTTTAATTTTAAATATTAGTTTTAAATTATTAAAATTAAATTTAAATAATTATTAAAAATAAAGGTTTTTAAATTTATATTAATTAATAAATGTAAATAACATTTTATATTATTTCGTTAAATATTAAAAACTAAGTTAAATGTTTTAAAAAAAAATTTTAAATTTAAAATTAAATTAATAATTAAAGGGTTTAAATAATTATTTAAAATGGATTTTATTAAAACGTTTATTTTAATTATTATATTTTTTATATAACGTATATTATTAGTTTAAGCCGTTATATATAATTAAGATATAAAATAAATTAATTTTATAAAAGCTTTTTTTAATAATAAATTTAAAAAATAAATATTTATAAAATTCTTTTAATTATTTAAATTATTATTAAAAAACTTTAAAATCTTAAAATTAATATTATAACACGGGTATAACTTTAATATTAAATAATTAATCCTGTTAATTTAAGCTTTATATAACTTAAAATAAATATTTAAAAAATGGCAATTAACGTTATTTAAATTATTTTTAAAATTAAAATATAAACTTTTAATTAATGATTTATTAATACATTATAACGTTAAATATAATACGTTTATAATAACGTACGTAAATAATTATTTAATTATAAGACTTAATAATTATTATATTTAAAAACTTAAAATTTAAATTAATAAACGTTATTTTATTAAAAATAAAAAACTTATTATTTAATTTTTAAAGGTTAAAATTAAAAAAAATAAACTTAATAAAACTTTTTATTTATATTAATGGTAATATATTAAATAAACTTTAAAAAAATTTAATTTAAAAAATTATAAACCTATTAAAGTTTTTATAAAAACGGGAATTATAATATTTAAAAATTTTAAAAAACTATTTTTATTTATTAAAGTTAAGTAATATTAAATTATTATAAAAATTATTATATATTTAATGTTAATTATTAAAATTAATATAATTTTTATTATATAATAACTTTTAAAATATATTTATAAACTTTATAAAGCTCATTTTATAAATATTAAAAACTTATTAAAATATTTAAAAAGCATTATAAACTTAATTTTATATTATAAATTTATAAAAAAAGATTTAATATATTTAAAAAAAGTTAATAATAATTAATTTTTTAAAGATTTAATCCTTTTAATAACTTTAAATAATAATTACATAAGTTATAAAAACACCGTTAAATTAATTTAAAATTATTTAATTATAATTATTAAAAGCGTTATAAATTAAAAAAACAAACGGGTTTTTATAATAATTTTATTTATTATTAAAACTAAATATATAATTTTTATTAAAATAATAAAAAAAATATAATAATTAAAAATTTTATATTTAAAAATTAACAAGTTTTTTAATATATTTATTATTTTAAAAAATAATAATATAAAAGTTATAATTATTATTAAAAACTTTAAATATTATTTTTATATTAAATATGTTTTAATTAAGTTTTAATATATTAAAAAAACTTATAAAGTTAAAAAAATTAAAATTAATTATTTATTTATTAATAAAATGCCCGTTAATAAATTAATTAAAACTTTAAAACTTTTAAAATAAATAATTTTTCAAAGGATAATAAAGTTTAAAAACTTAAATAAATAATTTATTTAATAAAAAAAAATATTAAATATAAAACATTATTCTTTATATTTAATATTATATTATAATAATTTAAAAAACTATTAAAAATAATTATAATAATTATTTACAACGCTTTTTATTTATTACTTTTAACATATTATATTTCATTATTTTTAATACATTAATTTATTAATTAATAAAACATTTATAATTATATAAACTATTATACATTTTTTAAGTTTAATAAACTTTTAATAAAATATAATAATAATATATAAAATATTCCTTAATAATAATTTACACTTTTTATAATATTATTAAATAATGTTTTATGCCTTATAAATTTAATTACAAGACCCGTCTTAACACTCTTGCTTCCCTGCGTTTTAGCACTGATTTTATTAATTTAGTGTATATACTACACTGACCTAAGTCCAGTTCTAATACTTATTGTTTAATGTTGGTGGTCAAAAAAAGTCTGCTGCGGCCACATCATTGAAATCGATTTTCGGGAGGGTCGTCAAGATGTTGCCTGGCCACTGCTATAATACAGCGAACGCCGTAATCCCTCTGACTACCTACCTACCTAGGGGTACATAAATCACCCAACAGTAGGTACTACGTAGTACAAAGCGTGCCAAGAAAATGCGATTTGTGGCTGTACACCACGTCGTTATAAATCTGTACTTATGCTACAAACATCAGTAATCAGATTGACCATTACATCCCAAATTACAACAACTCATTTGGCAATCATGTGTTCCTTTGCTGATGAAAAAGCTACCAAGGCCGAAATGCATGCACGTCTTACCACGGACGCCAAGTCCAGTAAATCTAGCTGGACGCGCACCTCCAAACCCGTTCTCGCCATCCTTACTCTCCTGTCCCTCGCCGGCGCTGCCTTCTACTTCTACCAAAATGGTGTCCCCTTCTACCAAACACCCACATTATCTCCTTCCTGGAACGATGAATCTGAATGGCCCATCCCCAAGATCCCAGGCCCTGAACTCCCCGCCCCCGTTGAGCCATTCGAGCCTCTCAAGCGCTACAGCCTCGACTACGGCAAGGTCGCTTGCTGGCAGGACGGCGGCGTGTGGATCAAAGAGCTCACGCCCGTAGAGATGTCTTCTCTGGGTATTGACCGCTTCCGGGACACCGCCCGCGCGCTCGAACAGGCGGACGAGGACGCGTTCTGCACGCGCCTGCGCATGCACGGCGCAAGTTTCTGGCAGCTGCCGCCACAATGGCCCGAGCATATCAACTGGTGCGACGCCATGGATGATTGTGTGAAGCCGACGAAGAAGGTGAGCCTCGAGGTCGGCTTTCCGACGAGCGGCGGTGTGTGGATGCTCGATACGAGTCAGGGGTGGGAAGGGCTGTACCCGCAGAGTTTGGGCCTGCGAAACGCGCTTACGATGGACGAGAGGTGCGAGGTTATCAAGGACCTAGGCGGACGCTTCTCCGAGGATATCCAGGCGTGCCCAGAGATGGCTGCTTTATTAAGACCATAGAGGGTGTGCAGGGCCCGGAGGCGACGGCCAAGCAGGGGGCGTTGCTTTTGATCCTGCAGTACGCAATATGTTATTCATAACCAGAAATATCACGATATACCGTATCCTAACGAGATGTCGTCCTTGGTCACGTAGGTAGTTTAGACTGCATTCGGAATTATACCAGAATATTCAGAGCCACCGTATCAAGACCCAAAGATCTATTCATAGCCCCTGTAGTTAACTACGTTTCAGGGAGATCGTGTTGGGGAAAACACGTGGGATGCTATATTTGGTAGGATTCAATTATTTCAATATGGGAAAGCCCTCAAATTGGCGAATCAAGAAGCTGGGCCTGTTTAATGGTTTCAGGCGGATATATTGAAAATTTAAGGTATCATATCCCGTTTCTCGAATCTACAAACTCAGTTTGCCAATTTCCTACATGATCAGGGTGTAAGGGACTATATTCCACGTGGAAGCCATGTGGCCATGAACCCGGCTGAAAGGAAACTCCGCCAATAGGCCTCCATAGCCTCCAATAGCCTCCGTAAGCTCGGAATGATCGACTCCGTAAGGTAGGACGCCATTCCGCATATTCGTAGTAACGGTCAATTTAGGCACCTACATTGATTCTGTTGTATAGGAGATAATGCAGCCCTTTAATTTAGCCGTTCTCTCAGTGGGAATCCAAGAGGGACACAGGGCGTATAATCTACCCCCTATGCCACAGCCATGATAAGAACAGAGCTGGCAACTATATAAGCCAGACTGAGAATAACGTTCAACCGAGGAAAATCGTCTATTCTGTTCCAAATCTCTGTCCAAATCATTTTATAGGTACCTAGTCATAATGCTTTGCAGCAAGTTCCTCCCCTTTGCCACGCTTCTGAGCGCTGCTGTCGCTCAGAATGCTACTCTGCGATATATGGTAAGTTGCTTCCTAGTAAATTATTTGAGCACCATAACATCTTAGCTAACTACGTCTTAAGCCGTTTGGAGATAGCATTGGTATGTGAGAACGTGTGTTGTGGTTTTCACTCTCGACGCCCTGGTACTACAGCTAACATGTTGACAGTTAGTCGCATATTTCTAAATTATAATATCCTGGAAATAAATTATGGATACTAATACCCCGTATCCAAACATGTAGACTGAGATTATCTGCTGGAGAGCTCTGCTCTGGGAGAAACTGAAGCCCACCGAATGGGGATCCGTCGACTGGGTGGGATCCGGCAAGACGGAAAACAACTGCGGAGACACCACATATGACCGCGACAATGAGGGTCACTCCGGTTTCTTGGCCATCGACATTGCGAATAGGAAGCAGCTAGTCGGCTGGCTCCAGACCAACCCGGCCGATGTCATTACCATGCACCTCGGAACCAACGACATCGTACAGCAGAACAAGGCCGTCACTGATATCCTCGCGGCTTTTACGACGCTAGTAGGAGTTATGAGGGACAGCAACCCGAACATGAAGATCATCGTAAGCCATCTCCAAGCCATGCTCACTGCGCCCCCTCTCCCTTTTTAAATTCTCCTTGGGCATGCACATCGTCAAGTAAGATGTTGTCAGGTGATACCAGCTGGCAGACGGGTCCACTCACCCCCCCTATTCATCTTGTGTAACCCTACCCAGATTACAGCCAAGTTCTTAAACGACGTTTCCAGCTAATCGCAAAAACCCCCAACCAAAAAACAGGTGGCCCAAATCATCCCCATCGGCCTCGGCAGCTACAACGCGCAGATCCAGAGCCTGAACCAGGCGATCCCGGCGTGGGCCGAGGGGCTCAACGCGACGGAGTCGCCGATCTGGGTCGTCGACCAGTACACGGGCTTCAGCGCCGCGAGCGACCTGCGCGACGGCGTGCACCCGAACAAGGCCGGCGACACCAAGATGATGGACGTCTGGTACCCGGCCCTCGTCAACGCCTTCGCCGTCGCGCAGGCGGAGAAGAACGCCGCGGCCGCGGCCGCTGCCGCTCTGGAGTAGGGCGGTTCGTGGAAGACGAAAGCGAAGGCAAAGGCACTTGGACTGGAGAGGTGGTGAAATTATCTGGAAGTACTTGTCCCAGGTTATGTATGTACTTTCAGTTCGTGTAAATATTGCTTGGATATTGGTAGCTTGGTGCCGCCGAGAAGAAAAGGAGACAGGTATATGCCTACTCACATTCTCTCAAAATCCCTATGCTGGAATGATTTGTTAATTCAAGATGACAATTGTGGACGGAGGTGCTCTGAGAGCCGCTTAATCATACCCAACTTGATGCAACTAGGTAGACATGGAAAGGGGTCGAGGTCGAGGCGATAGGAAATACGATTTTACCCCTGAGCCTCGAAGCAGCATCGATTCAAGTAACTTGCTTAAGCACATAACCATCGTGCCATGAAACTACGACGACAGGACGAAATATCACGTGGCCAAAGCACCAACTACAATCCGCACCGTCACCAACCGTCGCGCCGGGACACCCACGCGTACGACGCGTTCCCCGGGCCCCGTGACCCGTGACTCACTCCCGGACCAAGGTTTAAATAATAGAATAATACCAGCATGAGACATGGACCAACAAGAGCCTCCTGACCGATTGGCCAGGGCCCGCATATGGCGCAACGGTTAGGAGTGTAGGTCAGTAAAAACCCCGCCGCTATATACTATGTAAGGGTTTTTCGTAGGCGGTCAATACTCCACATCGACGATGCTGGGGAAGTATGGCGGACTTCGGTGATTCGAGGACCACAGCTTCCAGTATTCCGCTGAGCTTTTTGCCTTTTTTTGGTTTTCTTTTCCTTTCTTTTTTTCTCATCGCTACTTCTTCTCACTTTCCATCACAACCTGTCCCATTTGTTATCGAGTCAAAATAAAAGCCTCCTATATTTTAACCCCTTCGCAAAATCATTTTTTTCCCTATTGCTTGATATGCAAAACCACACTAATGTTGACACCTAATAAAACAACCTGGATATGTAAGCAATCATCCGCTGTTAATTATCTATATCCGACAACGCTATGGTACATGGATGCACAGTTCAGCCCGTAGACCTTTGCAGCTGACAAGACTCCCCTAGAACCCAAACAGAACTGAAAATTTCGCCTTGATCAAAAGATTATCGCTATCCTAGCTATTCACAGAGCTGCCCTCGCGTATGGCTTAGAAGGCAGGCATACCATAGAATGGTACCTACCCGAACATTGGCAGGATGGCTGGATCAGACGCCGTGGAATCCACGTCGTCGTCGTCGAAGACCGGCTGGACAGCGCGTCTGGAAAGCATAGCCCAGAAGAAACGAAGGCCAAGGTTCATCAGGGTGGCCTTCCGGACTCTTTTCGACGTCGGATACAGCTCGGAGGGGAACCATGCATCAAGAGGCCCTGCAGGTCTTCCCACAACCTTTGGCTGGTCGACCTTCTCGCGTTGTGCGAGCATGACGCCCAGTGCCGTGCCGCAAAGCCAGGCCAACATCAAGCCGTCGCCGTTGTAACCAGCGCAGATCCACTCGCCGGGATTGTGATTTGGATACATTGCCTCGCTAACAGCGGGCTTGCGGCCAGTCAGGCTAAAATCTAGCCTTCCGACGAAGGGAAGTTGGTCTCCCGTGAGTGCTATGATTCCAGACCATTGTAATAGGGTCTTCCAGTGTCCTGCCTACGGATTCCGGAAGATTGTGGGGAGAATTCCTCGTAGGTGTGCTAATGGTAAGGGTTCAAGCCTGCTTTCATCCCATACACCGGGCGTGTTTGCTCCTTGACCCCCGGAGCGCGAGCAGCCTCCGCCGAAGATGACGTCTCCCTGTCTCCCGTCGACCGTAGGCCGTTGCATAGCATAATCACACGCGTGGCCGTAGAAGATGTGCCACGATTTCATGGGGTCTGAGTAAGCGTAGAGTTTGCCTGGTCTCATCATAGACACCATTCCGAGGACGCCGGTTAATCTGCCTCGCAGGCCCGGTACGAGCTCGGTTGCGAAAGCATTCGTAGCATGTACGACATGGTTACACTCCCATGTGCGGTTGAATAACTCGTCGGCGACGACTTCGAAGGCATAAGACCGACCTCTCAGTGCCCGTACACTCAAGACCGTTGCGTTGGTCCTGATGTAAATGTCGTGCTTATACTTCCGAAGAAGTTCGTCCCATACACAACTTACGAATCTGTAGGGATGTATTGCTCCGGCACGATACAATAAAGCACCCCTGACATTTTTGTTGACCTTGAATTCCTATAATTATATTAGTACTATCAGTTTTTATTACCATTCTCGTGAAACGCAGAAAGGCAGGTTGTGAAGCGGCGCTTACTTCCTGCACTGTGTGTGCGTCAAACTTGGTATACTTTAACTCCGGTATGTATTTCTGGATGGCATCCACTTTAGCGAAAGCACTGTCGCGTTCTTCGTCTGTAAGAAAGTAGTCTACGGTGTCAACTTCACGGCACTCGGCGATATTCCATCCCTTGTTTTCGCATAATTCCATCAATAATGGAATATGAGATAGCTGGAACTTTATGATCGCGGCGGCTCGCTCGACTCCATGAGATCTTCGCAGTTGGTCGAATTGTTCGTGAGGTACGATCTTCATATGCCCACCATTGCGTGACGTGGCACCGCCGCAAAGATCGCGGGATTCTAAGACGACGACACGGCGCCAATTACCTGAGCGACTGCACTCTTCCAGGTACGACCAGGCAATGGCTGCGGCAGAGATGCCGCTACCTATAATGACGATTTCGGTCCTGTTTGATGGCGGCATCATGCGAAGCTGAACGATGTCTGGGAAGGGAGGGTCGTCTTTCCAGTAGGTCCTGGTGGGATCTTGGGACGGAAACCCAGCCTGGTACCGCAAGCGTTTCATGAGAATTTTGAATTGCTCGCTCATGCTGCGGAACGCCTTGCCGGCAAGGGCGGCGCTTTTGGTTGAAGACTGGACGGCACCCATTTTGGCGACTAGATAAGTATTGCAAATGGATATGTATAGGTAAAGACTGTCTATCAAATGGACTCCAATAAAGAAAGAAATATCACCAAGAATGTTTGATATTCGAACGAGTGATTGTAATCAATTACCGTCTATTGAAAGATGAGAGAAAAGTAATACCCGTAAGCGTAGGAAATAGATGGAATTAGCTGTTCGTATCTTACATAAACTCATACCAATTGCAACTTCCAGGCTTCTTTTTTATTTAATCTTCGAGTAGGCGCTGTCGGTTGTTAAAAGCGCCATGTCTGTAGGAAAGCTCTCCCTACGAGAGCAGAGTAACTACAGAGCCTCGCCCAAGGTACTTTTTAGACCAGTACATGCATGTTCTTATTTCCAATATAAACGATCTCTATTCCGATAATTATGGGGATAATTGATGAAAGTCGTGATGGATGTTGACTTGATGTATATGGTTACCAAATAGCGAACGTCAAACTTGGCGGGGTTATTAAACCTCCAGAAAAGGACATCGTAGACAGTGACATCAGACAAAAAGGTAACAGCTTAAAATTCATAAGTGTATGAAGTATGCAGGTGGGTTAACTTCACAAGAGTTAATTGTCTCGTTCTTTCCAGTATTACATTTTTATGATGTTGATGAACATGATGGAAGGTTTGATCTGTTCCCATTTTCCGAATAATTATTCGGCAAGTGGTCCGTGTGTCTTAGCCAGGGAGCTAACTGGAACCTTCTATGAAGTCTCTAGATCCATCAACTGCAACCCATTTATGAAAGTCTGAATATTGAAATTCTCAGTATAACTTTCAGAAAGCTTAATAAATAAATCGTCTAGGATACCTAATGATCATATAGACAAACCATTAGCAAACAACTAAATGGTAAGAATTCTTCTTCAGCGATCACCTCTCAGAATCCTGAGCAGCAGCACCACACGTCAACTCTACCATCCTTCACTTCGCCCACTATCACAAAGAGCCATGTCATCAGCAGCAAACCCAAACACTGGCGCCAACTCACAAGAGACGGCACCCACCCAAACACAACACAGCGGGACCGAGCAAAGCGAGGCCTCGTCTCACCAGGCGCCCCTACCGCTCCCGGCACCGGACACAGATGATGCGACGCAGCTGCTCGTCGGCGGCGAAGGCGTCAAGCTAGACCACCGTAAGTCACAACCTCCCCCCTTTTCTCTTGCTTATTCTTGTCCCTAAATGCCTACCTACACATACATCCTACATAATGCATCCTTCAAGTTGAGTTGATTACCTATCCTATGCACCGTATTGACACCTGTGTAGTGGGTCCGCTGGTCGTCAACGAGGACGGCACTATGAGCCGCATCGCCAACTGGAACGAGATGGCCGAGATTGAGCGGCAGAATACGCTGCGCATCTTGGGCCGGAGGAACAAGCAGCGGCTCGACGCCCTGAAGGCGAAAAGAGCTCAGGCTCAAGCCTCTAGTTAGGTAGTTCGGGAATAGGGGTTGGAACATACCTCCCTACCTACGTACTACCTATGCAATTGTATCAAGTACAGCGTGACCTTGGGGATGAGTTATTGATCATGAAATATGAAAAGTTACGATTTCGAGGGTTAATGTATACATAGAGTTATACGACAGGTACATGCCATACGGGAACGCACATGCATAGTATGTATTATACATATTAGGACTACCTACATGTAGTGAACCAACAAATACATCAACTGATAACCGCCAGACCACATGTAGTACTTAAATGGTACCGTGCGGCCTTTACATATCCAATTTGTCATCTTGCCTTGACCGCAAATATGCCTTTCGTTGTTCAACAACTTTTCCGTGCAGCTGTGGTGGGTCTCAAGGAATCGGGTTTACTGATAGACAGGTCAAAGACCATCCGCAACACTAAGCCCAAACTGTATAGTATGCAATATAATAGTAGATTTGTAAGCAGGGTCAAAAACCCTCGGCCCAGGGTGGTTAGTGGCGGATCTGTCGGAATGTTAACAAAGATCCGGAGATAGACAACCATGATTTTCTGGGGCTCTGACCAAGTGCCGGTGAGGACGCCAGACAAGCCGACTGTATGTGAATCACACATTGGTTGATCGAGCCTCATACGCCCTCGATCGCTTAAAACCATATTGATTGTCATACCCGAGAGCAAGACGATGCATTAGCAATAATATAGAAGTGTCACATTACAGCAACACAAATATACCAAGTAGAGAGAGGTCAGATAAGCTTTTACACCGTAGCCGGGACATTACCCGTAAATCGTATATTAGACCCGTAAGCCTCGTCAAAAGTTGGTCTCAAAATCAGACATGATATATCCCCAAAATCGTAGCCCCCCTCCAATGGCGCATAGTCCATATTGATAACCCCTGAACGCCATCGTGAATGTTTCAAACAATGGAAAGGTATCTCGTTATGCCGCGTATGTTATGAGGCTTTCTCAGCTTCTGCCTTCGCATCGCTTTCCTTTTCCTTTGCGCCAGGCGTCTTCTCATTATGCTTCTCCAATAACGTGGAGATGATATTTTCGTTTCCGCCGGTCTTTTCCATGACGAGCTCTCTTAACCATTTGTTCTCCGTCTCTAGAGTTTGAATGCGACCTTCCAGTGTGCCGACTTTGTCGCTAAGCTCCTTCTCGCGCTTCTCGAGTGCTTGCTCACGAGCCTTCTTCTTAACGCGAAACCTTGCGCTGGCGGCCGTGTTCCGCCTCCGCTTGTCCTCTTCCGCGGCTAGACGCGACTGCTCCTCAAAGGAAAGCTGTCGTCGAGGAGGGGCGACGGGATCAGTAGATTTACGCTTCTCCCCCGTCTGCGGCACTGACTGGCCGTAGGTGCTGGAAGCCGAGCCATTGGGTGGGAAAGTTGGAGATGGCTGAATTGGTTGCAAGTTTCCCAAATTGTCTGAGAAGCCCGAGACGTTTGGCGTAGAATAAGGATGAAAGTCAAAACCGTTGAAATCGCCTGAAGACATAACGCGAGGTTAAAACTGTGTCCCAATTGACAAATACAAAACATACGAATGACAATGATTATCTGAGGTGCTACACATCATCGATGACGACTTAGTGTCGGTAGAGAGTATAAAATCAAGCCATGTTGCGAACTCTCGACAACGGGGCTTGATGGACTGGGTTCTCTCTTCATCTCGAAAAGGGAGCTCCCCAGATCACGAAAGATCACGGGATATTGCACCATAGTGCACCATAGCTCGATTGCGCCATAGCAGGGTAGTCTTTCGCGACCATAGCAGCAGGCACCTAAACCCACCGATCGCTGCAATCCAAATGCAACATGGAGTAGCCGGCACCAATCAACGCTCGAGCATGGATGGAAGCTTAGTGGGGCAGGATTGATGAGGGCCACATCGAGCGAGCCTGTGATAAGGCGAAGACCTCCGCTTGGTGGGATGCGGGTCCCCATCCCCAATCCAATCTTCCACCGACTTGGATGTTGCAGGCAAGGCGCCGCCTCCATCCCACACAAGACCATAGGCTATCTGGCTATTGGAGGCATGCGTCGGCCAGTGCCAACCAGGCACGAACTGCTGAGCGAGGCTGTTGAAAGACCCTTCGAAAGGCGCACACACGGCACACCATTGTGCAATTGTGCAACGCCGCATCGCAATGAGTAATGCGGGGAAGGAATAGCACAACCGACCATTGTAGATTGATTTTGGCGAGTTTTGGCTTTTTGCTTGGTGATATTGAATAATGAAATAATAGAACGAGCAAAAAGACAGGACAACAATAAAATATTTACTAACCTGGTAGATTGAAGTCAAATCCTGCCAGCTCTCCTCCCATAGATTCTTCTTCCGTAGGCGAAGTCGACACTTGTGTCTCTATGACGCTAGGAGCCGCTTCCTGCGGCTGTCGTTGCTGCTGTTGTTGACTCTCATTGGCGTCCCAGTCGATGAAATTGGTGTTCGTGAACATAGCAAGTTCCTCATCGAGACTTCGCAAGTTTTCCTCCGAGACTTGGGGCTGCTCTGGAACCCTATTGAGGTCCTGTAATAACTGCGACACGTTCACGGCTTGGCCGCGCCGACTGGAATAACTGGGCGGCATCTTTTCTATGATGCTTTCTCGGTTGGCCCCTCGAGGGCTTTGGATACGGATATTCTGTAAACTCGAATCGATGTTTTCGATATATCTCGGCCTCTTACAGAAAATTTCGATATAGATGTAAATGGTATACGACGACTCGGTTCGTCTACTTCGTTGACTTTGTTGGTGACAGATTTGTCATGGATGGAATAGAGAAGAAATTGACTAGAGGAATAATGGCGAGATGGTAGAATTTACCAGATGCAAAAAGTGGTACAAAGTTCAGGTGGGTCAAAGAGCGGCCGGACAAAAGCCAAGTTTGCTTCGTACTATGTAGGGTAGTCGCCGTCAGATACGGCCGATTTTGACCGATAGCTCTATGGGTCTTTGCCCAGGTGCTGACGCTCGGTTGACGTTTAGGGAAAAATCCAGAGAAAAAAAAAAGAAACCCGGGAGCCCCTCTAGCCCCTCTTTCCTAACCTTAAGAGGCTTCGTAGAATCTTAGTCAGTACCCATACATCTTTAAGTATTCTATTTCGGCGAACTTGGTCAAAGTGTTAATTACTGATGAGGGTTGGAGAAGTTGAGGATTTAAGAAGGAGTATGGATTGATTATTAGTATTATCTGATTCGAACCCTTGCAGTTGGAAGTTGCAGCACATGAGATGACAAGATGGTTCCATCAATTGAACGGTATGGGTGTATGAACGTATACATGTACAGTACATATGCGTACTAGACCGAGGGTATAATGCCCGCGGCGGCTTCAAACGAGTGGGCTATTAGTCAAGCAAATCAATCCTGGCCAATCAGAATTAACTAAGATCTCTAGACTTCCCACAACGCCCACATCGACTGCGTGTATGTATACTAACCCCCACTATTAGTTCTGTCTGGACCCTGACTATCCTATGTATTCTAACATTTCTTGCATGTGTTCTTTTATTAAATACCTAGGGAACTCAACCAAATTGACGGGACCTGCTTCCCGACAGCATTACCGCTCATATTCTCGCATTTATAAGTTAGGTACTACGTTTGTATTAGTGCCACTCCATCTTAACTCCATCTTAACGGCGTACGCAGTAAGACGCATGGCTAGCTGCAATGTTGGTGCGTGGTTGGAGATGACCCCTATTAATTATCGTTGACCAGGCCGAATTACTCTCCTGCTTAGAAATCAAGTTCCGATGCAGTGAGGGGAAGAGAACCAAAGGGTGCCAAGGCCGTCAAACTAATCGTTCAATTTCTACGTTATACCCAGGTAATTTTTATTTCACGTTGCTATCGTGTAATTGTTCCTTGTTACGCAGTATGCTATGTGTTTAACCGAGGAAAGCTGAGATTGCCTCTCTGCCCTACCCTGATCCGGTGGCGAGTCAGGATCGACAATTCTATGATGGTGTGATCTAAGTACGATCTTGATCTTGACGTCAATTGTTACTATTTTCCATTGTCACCAATGTTTCCGCTATCGAGACAAAGAGTATACACAGAGAATACTTGAGCGCAGCCAGGTGTAACAGCGATATTGAATACTATAGTATTCAATACCACCAATAATTGTTCGGCTCTAGTCTAGTGCATATTCGTAGAATTCTCGAAGCCGAACGATCTACCTTACCTCTCAGGGACCGACCTACATAACACAAGCGATGGATGCATGTGGTGCTTGCTCTGCTGTGTTACGACCTAAACCATTGGTCCCAGAAATTCCGAATGCATCCATCCCGCGATTTCTCGCCAAGGCTCAAGTACAAATCTTGTACAAACCCCGTACTATACTAATCCCGTTATCGGGTAACGTGCAAGACGTGGGGTTTACTTCCATCATGTTTTCTTCGCTTCACCCGACGCCTTCTTCAAATTCTGTTACACGAAACACAAAATGCTCGGGTCTTCGGCATTTTCCCGATAAGTACCTAATATGTACATAATTCCGTACCCCCGACGCTTTACCGCGGAAGTGCTAGATGCGCCTTGGAACTGGACGGGTTCCCCTAAAGGGAAGTTGAAATTCCTAAGTTTGTACGGAACAGTACCTGTTAACGAGGTAGGTATAATAGAATAGAGTTTATATATTGATCGGCCGATATGAAGCCTTTGGGTTAATTTGTCTTTCTATTCTTGCCCACGTGGGTGAGGTGGATTAACTAATCGAAAACACATAAGAGGGCTTATCGATATCGGGTGATGATGTAATCAGCCAATTGGCAACCATCCAGCTGTCAATATTGATTTTGAATGATAAACTTTTAACTCTATAGTCTTGTCAAATAGAGACACGACTTTAATTGAGGCATTCAATATTATAATCTTACAGTAACGATAGTAATTGTGATTACGGAGTCAATTGATAGAGTATAACAAAAACATCGCTCTATCTGATGATACCAAAATCCCCGACGCGTCGCGTGTCCCACTTCAATTTTCAACCAATACAATCATTCAGAACTATACACCACGCTTCCAATTTGTGATCGTAACCTTCAATTGAAAGAATAAAGAGGCAAAAACCCAAAGCCACTCGCGCAGCCATGGCGCGATTGTCGTTACCAACGACTGCTCGCCTATCCTCATCTTTACGAGTCGATCCTGCGAACAACACCGTAATCAAAGCCCTCAATCGCCTCTCGCGATCATCCCTCCTGTCCCTCGTTCTAGATTGGCTAGACGAACGAAACCAATCCCTGTGCCCACCGCTTCTCCTTCGACCAGATGCCCCCGAAGATGAAGATGAGGATGACTTCTATCCGCCCGCGCACTCGCTTCCCGAGCTCCGAGACCTGTACGAGTCGATGCAAGCCCGCAAGGGCGGGCGTCGTGAGGTAGTTGATCGCATTCTCGAGGGCGACTGGCGGTACGGATTGAGTCTCTACCAGCTCGCCATGGCCGACTTGCAGTACCTATACGACCACCCGGGCAGCCTCAAGTGGACCGCATACCGGATCCAGCTCCTCAAGACACCCGATCACGAGGACGACGCCGAAGGCCCGGAAAGGCCCGACAAAGAATCTCTCAACGTCCCGCGCTTCCACCCCTCGACCTTTCTGCAGAACCTGCAGGGCGAGGTTCTCCCCGACGTCAAGGCGCACTACAACTTCGATCGCCCGAAAGGCATGCCGCTCCTACTGCTACGCATCTTCGTCATCGACTCCCCGTACAACACGGACCTAGCCGTATCGACGCGGCACCGCGGACGGCCCAGCAACACAGGTAATCCCAATTCCAATTCCAACACCACAACAAGCTTCGACGCCTCACGCACCATATACGTCGCGTTCCCGGACGCGTCGCCGCACATCTTCATCACGAAATCGGCGTCGGGCAGCGGCGGCAGCGGCGGCGGCGCGGCCGGTGAGGCGAAGAGCCTGCGCGCGCTCGTCGTGGAGGGCATACCGAAGGCGCTGTCGCGCCCCCGCGAGCGCTACGCGCTCAAGTCGACGAACCTGGCGACGAAGAACCTGGCGGCGATGCTGGCGCACAAGGGCGCGGGCCGCACGAACGCGGCGGCCGGCGGCTGGGGCGTGTACGCGGGCACCGCGACGGCGGATATCAAGGCCGATAGCCCGCTGCAGACGCTGCTTCCGACGCCGCCTTTGTCGGACGCGGCGAGTGCTGATGCCGGCGAGGGCGAGGGCGAGCGGAGGGAGGAGGAGGAGGAGGAGGGGGGGAGCAGGGCTAAGCGGAGGAGAATGGGTGATCCGGCGGAGGAGGAGGATGAGAGGCAGGGTAAGCGCGCGAGGGTTGCTGCGCTGGCGAGGTTTGGGAATGCGGCGAGGATTGATGATGGGAAGGGTGTTGAGAGGTTGGATGTGCTGATCGAGGATCCGTTTCCGACTGATGTTGTTAGTGACGACGAAGACGAGGCGGACGAGGATGGTGCGGCTGTGGCGGCGAGACGCAAGTCTAAGGGGCGTCAGAGCATGCTTGATATGAGTCTCTCGCAAGACTTGGAGGATGGAGATAACGGTGGCGGAGGTGGGAGAGGCAAGGAAGGGGATCGAGGTTGGGCGCCGCAAGTCAGGATATCTCTTCATGGCTCGCATGTCTTTGCTGGGGTACGCCAGTTAGTCGAGGCAGGCATCGTGGACGGCGAGAGGATGCCCGGATGGCTGACGGGCGAGGAGGGCGTTACGATTGGTGCGGTACGACACGGTAGGATAAGAGGGTTCAGAGGTTCGGGGATTTGAATTGATTCTCACGCGTATAATTTTGAAAGGTGCTTTTACCCTGGTCAAAGTTATCAGGTCACACAGCATGCATGGTGTTCGGCGTTTCTCTCTGTCTCGCAGAAAAGGAGGCAATAGTCGGATAGGTTTATATACCCCAATGAAGTGTTCAAAGATGACTTCATACAATAAGGAAAATATTACTTGTTTTCCAAAATGAGTTGGTTTATTTTCTCTTCGTCTCGGGCTATGCTGTTATCTAGGTATCTTATATCTAGTATCTATTCGTCTACTGGAAACACTTTCGTCGTATTCCGCCAAGCAGCCTCGCAAACCTCTTCCACGGTGACACCCTTGATGCCGGCGACGATCTTCCCCATCCGCTCGATCATGCATGGTTCGTTGCGACCCTTGACCATCGCGCCCTCTACCCACTTCTCTTTCTTGACTACCTTCCAGCGCTCCGGTACCTCCGGTTCCTTCTTCTTCGGCGGCTTCTTGGACTGTTGTTTGGGTTTAGGGGGTTGTTGCTTCGCTGGTTCCGTCGGGATGCCATTAGCACCAACTTCCCCTTCTTTCGCATCCGCCTTCGCATTTGCATCTGTCCCCGCCGCTTCCACCGGCTTCGGGGGCTCTATCAAATACTTCCACCCCTCATGACTAGGCCGGACCTCGCACCACGGACCATCCGTCTCCAACATCAACCGATCGAGATGAATCTCCTTCACCACGGCGCAGTTCTCCGCCGTCTTGAAGCTGCACCCGTTCGTCCCGATGTACAACCCCAAGTCCATCAACTCCCGCATCTCCTCTGCCGTCCCCGTGAAGCTGTGGACCACGGCCCCGCGCTCGAGCCGCTCGAGCTTCGGCCCGAACTTGTCTTTGAGGAGCTGCACGAAGTCCGCGTGCGCGGCGCGCGAGTGCAGGAACAGCGGGAGCTGGGGTCGAAGCGAGGCGGCGAGGTCCAGCTGCGCGGCGAAGGAGTGCAGCTGGATCTTGCGCGAGCAGTAGTGCAGACGGTCGTAGTCGAGCCCGATCTCGCCGAAGGCGACGAGTGGGCTGGGCCTTGTGCTGCTGCTGCTGCTGCTGCTCCGCGCTTCGTCGATGAGGGCCCGCAGCTCGGAGATGATGGATGTGGTGCGGGCTAGGTCCGGCTCGTGGTCTTCGGAGACGGGCTGCGAGGGGTCCGTGTCGCAGGGCATGGTGTGGCCGTTGGTGTCTACGTGCGAGTGGGTGGTGCTGAATATGGCGCTGGAGCAGGGGTGTATGCCGACGGTTGTGTATACGGTGCCGGCTGAAGTTTAGTTAGCTTGTCCAATGCTGTATATCTAAGAGGGTGTATTAATCCGCGTGCTACTCACGGTATTCTCTAGCTATCTCGAGAGCGTGCCGCGAACTGGTGAAATCGGAGCCGGTGATGATCAGTTTGTGGCAGCCGACTTCACGGGCTCTTGAGACGACGGCGCTTAGGTCGTCCGGGTGTCGTTGGGTACCATGATACTGACCCCTGAATATTGGGTCTGCTAGGTTGATGCCGATCTGAAATAGAGGATCAGCAAATTAGTTGAGAGAAGTGTTAAGTAAACGTGTAAAATGAGATGTAGTTAGAAGGAATGTGAGACTGGCTACAAAAGTCATATTTCATAATGAGCAACATGAGGGCCTGCAATTATCAAACTAGGCACTATGACTTACATCAATATACCGTGGCTTATACTCCAGCGTAGATGTTGGCGGATCGGCAGCCATTTTCGATATCGACGAGAAGTAAGCCCTATTAAAACGCTTTATAGTTGGTGAACTCCTCACGCTAGAGCGTGTAAGTTGAGTAATGAGTGAGTTCCGTATAAGCATTAAAAATCGAGTATCTCAACGAGACCTCATTCCCCAGCAGGATTATATAGAACCCTTCAGCATATAATAAGTCTATCTCAATACGTTCAGTCCAATAACATTCATAGCTTAAGAGATCCACATCGGTAGGATTTGGTGAGTCACTTTTAAGAACTAGCTTCCAAGTTCTTAGACGGTCGTTGATGAGATTATCGAGGATACATCCGATATGTACCTAAATATTTCTGGGCTGTCAATTATGTAAGCTCAGCTTCTTTTTCTGCACGTGCTTTCGTGGGGTGGTTGGCAGGGGTTGGGCACCCATGTTACATAAACGCGACAAGTCATATTGATTGACGCAACGATGTAATTTCGAGGTGCGTTTATCAGTAGAAATATTACGTATCTCCGTCTCTGATTTGAAGTTGAATTTTATGTATTTTCTCAAGTACGAAATATCAGCTTTTGCAACATTTTTACATAGATGCATACGTACTTATCAAGGATAACGCGAACTCAATTCGTGCGGGGCAAACGCATGAACAGGGGTTTAAATAGGACTGTAAACGCTTCACATGCAACCACTTAAGCCAAAATATATTGGAACAAGAAGCGTTCGACGAGATGGTGGGATATGTAGGTCTTTAGAGAAAACTCTCAATTATAATAACAATAAAGATCTTGTTATAGGAAAAGGAATATAACTGAAATCATAAATCGAGCAAGCAGTGTTGCATATCTGCCATCGGCCTCGTTTGTAACAAGACCCCGCCAATCCACGTCGCCCCCAGCGCGTTAAGTGGTTTTGTAGCACAAGCCACTACGGTTTAGCAAGAGCATGTCCATTAACACAGCACTTGCTGATTAATTCTCAAGTGGTTTCAGCTGGCTACAGCCCAGGGAGACCCACTCATTGGTTAACAACAAAGTAGAATTGTTCCGAGGGAGATCCGTTTCTGGCTGTTCAGTGTTTTTTCTTTACGCGCTAAGTTGGCTCAGAGACGCGCCACAAATTATCAATTTAGTAGGAACGCGTTTCTACTTAAGACTCCACCGTGCTCAAGTCTCTCTCTCCTAAACATCTTCCGTTCATCAACCACGATCTCGACCTTGGGAACGGGCCACTACATCACACCATACATTAGATTAGATCTGCATGTTACTTGCATACAGACAATTGTGGCTTTCAATTTAATTCTTCTATCTGAACCTTGCTTGATCGCACCTCAATTCTTCGTCGCTTCTCTTTACCGCCTCTCGGGTCTCAAGTGCCCCGACCTTCACGATGTATGTTAAGAAGCGTGGTATGTATTGCTAAACCTCTCTATTCACTCGAAACAATTACTTAGATGTGCATAGACGGACGCCAAGAGCGCGTTCAATTCGACAAGATCACAGCTCGTGTCTCGAGGCTATGTTACGGTCTAGACACAGACCATGTCGATCCAGTTGCCATCACCCAGAAAGTTATCTCTGGTGTCTATGGAGGTGTTACCACAGTACAGCTTGACGATCTCGTGAGTTTCCAAGATCAATTGAACTGTTAGACTTCATCTCTAACCAATTGTCACATAGGCAGCCGAGACCGCCGCATACATGACTGTTACCCACCCAGACTACGCTATCCTTGCTGCACGTATTGCAGTGTCAAACCTCCACAAGCAGACCAAGAAGCAATGGTCTTCGGTCATCAGTGATCTCTACCATTATGTCAACCCTAAGAACAGGACGCCCTCTCCTATGATCTCCCAGGAGACATACGAATGTGTCATGAGACACAAGGAGGACTTCGACTCTGCCATTGTCTATGACAGAGACTTCAACTACCAGTACTTCGGCTTCAAGACATTGGAGCGATCATACCTACTCAAGCTCAATGAGAAGATCGTCGAGCGACCGCAGCACATGATCATGCGTGTGGCTGTTGGTATCTGGGGTGACGATGTAGAGAAGGTTATTCAAACCTACAACTTGATGTCGAGCAAATATTTCACACATGCTTCGCCTACACTTTTCAACGCTGGAACACCCCAAGCACAACTATCGTCCTGCTTCCTCGTTGACATGAAGGACGATAGCATTGAGGGTATCTATGACACTCTCAAGACCTGTGCCATGATCTCCAAGATGGCTGGTGGTATTGGTCTCAACATCCACCGCATTCGTGCCACTGGTTCATACATTGCTGGCACCAACGGTACCTCGAACGGAATTGTACCCATGCTGCGTGTCTTCAATAACACTGCAAGATACGTTGACCAGGGTGGCAACAAGAGACCCGGTGCTTTTGCCATCTACCTTGAACCTTGGCACTCGGATGTTTTTGAGTTCCTTGATCTTCGCAAGAACCACGGCAAGGAGGAGGTCCGTGCTCGTGATCTCTTTTTGGCTCTCTGGATTCCCGATCTTTTCATGAAACGTGTTGAGAAGAACGGCGAATGGACCCTCATGTGTCCCAACGAATGCCCTGGCCTAGCTGATGTCTATGGCGACGAGTTTGAGGCCCTATATGAGAAGTATGAGGCAGAGGGCCGCGGCCGTCAGAAGATTAAGGCCCAAAAGCTATGGTATGCTATCCTTGAGGCTCAGACTGAGACTGGCAACCCCTTCATGCTCTACAAGGACCACTGCAACCGCAAGAGCAACCAGAAGAACCTCGGTACTATCCGCAGTTCCAACTTGTGCACTGAGATTGTCGAGTACTCGGCCCCCGACGAGGTGGCAGTCTGCAACTTGGCATCCCTTGCGCTGCCGTCGTTCGTTGACTATAATGAGGGCAACTACGACTTCCAGAAGCTCCACGAGGTTGTCCAGGTGGTCGTTCACAACCTGAACAGAATCATCGACGTGAACTTCTACCCTGTTCCGGAGGCCCGCAACAGCAACATGCGACACCGGCCCATCGGTCTTGGTGTTCAGGGTCTTGCCGATACGTTCTTGGCACTACGTATGCCTTTCGAGTCGCCAGAGGCCAGGCAGTTGAATAAGCAGATCTTCGAGACCATGTACCACGCTGCTTTGACTGCGTCTTCGGATATCGCTAAGGTCGATGGCCCTTACTCCACCTATGAGGGTTCGCCTGTCTCGCAGGGTATCCTCCAATATGACATGTGGAACGTCACTCCCTCAGATCTCTGGGACTGGACTAGCCTCAAGGAGAAGATCAAGCAGACCGGTATCCGTAACAGCTTGTTGATGGCGCCTATGCCCACGGCTAGCACTTCCCAGATTCTAGGTAACAACGAGTGCTTCGAGCCTTACACCTCGAACATCTACTCTCGTCGTGTCCTTGCTGGCGAGTTCCAGGTCGTCAACCCCTGGCTCCTGAAGGATCTGGTCGACATGGGTCTCTGGTCTGATGGTATGAAGAACCGTATTATTGCCGAGGGTGGTTCGATTCAGAACATTCCCAACATCCCTGCGGATATCAAGGCTCTCTACAAGACCGTCTGGGAGATTTCTCAGCGAACTGTCGTCCAGATGGCCGCCGACCGTGGTGCTTTCATCGACCAGTCCCAATCGCTCAACATTCACATGAGAGAGCCTACTATGGGCAAGATCACCAGCATGCATTTCACCGGTTGGAAGCTTGGCCTGAAGACTGGCATGTACTATCTTCGTACCCAAGCTGCTGCTGCGCCCATCCAGTTCACAGTAGACCAAGAAGCTCTCAAGGTTGCGGACTCGAACGCAGCCAAGTCGGGTGGCCTAAAGAAGCGAGCCCCTCCCGGAAACTATAACTCCTCCGCTTCCACAGGCATGTCTAGACCTGCGTATGCCAAGAGGGAGGACTCGAGCAACAGTCTTGCGGCGTCGGGTCCTAATGGGATCCCGACTCCTAGCACTACTCCCCCTCCTGTTTCCGTAACCCGACCGGCTGCTTCACCGAATAAGGCTGCACCTTTCAAGGCAGATGTTGATGAGGGTGAGAGTCCCAAGGCCCTAGCCACCGAACCATCTGAGAAGATCAAGGACGAGGAACTTCCTGAGCCCGCTATCGATGGTCAGAAGGCTAGCCAGGATGAAGACAAGGAGGACAAGAGCAAAGAGCGTGAGTATGACATCTACGCTGATGCCGTCCTAGCTTGTAAGTTGAACCAAACCGCCGCCTCCTGAATTCGCTTATGTTAACAACTATACAGGCAGCATTGAGAACCCAGAAGCTTGTGTTATGTGCAGTGGTTAAAGGGTCTTACGAGATGAAGTGATGATGATACGTAGCTGATGATGGACATAATGGAAGTTCGGTTGCTTCAGACCCAGCCTGCCTGGTGCATTGCCTGGGCCTCGCGGAGAAGCAAGACAGGAAGTGCTACGCATCGACACGGTTGTATAATGACGGGGTTCATAGGGCATTTAATCAGCTCTTGCGCATGAGTTTTGTATGAGCTTTGTATGATACTTCTCGACGTTTTCTGACGCGTTGTCCCTCGCGTAATCATGAGATGCCTAATTGCGCATCCAACGGTGGCTTATGCCCGCCATCTTTTCCTGCGGGATGAAATCAATAAAAATATGATAATGAGTTTATATGGTCACAGCGGATGTAGTGAAGCATAATAACTAGATCGTCTACTCCAGAAAGTTTACTATTACCTGAGGATCAGTGAAGCTACTTTGAATGCTCTCAACCGCAACCGCCAAATAACAACGAAGTACCTAGGTAAGTCGGTACAACTCATGTCACACTTGTAATCATCCCTTTTAACAGCAAGACTTTTGACACTTCATCGGTGAACCAAGACCACTCGGGCAACTTCTCTCTAGGTATATATCGGACAAGCACATTTAAATACTCGTTAGAACCAAACATGCTCTTTGCCGGACTTCCGACAAGTTCGTAAATTTTCAACAAGTGCCCCAGACAACGCGTCCTACAGCACCGGCGAGACATCACATAAGAAAAGGCCGGAGTCGTCGTACATTAGTCACCTTGCCGTTTATAGCCATGCTCGTGATTCTTCTATCCAAGATGGATTTAATAGTAGGTAGGTAGGTAGCTGTAAGAAAATCTCTAAAGCACACCGTAGGCGAGGTTCGGTGAAACATGAGCGGTAGAAAAGGATGTTCGATGACGGTAGTGGAGCCAATGATATGCCTAGGCGTGCGCAGGACTTTAACCAGAACACTAGCGCATCTGCCGACTACGTAATAGGGCGGGCCAGAGTCTTCGAATTTTCGCCCAGAGAAAGGTAGCTACGTCTTTACGGTGGAACATACATCAGCTTGCTTGAACTAGGTAGGCTTGCGGTGGTTGGCAAGCAGTGAGGGAGGATTGTTCTGTAGTTGCCATCAATAGTCGCACAGAACGGTGGTGCAAAATTTCCAGGTGTTTCACTTGGCGAGGAATTTCTTCCCGGCGAAGATTCTCGCTCTCCTTAGCTTTTTAGGCGGGATATTTGAACGTGATAACTACCTAATCACAGTAGAATGTTTGCCGTAAGCCGAAATTTATATTTTATCTCTATTCAATAGGACCGACCGTCACGGAAATGGGAGATAAGCCTAGGATCAAAAGTTGCCGTCTGGTCCTTCGTGAGTTCGGTGTCTGATCAACCCCACGGTTTCGATATTGAATATTGAAACAAGACGGTGAGCAGCCAGGTGTGGATTCATCTGCAAGTCCCGGCGACCCACTCACCTTTGTAGACTTCTAAACTAGAACGGAAGCTGTTCCCGGGTTAACGAGCGGCTTGGTAACCTCCAAGGCTGGCTGTGGGGTGGTTGGAGTAGCACAGATCGGAATAGCATCAAACCACAACGCCGGAACAGACCAAGACAGTTAACCGTCAAGGCAGAATTTCAGTCATGAAAACCTGATGTGACTGAGTAGGTTTCTTTTGTCACATTAGCAAATCAATTGAGAGGCAAGTAGATGTTCTTTTCCCCCACCTGGTCAAATTTGCTTTTCTCTACTACGACGTAAGGCATCCATGGATATTTGTTTTCGGTTAGGGCCTTATACGATAGGATGACAGAGCCGATCTTCTTGAAATCGCGAATATCGTGAGTATCGCGATATTAACGACAATATAAACAATTGCGATGGACTGGCAATGCAGGAAACTTGGAACCAACCTTGGAAGTTACCTCGCTTCAGAAAAACAGATGGTTGATTTGTTGGTTTGTTGTTGAACCAGGAACGCTTTAAGCTATTTTTTTGGAGGTGGAGTGGAGAAGTGAACAGCTCATGCGGGGCAAGATCGAGAGCACATGTGCATGGATCAGGTAGCGGGGATCCCTATACTATTGGCTGCTAAGATTATGACATCAGTGGTAAACAGGAGGTAGCTCCGACTGTTCCTTGCATTCTCGACTTTAGATTTTCTTAGCGGTGTCCAATTGTGGCACGTAGACTTTCTCTTTCTATAGTACTCCTAGCAGTCTTGGGCATTCTAGTTCTAAACCCGAATAATTCAATGTTGGTCCGAAGACAACAATACATATTCGTGCTCCAGCTGCGCTAGAAATTTACTATTTAGAAGCCTTAAACTGTTTCTAGCAATGCAACCCAGGCTGTAGGATCAGCTAGAGCCACGCGGGTTCTACGGCTAGCGGCATTCATAGCAGGTAATCTGCAGGTTACATCGCCCTAGAGATTATGAACCAATCAGATCGCCGGGTTGACATGTCCAGTTGTCCATATGCAGTAATCACCTTAGTTCCAGCCCTTGCAAAATGTTTCGTAGAGGTGAGATCAGTTCTACCAAGTTTTTTCTCTTCTCCAAAGCCCGGGATTTTCTTGCTTTGTTTCAACAACTTGAAGTTGATAACATCATGGAGATCCATAATTTACATAGGATTGGTGACTACCGAATTAATGACAGCAGTGTCAGTGTCCACTTTGCCTGTCAGGCAGTCAAGCTAATTCGGTGGCTTGATTTGTGACAAGAGGGCAACATCCTATCCATGTGGATAACAGGAACCACGTGCAAGATATCGAAGTTTGCTCCCATAGGGCGACTGGAGTCTACAGCATTGGCAATCCCAAGTGTCTTCAGTGATGATACCATTGTACATGCGAGTGGATACGATAGAAATTTTCTGATCACCAGTGTCAGAGATATTATTCAGTATCGTACTCGCAATCATGTATGCTCCTACCCGTCATGGTTAGTATTGCTTGCATACTATCATCCAATATTTCCACATGCAGACTACAGTTATATTAGCTTTCCCTCATTCGGCCAGCACAGCTCCAGAACAGCTCGAATACAGCTCGAATGTAAACGACGGACCGTCATCACCACTAGGATACAGCCCGTAAATTGCCTTGCCTTGCTTAGCCCTGCTTTCTAACTGGTAGTCTAGCGACTTTCTCGTAACCAAGGTAGCTGAATAGTTGATGGCCTACTCGATGATGTAGGTCGATCTAAGCTGTCAAGTCCCGTGCCAAGTAAACTAAATTACCTTACGGGCGATCTGAATCAAGACTATTACCTATGGATAGCCCGACACTAAGGTACCTACTAGCCATGTATGCTTAAGTTTTAATTGCTGTCAAGGCTAATGATAATATCGACTACCGAACTGTCGGGGATGGACAAGGAGGTTGGGGAGTTGATATAGATTGTCTAGAGCAGTATGAACATAGCATACCTAGTAGCGCATATACGATAGACCAATAATCAAGATATGTATCGAGTCCACGGTGCTTACTACGTGCAAGTACGAACATTGACGCGGGAGGCACGTGTATAGAACATGGACAGGGATCCGAATCAACCAGTACCGCCGTACGTATCGCAGGTGCCATTCATGGGTCCTCATGCAGGTAATTGCTAAGTTGCACGATAGTACTGGGCGTTACATGACGAAACTATAGCAATCATATTACATAAGGCACTTGAGATGAAATGGCAAGTACAGGTCAAGTTCAACAAGGTTGATCTCCATGGATACATATTTAATCGCTTTGCAAGCCGATCTCCATCCCAATATTTGTTTCTATCACGGGTCCTCCATAATTCCGCCTGTCACATAAAAAGGCAACTGCAAGTAACAAAATTTGAAATTGCCCATTTTTGTTGACTCTTTCTCATTGATCTTCCACCTTCAACCTCCACCTCCACCTCCAACTTCCATCTTCAAATCAAACAGAGCGACAAAGGTCTAGATCACTAACACAACCTTGAATTCTCTTCCCGTTTTTATCGGTGAGTAGCCATACAACTGCCAATCTGTAACGGATACAGGTGTTTCCATATTCATACCGTCTTCGTCCTTTCCTACTAGACGTCATATGCATTCATATCCTCGCATATGCTCCATAGTCTTCACCCTCATCTTCACCTCCATCTTCACATCTTCATCATTTTATAGTGTGAGACGTTTTATGTCCTCTTCTCAAGTCGGTCACTTCGCAATACCGAGATTGTTTCCCCTCTGCAACTTCGTTTCGTGTCTTACATCACACAAGTACTTACACAGCTGAAGGAAATTACTACCTCACACGGGAATTCAGGTACGCTTTCCTCTAAGTTTAGATGAGCATCGCACCTGCTTCCTATTACATGAGTGCCTACCTCATTGTGTTTCTGTCCACCGATAATCAAAACTGGCCCCTCCCTTACTCCCTGACTGCTTATTCCCTCTTCCTCCCAAACCTTGAAATCCCATTCTTCTCCTTGTCCCTCACAACATTTTCCCACATCAAAAACTCAGAAACACATTCATCTTCCACAAGCATCACAACTGCAAACGCCCTCATCCCACGCATCTTCAGAATTTTGCACGCTTTTTGAGCATCCATTTTTACGATCTTCTTTTGATAACAAAATTCTTACAATTCTTGGTAGCCAATCAACCAGTCTCAACCTTTCGAAATCCACATCCAGCATCGTTCAAGATGAAGACTTCTGCGATCCTTATTAGTGTTGGCGCCGCCATGGTTGCAGCCCAGGATATTACCTATCCTTCAGGATTTCCTGATTGTGGTGTAAGTAATCTTCTGTTCACCTGGCTCTAGATGAATGATGCTGACTCTAGTAGAAAACCTGTATCAACAACATGTTGAACCAGGCTTCCGACCTCGGTTGCACCAACGTCGCACCCTCGTGCCTCTGCGCCAAACCGAACTTCATATACGGAGTTAGAGACTGCGCTACGGAGTCGTGCCAGGACCAATCCCTCGCACAGCAAGTCATCCAGTATGGTAGTCAATACTGTGCTAGTGAGTACTTCATCATAACATCGTTAAATCTTGTAATACAAAATCCATATTAATCTTTCGTTAGGTGTCGGTGTTGACGTATCTGGTATTCCCACTGCTGTAAGTTATTATGGTCTAGTATTAATGTTGATATCAGCTAACTCATGACCTCTAGACTGGAACCAATCCCACTGCTTCTACCACCGTTGTGGCAACCGCTTCTCCTACCAACAACCCAATAGTTGTAAGACTTCGTTTCCCTAGTTATTGTTCGAATCTTTGCTAACAAAGTCAAAGGGATCCCAAGGATCAAACAGCAGTAAGTTATCCAGTTATTCTACCACTGGTAGAAATGATGTTTTATATTTTACAATGTGTCCTAATGGTTGATCCTTAGATGGTGCCACCGGATCTGTCCCTATTTCGACCGCAACCTTCGAGACTTCCTTCACCGCTAGCGGAAGTGCTGTCGAATCTACTGTCACCAGTACCATCTTCTCAGGGGAAGCTTCTTCTTCAGGTACAGCTGTCTCTGGATCCGAGTCTGCATCTGAGTCTGGATCCAGTACCGCAAGCGTGATTGCGTCGACCATCACAACAAATGGTTCAACCTTGACGACTACTGCTAGTAGCACAGAAGCCGCAAGCAGCCAGGCCTCCGAGAGTGGTAGCAGCGAATCTCGTACCGGTTCGGCCAGCGAGTCGGCTTCGTCCACATCGAACCCTGCGGCTCAGCGCACCGCAGCACCTGCCGGCTTCATTGCCGCTGCCGGCTTGGCTGCACTGATGCTGTAGGCATCTTGACGAGTCTTTGACGAGGTTAGGTGGAGTTTCGGGTCGTGGGAAGCAATGCACTTAATGTGAGGGGGTAGACGATCAAGTCACATAATGCTATTGGTCGGCTTGTGCATGGATGGATGGTTCACGATGATAAGGATTCTCTTCACTTGACGATGCGACGACATTGAGATTGCATGTGGTTCTTAACGATGTATAAATGATTCACGGTCCTCACAGGACTACTAATACCTGTTCAGAGATACCCACCCCTGAGTAGATGGCATTGAGGCATCAGGCAGTGGAGTTGGTCTTCTCACTTTCATCAAAGAAACTAATAAATAGAGTTTCATTCATCTAAATAAGTGTCGTTCCTTTCATGGGTTCATTGATATGATATTTCATAACTCCCATGTTCGAATGGGCTAACTATTTGCAGTCTATGGAATAGTGAGCACAACCACGATCGGACTCGTTAATCAATAAGGGGCACGACTGGTGCCATGGCTAGGTCTTCTTTCTCTGCTTGTTCACGATTGGTTGCTGGGTACTATGAATTGACATTTTCACTCGGACAGGATAGATGTGCCTACTTTCAAGTTTAAAAAAAAAAAAAAAAACCTTTGTGAGGGAGGTAAGTGAGGATTGTTTATACACCTAAAAGCAGACTATCTACCAAGGTGTTTATCTGCACACCCACATTCCCATTGTAATCTGATTGAATTCTAGGTATCCAGCCTATCCCCTCTGCACCGTCCTAAGAACCCAAACTGCGGGGAACACCGTGGTGAGTTAACCGGATACAACCCAATGTTATCATCTCCAGCTACTTTTTGTGGCTTCAAGACCCATCCTGGTTCTGGCTCTTCTGTGAGTATAGAAATCCAGACCCTGAGGAAGGTTTCCAGAAAGCACCATTAACATGCCAATAGCACCAGGTTGGGGTTGATATGCAGCTATCAGTGCGTCCGAACCTGTGAGTTCTCGCAGAACTCGACCGTCACCTTGGTGCCCTCGAACCATGTTTCCATGTGGTGACAGTCCTCACGGTTTATGGCTGTCCCCGCCCATCCATCAACACCCCTACTGGAGACCCGAAGCTTCTCGAGATCGGGGTACCGGCCGCGTCTGACATGACCTGCGAAGAACTAGATCGCAGACATAGATCGGACGCTGAGATCACAGAGGTATAGGACCTGCAGAGACTTGGGTAGGAATCGTACCAGGTCCTTCTGTCCGTATGGGAGTCTGTGAACACCGGCGATGAGCTCCAGCATGTCCTGGTTGATGATCACCTGCTTCATATTGGTGTGGTATCGGAGGGTGAAGATTCCGGTCCAGACGGGGTGATCGGGACCAAGATCGGGAGGCCTGGCAGCGGGAAGCAGGGCAGGCTCCAGACAGTTCCGGCGGATCTCCCAGAGCCAGTCGTTGACGGAATCGAGGACGAAGCCGTCCCAGGGGAAACCGGGGTCCTTCAGCTCGAGGTCGATGCGCTCGATCTTGCGGCAGCGCCAGAGGAAGTGGAAGAGTTCCATGACCTCGTCGTAGTCGTCGCACTGGAAGCGGAAGTCTCGCAGGTTGCGGATGGCGAGGCGCAGCGCGCTGCTCGGCGCTAGCTGCCGCCGACGCTTGGTGAAGGCGTGCTGGCGCCCTGGGGTCGGGTCCTTGGCTATGGTCCGCACGGCGAGGGAGCGTATGTTGGGCGCCACCCGGGACCAGCAGTGCAGGATGAAGAATGTGGTGAAATGCCAGGTCGGCTCTACCTGCGTGATAGTCAGGTCTGTTAGGTGATGGAGACGGTTTTGGGGGGTCTTCATTGCCCAGAAGTTAGGGTAGGACAACCACCAGGGGTTCACGGCGCTGTCTCCGAAGATTCCCGTGTGCATGTGATAGTCTTGCAGGTTGGGCAGCAGGGTGGGGAGAACTTCCATCATGGCCGTCGCGAGTCTGTAAATCGACAGCGGCGCTCCGTTGACCGACCTCATCAGCTGGTATTGGATGGAAGGGGCGACGTTGACGAGGAACTCGGCGAACTCGGATCCGTACATGAGGACGCGGTCGCCGCCGGGGATTACGGTGCTGATCCTGGCCGCCTTGACGAAGGAGGCGAGGCGCGGCGAGTTGCCGACGGCGTGGATGAAGCTGGCGAGAGAGCGGACGCGGACGGGCTGCTTGCTGTTGGTGATGAAGCGCATGTACAGGTGCGTCTCCATGATGCTTCGAAATTTGGTGTTGCAGCGGGTTAGGGCGGCGAGAGAGGCGCGGTCATCCTCCTTCTCGAGGATGTCTCTGATCATCATCCAGAGCTCGGGTGGGAAACGGCCATAAGTGGTGGTGGTGGGCTTGGGAGGGCTTGTAATGGTGAGCTTTTGGAAAAGAGCGCTATACGTGAGGTTAGTAAGTTGGGTTATCTTTGTGAAGATGTTGGGGGAACTTGCCACAAAGCGTCGGATGACTCGTTACGCATCATGATGACCGTGATGAGGTGGTGTTCGAGAGAAAGTTCGAAGACTGGAGCATTGTTAGTAATGAACTACCGTGACGATGGTAACGTAGGTGAAAAATTACCTTAAGAAAATTGGGTACGGTGGGTTTATCGTGATGAGTTCGACTTGGATATAATCGACGCGAAGTAGTCCTTGAGGCTTTGTGAGTAGTGCAGCTATGGAGTGAAGACGGTGTCGGAAAATATTGGGAAGTTCAATGTAATTAATCAGACGAATTGATGTGGTGCGGTTGACGCGATACTAATGATCCAATACAGATCAAGTATCGTCAGAGATGGAATGAATTATTGCAACGAAGATGCAGATAAGCGATGGAATCAATTTAACTTCAAGCCGTCGACTTTATAGGATTGATGTAATGGAAGTGTTGTGGTGTTGTGATATCGTGGAAATGATGGTGGAAGTTAACGTACCTTGATGAAAGTGATATAGTAAAGATGGTGTGATGAAATTCACAGAACCAAGTTACTATCGAGCAGGTGTGATGAGAAAAAAGTAAAGTAAAGTTTTTGAAAATAAAATTGGTCAGAATTAAGTAAAGGAGAGTGAGAGAGTGCACGGTGAAGTAGAAGATTTTTGGAATGGTCAGGGACGAGGACGAGAAGAGCTTGCACAGTTTGTTGTTGTAAGAAGATAAAATAAAATAAAATAGACATTTTGGTGCCCGTGTTAAGTAGCATAAGGTCGACAGAAATTCCTGGTGCTGATTCTGCCGTGCGGTCAGAGTATGACTCAAAGGTATATGAGCGACAACTGGCTTGACGATATATCTAGTGGTTGCACCTGCCTCATAGCTAGCGCTGTACCTGCCTATTCCATGCCTACGGTTCCCAAACAGCTGCACTAAACGTTGAACTACTGTACCCCAGATCACGGGACAAAGTGGGGTAGGTTCCAAATTGCGTGCTGTAGTTGAATGAGGGGAGATCCGTGGATACTTCCAGTTTTCGTTACCTAACTCTTGCATCAGATATTTAAGATATCTAATAACAAATATCGCTTTAGGACAATCTTGGCATATATATAGGGCCTCAATCCATATCTCACACCTTGCTGCACTGCATTCTCTAGGCGACGAATAATAATTCACGCAATTCTAAAATGACGCCTCCGACGATCCGGCTCGCTACGGCCTCTCCAGGAACGCTGGCGACGACCAAAGAAACCCTTCTGCAGCTAGAAGATGTAGCCATCCGTGCGGCTGCTAATAAGGCTGACATTTTGTTGCTCCCAGAAGCTTATCTTGGTGGTTATCCCCGCGGCCTAGATTTTGGGTGCAAAATTGGCTCTCGAACCGAAGAGGGTCGCAATGACTTCTTACGCTATTTTAAGGGTTCCGTTGATTTGGGAGATACGGTTGGAGATGGGGCTGGAGCCGGTGAGGCGTGGGTAAAGAGACAGTTGGGGGCCGATGCGACTGAGGCTAGGGATGGACGATCGCCGGTGAGCAGGGGTGATGGAACCAGGGAGGAGCTTGAACGAATCGCGAGGGACACGGGGGTCTTTATCGTCGTTGGGCTCGTGGAGAAAGCTGGCGGCAGTTTGTATTGCTCTGTCGTCTATGTTTGCCCGAAGCTGGGAGTCATTGGGAAGAGAAGAAAGGTCCAACCAGTAAGTTTGAATTTCTCTTAAAATTACTAATTAAGGGGCTTGATGTGATGGTGTTTATCTACGCAATCCTTAATCTTTCCCAAACGAGAAATGTTCAATCAGCAAATATCCTTGTCGGATCGACCAATCGCATTTGCAGCTCCATCAGACCATTTGGACATCAGCTCGAGGATTGCGAGACTAAATGTGACCATTCCCATAGCCTTACATGGCTATTGATTTATCTAGCAAATCCCTATTAAAGGCCTTCTTGCACTTTCAATGACTTCACCTGGGACACCACAGAGTCTACGTGCTCCAAGATGTATTCACAACCGCAGCCTGTCGTACCATACTCTGGTCTACAACTTCAACATCGACCAAAACCCTACGCAATGCCCCCAGAATGGGAGGCATATAAAGACACCATCAAGAAGCTCTACCTGGAACAGAACAAAACTCTTAAACAGGTTGAATAAACTATGGCTAGGGAACATAAATTCTACGCTACGTAAGTCGCCTGAATATCCCTGCACTTTGCTACAAGCACCGTTCTCATAGTGTGTAGGATAGGAATGTACAAGAAAAGAATTAAAGCTTGGGGTTTCGACAAGAAACTTAAAGAGCACGAAGTCGTAGAATTACTCCGTCAGAAAGCTGAGAGAGAATCCGCCGGAAAGGCTTCCGAATTTTTCATTAGAGGTCGGCGGGTGGACTTCGAGAAAATACAGCGTTACGTGGAAGGCAGACCGGATCTCTTGTCTAGGCTAGAAGGTGTTTATGAGAAAAGACCGTCTGGGATAATCGTTTGCCGGACACCATCGCCAGTGCCGGTTGCTCTTCCTTCGCCGCCAGATGTTCGGAAATTGGAGGAGATTATGACTGTCCTGAGAGATTATATGGGAGCATGCGCAACTGGTCCTCAATCTCGCTGGGTATTGACCCCCGAAGGGTATGCCACTCGAAATTCCGCACCGTCGGTTCTCGTCAATTCAAGGTCAAGCATGATTGGTGCGTGGGATGAACTCGCATCCCTACACTTATCCATGGAACGCACTACCACTCCTACAGAAATGTTCGAGGTCTTGGACTCGTCTCTGAATCGATTAAAAGATGCTATGAAGGATGAGATACCTGAGTTTATAATCATGTTACTCTATCTTTTACGTTTTACCTGGCCTGGACATCCTCTCTTACTTCGGATGTTTCGAATGCATGTCGGAGAACTTTCTTCACTGGTTCTTGGTATAAAGCACCCATTGACTTTGATATGGAAAGATGCCGTCGCTATAGAGGAAGGTTTTGACGACATAGTCGAGGATGTTCTACGAGTCCTATTTCAAGAACTAGCAACTTATCTCGGCCCAGACGACGATGTCGTTGAACTCGCTCGAAGGGCTTGGAGGTTTGCACCAAACTCATTGGAAGGCATGGTGGAAGTAATGAAACAATATCAGAACTGGCTAGCCTCTCATCCAGATTGGCCTAGTTCTATGTTACGTTCCTTTCTTGTCCAAGTACGCTTAATGATAGCGAACCTTGACGAGACGACGCCAAGACATCGACTTATTGAGGCACATGGTACAATCCAAACCATATTAGACACCGAGGGAATGAGTGTAAAGTTCCCAATAAACCCGGAAGAAGCTTGTTCTCTGGCGACAATGGGCGGAAGTATCTCCTTGCGCTTAGGCAACTTCGATGAAGCCGAGAGCGGGTTCTCAATGGCTGTGGACATAGCGAGACAACATAAGATACCACCAAGGGACGAAATAATATCTCTGCGATATCTTCAGATGATCTACGGTGCTACGGGAAAACGTACTGAACTCGTAAAGGCTAGAAAAGAGCTTCGGGATCTAGAAAATAGGATAATACGGGAATCCGTACCAGATGAATAGGACTGGACTTAGCTGGATGGGATGCAGATTGCGTGGCAAATCAAATACTGACATTGACTTGGGCTTATACTTGTTTTCGAACATCGATATGCGGAGTAACTAGCTAACGAGACACAGACGGGTTCAGAACGGCTTATCTGGGCGGCGGGCTCGCCAGCAACCCTCAAAGCAGTGAGCACCACCATCCGCGGCGTTCGCATCAATCTCGCCGCCGCGATCTGCTGGGAGAATTATATGCCGCTTCTGCGACAGAGCCTCTACGCGCAAAACGTGAATCTGTATCTTGCGCCTACGGCGGACAATCGCGACGCCTGGCTAGGGCGTAAGTAAAGTCCTTACCCTTATTTTATGAGGAAATATATGTTACAAGATGAATACTGATATAAACTGATGTAGTGGTGCGCACCGTAGCCCTCGAGGGCCGCTGTTTCGTCGTTAGCTCGAACATGTGCGTGCCCGAGGGCTCGGCCGTTGATTCTTCCGCGCACGGAACGGCAACGAACGGCGTTTCTAACGGCCGAAGAAGCTCCATCGTCGACGAGGACGGAAATGAAATCGTCCTTCCCAACGGAGAAAAGAAGATCTCGTCGTCTGCCGTGGTCGAAGAGGCAGCGATTGCACCGGCAAAGACCTCCGGTGGTGCTAGAACCTTCCTCTCTCGTGGCGGGTCCGCCATTATCTCTCCGTTCGGCGACGTCATTGCCGGACCGCAGTGGGAGGACGAGAAGGGCATCATTTACGCGGATGTTGACTTCGATGATTGCATCCGTGGAAGGCTCGACCTGGATGCGGCTGGGAGTTATTCTAGGTATGGATATAATTTTTGCTTATATTTCCTTATTTTACCCTCGTATTATTCCTCACGTTATTCCTCATGTCTCCCTTCATGCTTGTTTCTCCTCGCCTCGTGCTCCAGAATCCTTATTATAATTCAATAGCTGTTTATCTAACAATCATGGCAGGAACGACTCTTTCAAGTTCTACGTCGAAGGCTTGGATCTCGACCCCCTGCCTTACTGATCTCATTACCAGTTATCTGAAACCTCGTCGCCCTCGAGTTTTATCTATTTCTATCTATTAGGTCCCAAGCGACGGCCACTTCTAACATAGCAAGCAGGCAGGAATTGGTGGATCATTTACATACTCGAGTATCTAGCTCAACCGTACAAATTTCGTTGGATTGGACATGGCGAGACTTCGCCTGACGGATCGGAGGATTTGTATATACTCATGTCTCCTGTTCATAGGACTTACTTCGCATTCACTCATTGAAGTTTACTTTTCACCTTTACTTTTACCCTTATATATAGAGACCCTTTTAGGATCACAACCAGAATAGAACACAGCAAATTCAGATGCAAACTCAGCGTATCCCAAAATCGCAATCTTGTAGTAAATTCAGTAAACGGGTATCTAATTTGCCACTCCAATCCCATGCCTTGATCCTTCCTGTGACGGCCGTCGAGCCAAGTGATGAGTGTTCGTCGTCCGCCCCTGAACTGTAAAAAGCAGCTGGAAAACAGAAACACCTCCCCCTCCCCCATTACCGTAGTCCGTCCCGTTTGTTATGGAATGTGGTGTGCCGCCACGTTTAAACCATTATTCGTACCCTGCTAACCTCCAAATAAACTCTCGAAACACTGTGTCGACGAATTTGAAACTGTGACAGTATGGTCTCTTGTGAAGATCTATCTTCCCCTTAAGCGACTAGCCATTTTCCTCAGGTACCATATGGACCTTTGTTATTCTCCTCCCTCCTACTCCCTATCCTTCCCCATCACCACCCCTTCATCCCTTTCCTCGGCCACAGCTCCCTTCTCAGCAGCTTCACGCGGCGACGCGAGAGGGCTGCTCACGCCAGCCACACTGCCACTGATACTATCCGCGCGCCCGTGGCCTAGGAACCCACTGCGCACGCTAGCCGCGTCGCCCGTGATGTTCTGCTTCCCAGCGTTTCCGGTGTTAGTGGCGTACAGGCTGTTCCGCTCGCCGGGCATTGCTGTGGTGGAGTATATGCTTGTACGCTCGCCGGCGGCGATGCGCGAGGTGGATTGGTGAAGGCCGCCGCTGCCGTCGATGTTGGCGCTAAGTACGCTGAGCGGAAGCGACTCGCGGCTGCCGCCCCAGAGGGAGGAAGGCGCAAGCGCACGCACCGAGGCGTCGGTGTCCATAGATCGCCGGCGCCGGCGCTTGCTGGACGACGCGAGGGTTAAGATGGATGCGTTGTCTGTGAGCAGATTGTTGGCAGTGGCCATACTGTATGTCGTAGGATGGCCTGACCCCGAGTGTGGTGCTAGGTATGGCGGGATCGCAGATGCGGGAGAGTTGGTGGGGAAGGGCTGTGTGAACTGGACGGTCTGGTAATTGGAGTTGGCTTGGTTGGAGGAGTGACCGGTGTGGGTTGGGCCGTTAACGGCGCCATTAGGGCCTAATGACTGGATGGTCGTGAGTGTCGTCGTTAAGGAGCGCACCGAGGGCGCGGGAGAGGAGAAAGTGCTGTCTCCTCCTTTTCGGGAGTCGACACCCCCGTACGCGGTACGGCTGGTGCCCGTTACGGATGATGCCATATGCGAAGGAGCGTGGAGGGAGTGGGCGGCTTCGTAGTCAGTGGACACGGTGGGTGCCGCGGACATACCGCCGGCGGTGGGAGGTACGGCCTCGCCATTGGATGTTCCTGTCGACGAGTGGCTTCTTCGAGCTAACGAAGGATCCGACAGTCTGGCGCTGTGGGACGTGGAGAAGGACGGGTCACTCTGATGGGTGGGTTGGATGGCGATGCCGATGCGGCCAGATTGCGGGTACGGGTTGTTATTCTTGGTGGATCGCTTCTTAGTGGCCTTAGGAGTGGTATCGCGCTTGGAATGGCTATTGTGTCGGCTGCTCTCGGCGGCGGCAGAGGACGAGCCGCTCTTGAAGTTGGCGAGCTTCTTGACCCATGTCGAGAAAGGTCGTCTGCGACCTGTGCGTTCTTGACGATCTACCATCGTAGTAGCACGTGTTAGAGTAGTGGTCTCGTCGCCTAGATGAATTTGGAAGTTAAGAATGTGGAAGAGACGGGTTAGAGCCAGGGTGAAGGTCAAGGAAGGGATGTATGGAGTACGGAGTTAAAGAACGGATGATAAATAGAATGAGATTCCGAGAGAGTATTTACCAGTACCAGGAGGAAGTGGGGATGTCTCAGTCATAGCCATCTGGGGCTGGGAGATAGATGGTGATAGAGTGGCAGCGGTGGCGGTTAAACTATAAAATTTGTTGGATCAAAGGTTTCCAAGGTTAAGTTTCACCGAACGACGACGATGTGTAAAGGATGTTAAAGGGCAAATGCGGGGACTTGGGTGGGCTTCGGATTAAAAAATCGTATCCGATGTATTGGCGCGAGGCCTCAGTGTGCCAATTGATGAGTGAGTTAATCCGCATGCGCAGATGTACGTGCTTAGATGGAGTTGGGCAGTTATGCGATGACGATCCAGTCAATGTGTTATGTACCGTTTGTGGACAGAGAGATCGATGGGGCTATAATTCTTTTCGCTTCTTTTTCCTTTTTTAAAATCAAATCTTGAGACCTAAAGGCTTAGTGTTTGAAGATAATCAATATATGTTAGGCTTCAGTGGTTTGGTAGAAATGGATGCGGCCTAATGTGCTCAAATTGCCCACATATGTAGTTGACAAACGCTATGTAGGGGTGAAGTTGTTTCTATGAGAAATAGCATCATCGGTGATGGGAAGTTGTAGAAGTGCGATGGACCTGGACCTGGAACTGCGGCCTTGGACCAAATCTGTTACCGACCAAGCACGGACCAATTAAACTATCCGGAAATGGACCCCTGCTTTACCCCCCAATTTCTGAGGCTGATGCATTCTCCACCTGAGCCTGCTGAGCCTGGAACATTAAATATTACGTCATCAGCTATCCACCCATTCTTTTTACCTAAGACAATGTGGCTGAAATGCCGTCCTCGCCCTCCTTTAACTTCAATATTCAACTCAATAGTCTCAGTGCTACACCTGTTACCTAAACTAAAACCGTCCGACTTTCAGGGCTGATCTGAATCTTGAAAGATAACACCAATACCTTACCATGATAAACATCAAACGATTGGGCGAATGATGATGATGAGAAACGAAGAGAACTCTCCTGCTCAGCAATGTCTATCCAGCATTTGCCGGAGCATGTCATTGCCCAGATCAAGTCGTCTACCACCATAACTTCGCTTAATAGTGTTGTATATGGCTTGGTAAAGAATTCGCTGGATGCTGACGCAACTAAAATTACCATATCTATCGATTACACTCGAGGCAATTGCTCTGTTGAGGATAATGGCTTGGGAATTCCACCGAGCGAATTCAAGTCCACTGGTGGGCTAGGCAAATTGCATTATACGTCTAAATTCCCTGCTCGTAAAGATATCCACGGTCGGCATGGTACCTTTGTAGCATCAGTGGCTGCTTTATCATTACTCTCCATTACGTCTCATCACCATAGCTATCATTCTCACAACACAATCAAAATCCACAACGCTGAAGTCTTGGCACGGCATATCCCTGCGTTGCCGGAACAAAGGTTGTTAAGTTTCCCTCATGGGACTCGAACTACTGTCCGGGACCTCTTTGGGTCGATGCCGGTGAGAGTCAAGCAGAGGGCCATCGACGCTGAGAGAGGTATCCATGCTAAGGATTGGGAACGACTAAAACGCGGCCTTGTAGCCTTGTTACTCGCTTGGCCAGGCCAGGTCTCTGTATCACTTCGAGACTCTATAGACCAGCGCACTTTTGCGATCCGAATACCTGTGGAGTCCTCAATGATCCAGAACGAGAAAAATGAAATTATTGGCCTTACCACTCGTGTTTCGAGAGTATTATTCCAAGCTCAGCTATGTGATGATCATTCTCGAGATCTATGGGTCCCCCTTACAGCATCGGCAGGTTCAGTTTCCGTCGTAGGGGCAATATCGCTAGTTCCAATAATATCTCGACAGGTGCAGTTTATCAGCATAGGCATTCAACCGGTGTCTAATGAACACGGCTCAAACGTCCTTTACGAAGAGATCAATCGATTATTTGCAAATTCTAGCTTCGGTGTAGAAGAAGTCGCCGGCAATCTCGATGAGGATGAACAAAATAGGCGAGCTAAGGATCGTCGATTCAAAGCAGACGGGTACACCAACCAGGAACTTCGGGGTAGGAAAGGGGTTGATCGATGGCCCATGTTCTATATCAAAATTAATCTTGAAGAACAGGCACCCCGACTTGCTAGTAATGACGTGGATGAAATCTTCAATGAACGCCACCAGGATTTACAGGCAATCGTCGATATTATAACTGCAGTAATCTATGAATTTCTCAAGGCGCATCACTTTCGCCCAAGATATTCCAGGCCTCGCAAGGTTTTATCATCTAAACAATCGAACTCTCGGGATAGGCATAGTAAATCAGTATCTAGGAGCTCCACCCCAAGAGAGGATTCTAAAACAGGCCGCATTCGTACACCTCGAAACCATTCATCCGTTGGAGATTTGGCCATTACTAGGTTGAATCTTGCTCCTAGTAACTCTGGACTACGACCTGAATCTCCATTCGATTCATGGACACGTATTAAGTCGGGACAACCTCAGTATGCTCATCTGTATGAGAAGGCCACCTCGGACCAACAAGAAGCTGAAGAGTGTGGTCATAGCCGAACCCCCATGACAGGGTCTTTATGCACAGGGGACGATGACGATATAGAAAACACCCCTCTCGTTGCTCCGGATGGCGCGCTGTTACGTTTTCCTTTCCCTGACGTCGAAATGAGCGTGCCTGAAATTAGCCAGAAGAGCACCCCCGAAAAGGAGGACCTAGATGAGGGATCATCGTTAATTGAAGAAAATGCGGGAATCTCGTGGACCAATCCAACGACCAAAGAAACCTTTTCTATCGATGACCGGACTGGCCTGGTGCTACAGCCTCAAATGAATGCGACTGAAATGCCGCGTGCTAGCCGTTTACCGTTGAGAAAGAAGCTACGCACAAACACCAGACCAGTTCCTAGAGACGAGAGGAGCAAATGGTTAGGCGATCTCTTGTCATCCTGGGAAAATCCTGTATTTCCGTCACATGAGCCACCAATCCCCGTTGCCTTTGATGAAGCAAAGACGTTGGCCCTAGTAACGAAGGCATCAGGCGACTGTTTTCATGGGTGCGAATCGAAGTCGGTAGACTTTGCACAGGCCTCTCACAATATCGAGGGTCGACTATCTAAAGATGATTTACGGAATGCCAATATCATAGCCCAGGTCGACAGAAAGTTCATATTAACAAAAGTTCCTTTGTCCTCCAACCCACCCAATCCAGGTAAAAGTAAAGTGGGTGAAACATCATTACTCGTCATGATTGATCAACATGCCGCGGATGAACGGTGTCGGGTTGAAGCCTTAATGAAGGATTATTTCGTGGTTCTGGAAGATGATGGTATTTCTCCGATGGAGGAACGCCACCAGTCGATCTATGCCCAATCATTGCCGTTGGAGAAGCCCATCATCTTCGACGTCTCCCGTCAGGATAGTCGTCAACTCGAACGCTCCAAGGAGTATTTCACGCATTGGGGGGTTCTATTTGAAGTCAATTCGGCATCAAAACCAAAGTCCGAGGGGAAAGGAGGGGCGAAATTGAATGTCCTTGGGTTGCCGCCGAGCATATCTGAAAGATGTCGTGCGGAACCCCGTTTACTTATCGAGTTATTGAGGAAAGAAGCATGGAAATTTGACGAGCAAAGCCACGGTGTCTTACGGTCCACGCAAACGGAGGAGGAGCAGGGGAATGATGATAACACTACCGAATTACACTGGCTCGCTAGGCTTCATGGATGTCCCCACGGCATCCTAGAAATGATTAACTCGAGGGCATGCCGCAGTTCCATAATGTTCAACGACGTGCTTTCCCACGAGGAATGTGTCGACCTGGTTAAGCGGTTAGCGGACTGCACCTTGCCTTTCCAATGTGCCCATGGAAGACCATCAATGGTACCGCTGGTCGATATAGGAAGTATCCCAATGGGCATGGATGATGTTGGGAAGCATAAAGGTAGTTTTGGCGAGGAGTTTAGGAGGTGGAAATCTAGCAGATCAAATTAATAGTATATTGTAATTGAATGAGATAATCCAAGATACCCATTTCTATTTCAAAGTTTCTAGACAAACCAGAATTCTGACCTGCTACTATTATCATAGGTATGTTATATAATAGGGGTACAAATATGCGCTTTGTGATTACTAGGAATATATGCATACCAAGACCACATAATATGCATTTATGCATAAAAGGCGAAATACATGTCTTTAAAGGCGGCTCTACCTAATCTATCGATAAGGCAGGTAGCTCCCAATTCGCGGCGCGGTGACGTCCTAAGCTATTAAACAATCAGCATAACAACTACAACTCTATGGAACGATGAAAGAACGCCACCGATCTGATTGTCGATAGCATTTTAACAATACGCCATGGCTTTGCTGTTGGTAAGGTATACCAACTTGGTCCCCAAATCCAACGTTACCTAACATACTATAGTGGAAAGCGTTCGACTTCTTCGAAGTTAGCCAAGTCAAGCTCGGCGACGATGAGACACGATCACTCTTTGAGAATAACGAGATATCAAGCGTCTGTTCCGGGTCCGATAGTCTATTTATAGGGAGCGATAATGGATACGTACGCATCATCGGACCTAGCTGGAAGATCGTTCGGAGCTTTCATGCACATGAGACGGGTCGCATTACCCATATGCGCCAGGTCGAGGGGACAAGTCTTCTCGTAACTGTCTCGGTAGGATCTCTATATGCGGTCGATGTATGACCTCAGACAATAAATGGAGCTGATCGGAATTAGGAGGACCTTAGCAATGAGCCGGTATTGAAGGTCTGGGCATTAGACAAGCCTGTTAAGAAGACGGGATTACCTACCTGCCTAAGTACATTAAGCATACACAACGGCCGAAAACAGTTCCCCGTGAGTATATCTATGATGCCATACGTGAACATTAGTTAACTCAATACCAGATCTCATCCTTCACCGCACTCGATGACCTATCACAACTCGCCGTAGGATTCGCAAACGGAGCAGTCACTGTAATACGAGGTGATCTTATACACGACCGAGGCACAAAGCAGAGGATAGTCTACGAATCAGAAGAACCGATAACAGGAGTCGAATTCGTAGCCGACCCCAAGCTCACGACGCTGTTTGTTGCAACGACCTCTAAACTCCTGAAGCTGGTTATATCAGGAAAAGGCCAAGGCCAGCCTCCGAGGACAATAGAGGATGCCGGGTGTGCAGCTGGGTGTATGACAGTAAACAACAAAACCGGGGATATCATCGTGGTTCGGGATGACGCTGTGTACTATTATAGCTCGGAGGGAAGGGGACTCTGCTTTGCTAACGATGGAGTCACGAGTCTGGTATCAACATTCCAGGATTATGTCGCACTCATTGCGCCGCCCCCAGCTTCTGGAAGTGGAGGCTCTGACAGTATTAGACGTCGTTTTGGGGGGACAAACACAGAATCTCTGTTCAATGCCGCTAGGTTCACAATGGTGGACCCCTCCCTTCAAATAGTCGCCCATTCTGAATCTCTCATCTCTGAAGTCAAGGTGATCTTTCAGATATGGGGAGACTTGTATATTCTCACGCAAGATGGGAAGGTAGGAGAAGCCTCTGTTCTCTTACACTATAATGTGCTCACGGAAGTCAGGTCAACCGGTACCATGAGAAGTCGTTGCAACAAAGACTCGAGTTATTGTATCAACGGAATCTATTCCCGCTTGCTATCAACCTCGCGCAGAAGTCTGGCATGGACCTACAACAACAGAACGTCATCTACCGGAAATATGGCGACCATCTATACCAGAAAGGAGACTACGACAGCGCCATGTCACAATACATCAAGGCGATCGACAACACAGAACCGTCGCAAGTGATCCGAAAGTTCCTTGATACGCAAAGGATACATAACCTAATCGAGTATCTTGAAGAGTTACACGAGCGTCATAAAGCCACCGCGGATCACACAACTCTGCTGCTAAACTGTTATGCTAAGCTAAAGGATGTCGATAAGTTGGAGAAGTTCATCAAGTCCGAGGGAGATCTCAAATTTGATTTGGAAACAGCTATAACCATGTGTAGACAAGGCGGTTACTTTGAACAGGCTGCCTACCTTGCCACAAAGCATGGTGAAAACGATCTAGTAGTAGATATTCTGATCGAAGACTCCAAGAACTACGCGGAAGCGCTCGACTTCATATGGCACCTGGATGCTGAAACGGTACGTAACTTGGACCCCTGTGCTATTTGAAGACTAATTTTCTATAGGCGTACCCGTGTTTAATGAAGTATGCGAGAGTACTCTTAGAGAATTGTCCTAGTGACACTACGAAGATATTTATCGACTATTACACGGGAAAATACAAACCGAAAGTCCATAAAGTTCCATTAGAAGAGACGCAGACTATATCGAGTGGTGGATTTGTAGCTGGTGCTACCACAGCTGTGCAGAATCTAACTAGTTTACTTCCTCTCCCGTATATGAATACTTCTGCGATACCTACACCTACCGGCCAGGGATCACAAGCAACTATTAGCGACGCAGGTGCTATAATAGAGCCCGAGACGAATGGTGATCCGAAGTACACACCACCGCCTCCTCGAACAGCCTTCTCGTCTTTCATCGACCATTCAGATGAGTTTATCGTCTTCCTCGAAGCTTGTCTAAAAGAGGATTCCCTCAACGAGTCGGATAAAGCAGACATATATACGACCCTATTCGAGATGTATCTCCACAAAGCCAGCGAGAGGAAGGGAATGCAGCGAGAAGAGTGGGAGCTCAAAGCGAAGAAGCTCATCGAGGGACGCGAAGTGCCTATCGAGAACTCAAACGTCCTTCTGCTATCCCACCTATCGGACTTCCGCGACGGCACGACCCTAGTCAAAGAGCAGTCCGGCCTGCTATCCGACATCTTCCGGTCCTACACCTCGGCCAAGGACACGCGCGGAGCCATCAAGGCGCTCCGCAAGTACGGGCCGGAGGAGCCGCAGCTGTACCCGGCGGCGCTCGCGTACTTCACGTCGGACGCGCGGATCCTGGAGGAGGCGGGCCCCGAGGAGCTGGCGAACGTGCTGGACAAGATCGACCGGGACGGGCTGATGGCGCCGCTGCAGGTGATCCAGACGCTGGGCTCGAACGCGGTGGCGACGATGGGCATGATCAAGCCGTACCTGCGGGAGACGATCACGCGGGAGCGGCGCGAGATCGCGTCGAACCGGAGGCAGACGAACTCATTCCGCAAAGAGACGGAGGCAAAGCGGGCCGAGATGGCGGAGCTCGGGACAAAACCCGCCGTCTTCCAGGCCCAGCGCTGCCCCGGATGCGGCGGCCTGCTCGAGCTCCCCGCCGTCCATTTCCTCTGCAAGCACAGCTTCCACCAGCGCTGCTTGAAGCAGCAAGGCGGTGGCGGCGAGGACGGGGCGGAAGCGGAGGTCGAGTGTCCCGTGTGCGCTGTTAATAACGCGGCTGTTCGCGCGATGAAGAGGAGTCAGGATGAGAGGGCTGATAGGCATGATTTGTTTAAGGATGCGCTGGAGAAGGGCGATGAGAGGGAGAGGTTTAGGACGGTGGCGCAGTGGTTTGGGCAGGGTGTTATGGGGGCTGGGACTGCGGAGTAGAGGTGAGATTTGGAGATTGAAGTTGGAGGTTTGAAGTTGGAAGTTTAAGTGAGGTTGAGCTTGAGGTTGGTGGTGAGAATGAAAGGAGGGAAGGGGCTTATGATGCGACGATACGATATTCTAGGTTGGAAGTTGGAAGTTAAGGGTGTCGTACAATGAGTACTACAACTCTGTCTATATGCCGGTTTTCCACAGGTCTATGTGCATCTATATATAGTATACAGGAGTAACAGCACTACTCAGTCCTGGCTTTTTTTATTTCTTGTCTTTCGAGATACTCCTTATACGTTAGGTAGACATGAGAAGTAGATAAGTAAATGGTTTTATTCACACTTTAAATCTTTAACTACTCAGAACTCTTGAAGCGCGTCAAGTGCTCAATAGGGCCTACACCAAATAAATAGTTAAGCAAGGTCCCGGTGTACTCATCGTTGATTCGGGGCCGCCAGTCGGGGACTTGGTGGAGGTACGTCGAGATTAGAGGCTGGAGTAGACTGGACCCGAAAACGTCGACGATCTGGCCGTGGCGTACCGTCATGGCGAGGGGGGAGGGCGGCATGGTGGCCGGGAGAGCAGGGCGTGGACGCGGGTCTTCGGAGGTGGGGTACAAGGAGAAGGTGAATTGGGGGGTTTGCGTGTATATCCACTCCGGTGACTGTTTGATGTTAGGAGATTTGAATTGATTCAGAGAAGGGGAGGGTTGCTTGTTGGACGTTGGACGTATGTGATATGTATGCGCCCGCGCCAAATACGTACACCCCCTTCAGCATGGTCCCTATTCTCTCGTATATCATAATATGACAGAGAGATGGGGGGATGAAATGTTATGAAATGAAGCAACGTACCTGAAGCTCAACATACCCCTTCACGACAAAAGGCCCCTCCTCTAAGATCTTCTGGACATCGGCCGCGTCGATGATCTCGGGATCCACGGCCCCGTACATGGCACCGAACTCAGCAACGACGGCCTCCTCGAAGGACCCCAGGTCCGCGACGCCGACGTTGCGGATGGCGCTGCGCACGCTCTCGGCGCCGCGCGCCTTGATGTACGGCGCGGCGGGGGAGCGTAGCAGCGCGCCGACGAGCGATAAGTTGGGCGAGGACAGGAGACAGGTCCCGTGGTGGAGGAAGCGCTCGCATATCAGCTTGTACGCGGAGCCGGAGACCTTGAAGGTTTTTTGGGTCTGGGGTTGCTGTTGCTGTGCTGCTGCGGAAGACGAGGAGACGTCGAGCACGATGTCGTGCCGCTCGTTGACGCGGAACGAGACGTCGTTTTCCGGGACGGCGAGGGTGGATAGCGCTCGCACGACCATGGCCGCGTGCTTATTCCGGTCGAGGGGGGCCGACGGGCAGATCACGCTGTAGTTCACGTTGCCGAGGTCGTGGAAGACGGTGCCGCCGCCGGACCTCCGGCGGACTAGGAGGACGCCGTCATCTTTCGGACTTTCATCTCCTTTTCCAGGCGTACTACCTTCACCGGAGATTATCGCGTTCGATCGCTTGAGAGCGCCTAAGTTCACCTCGACCCAGGGATTTTGGTTCCGGCCGATGACGACGCAGGGCCGGTTCGTATACAGGAACAGTACGAAGGAGTCCAGGGGAGACTTTTGGAGCAGGAAATGCTCGATGGACAGATTAAGGTACGGGTCTGTCGACCGTGAGATATACACTTGGACCCGGTTCGAAGGGTGAGAGACGGTCTCTAGGCTGAGGTAACGGCACACGCCAGGGTGTATATTAGATCTATGAGGTCTTATACATGGCCTAGCGAGGGTGGTGAGAAGGCGCCGTAAGAGAGCCATGAGAGGTTGTTGGCGATATTTCTTCGTCTCATCTCATATCAAGCCATCTTATATATCATCTTAATCCGAATAACACCAATAAATCTCAACAATAAGATGTAAGTTTCTTAAGTCGCCAAGTGAGTAGGTAGAGATGAGTAAGTGATAGATCTTAGTGGCTGGGCATATAAGAGAAATCCTTGTCGCCTCTGGATCCCTGCAACTCCGTGACCCACATAGCCGGGTCGGAACCAGGAAACTGAAGCCCTATCGATAAAGAAAAGTAAATCGCGGGGCTAAAATCGGAGAGTTAGGTGGATGCCCCACTATCGTAAGAGGCTTCGAAAATTAATTCCTTTTGTTCTTTGACTCATCAAACAAAGCTTTCTACTCCGTTAAAAAGGACGACGCTGATTTCTAATATCTAAGGAATTGGCGAATACTACACTAGTTAGTTGACCTTATAAGTTCCCGTCCTAATTGAACTCGGGTATTGTTTGTCTTGTTTGGTGGAATCTAATTCGTCGTGCCTTATTCGATTATCGCAAAATGTCGACCTTCGGATCCTCGTTTAGGGTGACTACGTTAGTTGCGCAACCCAATTGACCTTTCTAGCACTGTCTAACAAACATTCTAGCTACGGCGAATCCCATTGCCGATCAGTGGGATGCATTATCGACGGCTGCCCGCCGGGCATGGAGCTCACAGAAGCGGACATTCAACCACAAATGAACCGTCGCCGGCCGGGCCAGAGCAGCATCACAACACCCCGAAACGAGAAAGACAAAGTCGCCATACAATCCGGTACCGAGTTCGGCGTCACTCTCGGCACTCCCATTGGCCTCGTGGTTCTCAATGAGGATCAGAGGCCCAAGGACTATGGGAACAACACAATGGATCGTTTCCCACGGCCCAGTCACGCGGATTGGACCTACCTCGAGAAGTACGGCGTTAAGGCGAGCAGCGGTGGTGGAAGGAGCTCGGCTCGGGAGACTATCGGCAGGGTAGCTGCAGGCGCCATCGCCGAGAAGTACCTCAAGCTTGCCTTCGGCGTGGAGATCACCGCTTTCGTAACGTCCGTCGGCGCAGTCCACATGTTCCCACCCACACCCGAGTGTCCAACACAAAGCCAGAACCCCGCGTTCTTAGAGCTTATCCAATCGATCGACCGGGAAACCGTCGACAAGTTCTTGCCCGTGCGGTGTCCGAACGAGGAGGCCTCTCAGAAGATGGCCGACTACATAGCCGCCTTCAAGGATCGTAACGACAGCATCGGCGGCACCGTCACCTGCGTCATCAAGAACGTGCCTAGCGGGCTGGGAGAGCCGTGCTTCGACAAGCTAGAGGCGAAGCTCGGACACGCCATGCTCAGCATACCGGCGACCAAGGGCTTCGAGGTCGGCTCCGGCTTCGGCGGGTGCGAGGTCCCCGGCTCGATCCACAACGACCCCTTCATCAAGGCGCCTGACGCGCCCTCCTCTGAGCAAGAGACGGGCGCGGGGCGCAACGGGACGCCGAGGCCGAGACTCACGACCAAGACGAATAACTCGGGCGGCATCCAGGGGGGCATCTCGAACGGCGCGCCTATCTACTTCCGCGTCGCGTTCAAGCCGCCGGCGACCATCAGCCAGGCGCAGACGACGGCAACGTACGACGGCGAGTCCGAGGGCGTGCTGGAGGCGAAGGGGAGGCACGACCCCTGCGTGGTGCCGAGGGCGGTGCCGATCGTCGAGGCCATGGCCGCGCTCGTCGTCATGGACGCGCTGATGCAGCAGATGGGCAGGCACGAGGCTAAGAGGCATCTGCCGCCCGCGAAGATAACCGTGCCGGTTTCGGATAATGGTGTTTCTATGGGTGCGAAATAGGGGGGTTCGGGGATGGATAAAATGGTAATACTGTAAAAGTTACCTAAATAGGTGTGTAATGTGATTTATTGTATCGAATCTCAGGACACTGTTAGTTAGCCTTCTGGAAGCCTGATGGTGCCAAATGACGGTGTGTAAAGAAAACCTTGGTACTACATATAGTACACAGGTAAGAAACGTCCTGAAGGTGGATCTACTGGCGTTCAGGTCCCCGTAGTGCCTTGATGATATCCAAAAACATACGCAATACCTCTTCGTGCGCGAATTAGGACAATAAATAAAAGGTATCGAAGTTGATTGATATCTACCTGCTGATTTCCTACTCATGTAAAGGATAAGGGAAGAGAAGAGTTAATCACTAGTTTCTGTTCCAACGTAATGGAGTTTAGTGATAAGGGGCGCCTAACTGCAACTTGGAACCCTCTGACAATTTCAATGGGTGGGCTAAATCCAGGCATATAGACAGACGTCGGGTGTTTTCGGGGCACGTTGACACCGGTTACCCTCCCTCACTTGTAACTTCAGTCACAAAACTCTCCCAATTTCGATATAAGCCGAAAGACTGATTCTCAATACTTCATCGTGTATTTAAAGGGTATCTCTGATGATCATAATATCATACATAAAATAAACCGCCACATATATATATATTTATCCCTAGACATAGCCCATCCCATCAGCTCGCTCTATCAAGACCGACGTTGCGTATTCCCCCTCCGCAACAAAGACAACCGCGCCTTAATCGGATTCGCCGTCCCCCCATTACCACCACCACCATCGTCATCGTGTCTAAAATACGACGAGAAAGGCGTACTATCCACGTTAATATCGATCGACGGCGCGCGTCGTTCTCCTAGGTGAGGCGGCGGTGCGGGGTGGTGGTAGTCCTCCGGCCACTGCTGGTGATAACCTTGGTACCCGTAGTCCTGGGACACGGGCGAGAGGTCGCCGCCCCGGTGCTGGCTGGCGGACTCGGCGTAATGTGTTTGGCTCGGGTCCGATATGCTGGACCCGCCGTGGTTGTTGTGCGTGTTGTTAGACGACGATAACAGAGATACCCCATCCGCGTTATACTCGCGCGCGTCTCCCGCCGCACTCTCCGCGCCGCGCGATACGCCGTCCCGAACTTCTGACCCGTGACCGTCGTCGTAAGACACAGCATTGCCCGCAGCTCTCTTCTCATCATCGCTCCCCACAATCTCGATCCCCCACCTCTGCGCCCCATCCGCCCCCGTAAACCAGCCCAACCGCGCCTTCGTCACACCATCAGCCTTCAACTGCGCCATGCCCTTCTCCCTAGCCTCCCTAAGCAACTTCTCGCTCCCGGCCATGAGGACGACGACATCCGCTATGCTCTCGATCTTGCGCAGGAGCAGACGCGTGTAGCGCCGCGAGGCGACGGCCAGGATCACGGTGGCGACGATGAGGTACGCGAGGATCAGCATGCATATCCAGGCCGCGGGCTTCGACATCTTGAGGAGCTCGACGGGGCGCTCGACGTGCAGGGTTATCGGCGAGTCGGAGGACGAGGACGAGGACGAGGACGAGGTTGTGTCGGCTCTTTTGGTGTTGGTGTTGGCGACTGGTTGGTCGAGGTCCGACGGCAGTGCCTCGTTCGGCGGTTGGAAGACGTAGCCCCCCGTCGTGTAGGAGACGTTGTTGCTCGCGTAGTTCTGGAACAGCGCCGTGAAGGTCTTCGTCGCGGTGCTCGCTAGCGTGGCCGGGTCCAGCAGCGCTTCGTGGTCGTAGTTGACGAGAGATAGCATGGAGTATGTCATCAGATCGGCGTTTAGGCCGGGCTCCCGGATATTGAAGGTCTGGTCGTCGAGGGGTTCCGTGGCGATATTCCAACTTTCGACGTCGCCGGCAAAATTCGACATGTCCGCGGCGCCGAGCAGGCCGGTCACGAAGAGGATTCCGTGGCTCGTCGTGATGTTGACGCTGTAGAGGTTATCGCACCCCGCGCTCTCGCATAGGCCGTCGTAGTTCTTATGCTGCTTGAAGTCGTCTGACCACGCGTATTGATCTGGCTGTGGCTCGTCGAGGAGGTCGAAGCTGATGACGTGACTATCTTCTGTGCTCACGGTGACGCTGGCGTTCACTGTTTCGATGATGGGCATGCAGTTCAACGCCGTCATCTGAGGCGGTTCGGACCACATTAGTCGGGGCGAAGTTGAACTACTCGATGATGAAGATGAGGACAGGTCATGGTAGCCTTCTACCGGACGGCCGTGAATCCATTTTACGGTGAAGTTAGCGGGCCAAGACGTCGCGAAATCTGGGTAGAGTGAGTTATTTCTTTGATTTGGCGACCAATATCCTACTGAACTCGTGCCAATCTGTCCGTCGGTAGTCATGTTTTGACAGCACGACATCCTCTTGTTACTCACGAAGAATGTGGTATAATTCCCAGACATGCTCGCGTTATTATCCAGGAAGAGTAAGGTGTTGGAACCTAGCCTATTCAAACCCAATTCGTAGCCGGTTTTCAAGATAGTCGGATCGAGCGTTTGATTCCATGCCGTCGCATTGGTCAAATCCCACTCGGTCAACCAACTCGTGGTGTTTGTGATATCCAAGTGCTCATGTGGAGAGCATTCGAGACGTGCTCTGATTCCTGAGGTCTGTAACGTGACGTTCATCGAGGACTGTGGCACTGTGGATTGATTACCTGTGTTTTGAACGTCCGTCTGCGGCACCGCGGTGGACAAGTCGTGCGGAACGAAGCTCCAACCATCTGAGCTCCAAGCGGGCTGTGATCCGTTCAAGGAGATCTGCACCGCTGCGCCGTATATCCAAGAAGTCTTCAAATTGCTAAATAGCGATGCAAGGGCGCTCTGTTTATAATTGCCTGCGTGGCTGGTGAACTGTAGCGTAGCCTCTGATAAGTGCGGCACGCTGCGCAATTCGAGCTGTCGTTGAACATTCACCTGAAATGGTACGCTGCCGGGTTCTCTATTCCAAACTGACGACATTGCAATCGTGACTATTAAAGTTAGAATATATTTACAGATATAGTATGAAAACACTTACAGATCTCAGCAAGGAATGCACCACCACACACCGTAGCGAGCACGAAGTGCCCTCGTCTAGAAGCTTTCCAAACAGCGTGTAAGAGGTACGACGAGATATACGATACCATCAGGCCTTGGTCCCCGTTGACCGGCTCTTTGGCGAGGGATAGGAAGGGTTGGATTCTACGCATAGTCGTCTCGAGCGCGCCCCACCACAAACCAATCAACACGGCGAGAAAGGTCGTAACAATCGAGGCCGGATTCACATTACTAAGATCGACACCACCGATGGAGATATCAAATGCGTATACGAAAGCTGTCTGATATAACCCGTACATCCCCGAGTACCAGTAGAGATACGCGATTACTATCAGAGTAGCCGAAAGTAGGAGAGTGAATATGATGAGAAGCCAGATGCCAAAGGTGAATGATTGCGGTTTCGCATTGGTGGCGGCCATCGTCTCCGTCGCGTTAATATACTCCGGCGAGTTAGACTGGATTAGATCGTCGACTTCGGGGCTTATTAAACGAATGCCGTCGCTCGTTAATTGGTATCTTTGGTTCGCTACCGCAGTGCGTATCTCTTCGAGCGTGCAGTTATGGAGTCCCTCAAATGACTGTAGTGTGCCAGGCTCCTTTGTAATAAGCTTGGCCGTGCTCATTGCTGGTGCCGGATCGGCGAAAAGACCGAGGGGACGCCTAGAAAGTCTGGTCATGAAGAAGACAACGCCTAATAACACCAGTTGCAAACCTAATGATATTTCAAGGACAATGGCTACCGCAGGCACCACGACAACTCGTCGCCTGGTCTCAGCCGTAGTGCCAGAGATTTCGGAAGGGTTGTTCGTAACAGAGTTATCGAACGTGTCACGGAGAAGCTCTCCGAAGAACCGTTGTTTTATTTTCTCAGCATTCTGGACCGCTGACTGGTCTGAGATTATCTGGGTCGGATCGAAATTGTATAAAGCCAACAGCAGAGTTGCCGGTCCGGATGAGAATGCTACAAAATTCTGGGAAGGCTGCGCCAAATGGACTGACCAAGTCGCGCTAAGGGAGGCGTCCTGGTAGCTAGACACGTTCGCCGTGGTGCTAGGAATTTCTACGCGATTGGACAAGTACTGCTCCTCATCAATATTAACTTGGACATTAGAATTGCCGCTACTAAAGACAACAGTGGCATTGGTATCTCCCATGTAATAGCGTGTCGTGCAAGCTTGGCCTTGGATGGTAAGGTTGGCTGCGTCGGCCGTCAAGTTGGTGCCCCATGAATTGGTAAACACCATGTACTCGTCTTGCGTGCAGTTGGCCTTAGTAAAACTCATCCCATTACTATCGAGGGAGATGTTATTCATGGATATGGTGGTGAGGTTCGACAACGAGTTCCAAAGTGCACCGCCGTTATTTCCAAGATTGGCGCTGTCGGTGACGTTCAGAATACAACCAGATGCTGAGGATAGTCTGACGCTGGTATAATTCACAATTGACGGGCTGTTCTTGAATGGCATGATGAAAATGCCCCCGGGATCTAGGTTCATCTGTTCGCAACTCTCTTCTACATTGAATACCGTGGTTTTCGCTGACCATGTTTGCATCGAGTCAGTGAACTGCGGTCCCAGAGGTACGCTGCCCACTCTGGCTGGCCAGATAGGTTGTATGGCATATTTTTCCGTAATCCACGCAGAGGTCGTGACATTCTGAAGGATGTTGCCAACCGTTCGAAAATATGTAGCAGCTAGCGGTGAAGCCTGAAGCGGCAACAACGAAGAGATATCCAACTTGCTAAACGGTACCTGGTACGTGAAAACGATATCCTCTGTCACGAATAAACTTGAAGAGAAGGGAGACACTAGAAGGAAGCCGAATATGAAAGCTAGAGCTGCGCATAATAACGCCCAGTTCGTTTTTCGACCACGGCCAGGAAATCCTTGGGCAAGGGCGTCCCACCATGCTTCAGCGGTCCAGGTCAGCGACCTGTTCCCCAAAGTGCCATGAGGGGACGAAAGGTACGCGAATGCTTGGGTTCGCTTGACGTCGTTAAGTATTATCGATATTAGAAGGACGTGGATGACTGCGAGTACGGTCGGCACAAATTTGGAGGCTACGACAATACCTCCAGAGCCGTCATCGTCTACCAGTCCCGAATCGCGGCTCGATATGCCGTGGAATACCGCCACCAAAATTTCCAGTATCACTGTCAAAGCCAGGATCGAGGAAAATGTTGGCCACCGCAGAGCATGAGGAAGCCATGATGGTGTGGCCGCATTCTGGGCCCGTCCAAAATCCGAAGGATATTCTTTTATCGTTGTACTGGTGAATCCCGTCCCCACTGTTGCTTTTCTATCGTAAGATCCCATTTGAGGTTGGTAGATATCTTCATCGGCGGGCTGTAATTGATGGTACTGGTCCTGCCCGCCACCGGTCGAAGCTGGATTATGTCCTAGCTCGTAAGGATGTCCAACATTATCGGCATCGTCTGATGTATGCGGTACTGCTTGATAGTCAAGATTATGATTAGGGCCGTGAGATGCCATATTAAAAGGGAATGCTCAACGGCGAATATCTAATGATATATTATATACATAATTATCGGTGAATTCACGACCAGAACATTCGAGAAGTCTTCTCATGCTTCAGTCAAGGCAGCCCTATGTTATGCAATGTTACGTGAAAGTGCTGTGCCTCAGCTCTGCATCGAGCTGAATGTTACAGCACTATTAATAGACCTTGTAAGTGAGTCCGAGGCCCACTTGACTGGCTGGAGACAGTTAGAGAGCCGGACTAGCAGGCTACCATGCTAGGTATGTAATCCTTTAGCTTAAATCTTGGGTTGATATCATGGATGTCTAACGTGATTGGAAGATAGGCTGGATGGGGTGGTTGGGTGGTTCCGTGCTTACCTGGTTCCGCTGTTCTGCTCTGCTGGTCCTACTACCCGGTTCTGCCGGTTCTAGCTAATACGTTTAATATGTGGGCTAATTACTAACATAGCCTCTCTTTCTTAACCGCGCGCGAATCATGATAATGGATACCGTATATTCTGCGAATCGGTATATGTTTTCGAATGCTCGTCCCAATTTGCCGCAATGAGAACGACGCAGAAGAGTTAGAGATACCGCGGTGAATGCCCATGAATAAAAGCAAGCAGGAGATATGGCATGGGTTTTGCCTAAATATAACTAGCCGTGACAAAGCAGACCGTGGGGGCCGTTTTATTTAGTCATCGGCTGAAATGGTATAGGGAAACTTGCTTCGACCATCGTCTCCTGGATTTAAGGACGATCTTGCTCCTTATTGGCAGTCGCAATGTGATCGATTAGATGCATGGAGACAACTTAGGAATAGGCGTGAGCGAACTTTCCTGGAGTAGCCCCAAGGGTGGTTTTACACTAAGAGAAGGTAGGTATGTAATGTTGCCATTTGATTTATAATGTCTCTCGTTATCGAACTTATGAATAGAAACCGCTCAAGTAGGTTGAAATCCCGCAGAAATTATCTCAAGGCGACCTGGTTTATTTGTTACTCGGGGTTAATATCGCGCGCATTATGGCCGGTGTATGACTACCCAAGTGAGTTCTGAATGAGAATCCTAGGGATTCCGCCAATCCGACCTATAACCTATCTGAAATGCTCCGAGGACCATCTGCATAGGCAGTAAGTATCTATGCAAGATATAATAGTAAAACGTAGGACATGTCGTAGTGATGTCGGGGTCAGGTGACTCCCAATATCTAGATGCATGTATATCTTGTGGTTGAAGTCGACGTGCGAGCTGCGATAGACTGATGCGGAAGCGATAAAAAAAAGTAAAATAAAAATGACAAAATAATAGCAAAATAGCAAAAAGCTCGGCCTCGATTCTAACCACTGGACTTGCCCTGAACAGGAGCTAACTGCCGCCCTCCAATGTGGCTCGAACCAAGAACCTACGAAAAACCCCGGACGGTTTTATCTGGGCTGTCATCTCCATTAACCACTACACCAATAGCCAGTTGGTGCATGAACGCAAGTTCAATGGATCAAGCTTGGATTTCGGTAGCAAAGTATGGTATATGAGTCAAACTTTGGCCCTCTTCAGACTGTGCTGCCTGGCGACCCGGCGGATAAGGTCATAGCGTTCGACCTCGTAGTGACTGGCAGATAAACGCCTCGCGGCTTCCGGTATACGCAGTTGCGGCTGGGATTATTCAGTGCTGAAGAAGTCAAGCTTGATTTTCCAATTCGCCGTCATAATCATTACCATCGTCATCATTATCACCATCACCGTCGTCGCCGTAGTCACGCACCATCCTCCGCATACAACCCCTCCCTTCGAATCCACCCCGCCACACCCTCACTAACCAACTTCTTCAACGCATCCCAATCCCGCCTCAGCACCGCCGCGCGCACCTTCGTGCTACTCACAACCTCCTCCTCGCCGTTCCTCCGCCCCTCAACCAAACTAATCCTATCCACCCACCCCGTCTTCCCGCCGACCTTCTCAAGCCCGCCCGTCCTTAGGCCCTCAAGGTACGCCCGTTGCGCCGCCGCGTCGCCCCAGTCCGCGTCCGTGCGCATCGAGACCCGGAGCCGCGCGTGCGCGAAGAAGGGGTCTAGCACGCGCGCCATCGACCCGGACGGGTAGTACTTCGGGTCGAAGACGCGGATCAGCGTGTCGAAGCCCGTGAGGTAGACTTGCTCTACTACCGGCTCCGGCTCCGACTCCTGGGAGTGGTGGTAGAAGCCGGATGAGGCGACGGCGCCGCTTTTCGCGTGGAAGTACGGCTCTGTCGTGACTGCGATGTCGACGCCCTCGCACTCGTTCGCATCGCCGCTGCTACTGTCGCTGTCACCTGCCGTTTCGGTGGAGGTGGAGGTGGATGTGGCTGCTAGCAGGTCCTGGGCGAAGATGTACATCATGGCGAGCCGTTGCGGGAAGGCGGCGGGTTTGGGCGCCTTGTCCGCGTTGTTGATCGCGAGGAGGAGCAGGACGCGCGACTTATCGTCGTCACCATTATTTCTATTACCACTGCCGGGCTGTCTATACTCCGAGAAGGCGGAAAGCGCCATCTGCTGGTGGGCCAGGGTCGGGGGGTTGAACGAGGAGTCGAGGACGAGGAGCCTCTTCGGGACGGCCTTAGGCGGTTGAGGAGCTGGCGACGCCGTGGACGGAGAGGATAGGGAGGAAGGGGTCAAGGAGCACAGGACACGGAAAGTCGCATTGGATAGCTGGTAGCTCTTGAGAGCTTGGGTGAAGTGGGAGACGAGATTTGGGGGGAGTTGTCGAGCCATTGTAGTGTTACTGGCCTCGGACGAAGACATTCTCTTTATTAATGGGTATTGAAAGCTAAGGGGCTTGACGCCTTCTATGATATATAGCAAATGATACGAAACATGGTGAATGTTATACTAATAGCATCACTTATATCGATGCTCAGTAGGATCCTAGACTAAACAGAGAGATTAGGGAATGACAGGGGATGACAGAGGAGGATGAAGAAGTTAGAATACCACCTAGCCCTGGAGAGGAGGGGTCGAATCGAATCATTTAGCGAACGGTTGTTCCCGTCAGTGGAGACCTGTAATCTTATCTCATCTAATCTCCTTAAACCAACCTTTCCTGTATCGAAATATTCAGTTCTAGAAACTAGACGTAATACGTATAATTGCATTATCACGTTATAAAAAGAGCAGCGAAGAATCACATGGTTCAACCCTGTTTTTATTGGGGAACTGGGGCAGTGAATTGAAGGGGATTAAAGGTCGATCCGAAAACGAGATCACCTATCTGGTGTTGGGGAAATTTTAGGGACACTGTCGTCCTGCCTCGTAGCAATAAAAGGCACATGCTTTTCCGTTCCTTAATGCAATGTGAATCAAAAGCAACCATAGGGTATCATCAACCTGACCAACCGGTATCCCAGAACGCCTCCATGCCTTGAAATGTGAACTTGACTTATTAGACACTTGAGCTCCGTTCAGCGAATCTCGGGCTCCCTCATGAAATCGGGAATGGTCAGTCCACCGTCGCCGGGCGTGTACTTCTTGGCGCTCTCCTTGCGTTTCTTTTTAGCAGCCGCAATTCTTGACATCGCCTCTTCGTCGTGGTCGTGGATATTCATGAGCTCCATACGGTCATCGAAGTCGTCGATTGCCTCCACCATCTCCTCCAGAGGGTTGTTCTCCGCTGTATCGGCGGCGTCGTCTAGAGCGTAAACCTTGATTCCGCGAATGTGCGTGTCCTTGCCATTCTGGTGGTTCTCGAGAACGATGATACGAACAAACCAGCAGCACATTGAGTTACCGTCAGGGCCGCCGCCAGCTCCGGCGATGGGAACGTCGATCCAACCCTTGGGCGTGTTGAGCTCCATGGTTGTGAACGGAATAGTGAAGTTGGGGCTCCAACCACCATTGACCTGAATTTTAGTAGGCGTGTAACTCTCGTCGAGTTCGTAGTCCAAGTAGAGTCGGATGGCGCGAATCTCCACGCGCTTGATGAAGTGGATGTTCAATCGATGGGGCTGAGGGCCATCAGATCTAATGGGGATTTTGTTAGTAACGACGAAATATGGAGAGAAGTAATCACTTACTGCCAGAACTGGTTGACGTCATCATCGCGCAGCTCCTTGACACCACAACCGGGCTTGTAGCTGCTGACAGTGAAACTGGCGAGATTGCTAATCTCCTTCAAGCCGACTGCGGAGGCATCGAAAGGTGCATCTTCTTCGTGACCCTCCTCTTCATCTTCTTCACCGTCTTCCTCTCCGTTCTCTTGGTCATCCTCTTCGATACCGTCGGGACCATCATCACCAAGCTCAGTACGCTCGGTATCCTCTTCGGTTGCTGTGTGGTCTTCATATATTGCAATAGAATCGTCAGCTACACTTCCTTCAAGGTAGATCGCAGATGACGCGATAGATGGCGAAGTATCACGATCAGAATCACGACCACGATACGAGGGGAACAAATTTGCATTCGCCCAGAGAAGGGTTCTGGCATTCTGGATAGGACGGGGTGGACGATTGGGCGGTGACGGATCTTCATCGGTATCATCGGTATCATCGGTATACCAATCGGATTCCGAATCATCTTGGAAAATGGTGTCTCTTCGATTGGCAGCCATGGTAGATAAATCAACCTAGCGGTCAGGGAAGAGAGGAAGGTAAAAGTGAATGGTGGAGTTAGGAGGAATGGGTGTAGGATGAGAATATGAGAAGCTCAAAAACAAACTGACCTTGCGGAGTAGGAAATAAGTCAGGTCTGCCGGCATTTATGTCTGCGAAAGGCTCGGCAGGTCCTTGAATTCCGGCTCGGACTGGGTCTCCGGCGCGGCCCTGTGGTGGTCGGGAGACACGATCTGGTCCCCCTAGTCGTCGATGAAATTCCTCTTGTTGCTGGCGAAGGCTGGCAAGGTTTCTAGCCGAGCCGCCAATGTTTCGGATATCGTTGGGCTCCATTGTGAGACAGGTCAAAGAAAGACGGATTATAGGAAACGCCTTCAATTGAAAAGGCTAGATTTCATGAATGAGCGTGAATGAGTGAAAGTGAGTTGATGTCGTCCACAAAGTTGAACGTTGTGAAATTGTATTATGAGGAATTATATAAAACGGAATGTGATATTCTCGTTTTCTGACTAGCGTCAAATTTGATGGGTTGTACGAGATACGTATATGCATCTAAGCGCATGGTTTTCATTTAGACGTCATATCAATCTGACGTTTTAATCGCCCTTAACTTTTCAAATTCTTCCACCAAAATCTCTTTCTACACTTCAATCAACACTCCTACGCCTCAACTCGTTCGGCCTCACACTTAACATTTTCCAGGATTTCCGTCTGTAGTGCAAATATAATAGCCTTTCAATTGATCATCCGGGCCTTTTTCAGCTAGATTCCACAGCTACTTGTTTAGTTTTGCTAAGATAGGAAGCTGTTTTATGTTTCTATTGGGGAATCAAGTATTTGTTCACGTTATTAATTGCCAAGTATTTACTTACCCACATACATACCACCTTTTTATATTTATTTACATGATGATTGATACAATGTCCTCTATACTGATGTAATACGGGCCGTGTCATTTTGGGACTCTCGGTATAGTTACGAGAAGGTGAATGTTCTCCTTCATGTTAGGTTAGTAGTGGTCTCACCAAATTGAAGTTCTTCCCCCCTATAGGTGCATCCTGGACCAATTTTATAGCTAACATTAAATGGAAAAGCAAAGTGTAGGTAGATATTAGGTTTCTGGCGTCCCGATTCGACCTGACATCTGCGAGAATGGACATGATTGGTCAGGTCTGCCGGCTAGTGGTCCCCCGATCTGGTACCACCGTTGCGTGGAATCTGGTGAGGGGCACTGCGGGCGGTGCGGAAGTACCTATAAGATCAGCGTCTAGAAGCTGTGTAACTTCTACCCGCAGCACATCTGCTGCATATTTCTCAAAACAATCAATGAGACAATACACTACCTACCGGTATACAACCTCTTCTAGCTCGACAATACCCGGACGAGTTGATTGCTTTTTTAAGTTATTGGATAAAAGTCACAGGACAGTTAAACCCTGTCGACGGTTTACTTCAACACCTGCCAATTTCGTCATCAGCTCGGCCAACCAAGCTCAAGATTCGCATCATCAATCTAAAGACAGACCCAGACAAACAGGACCCCACCTTGATTCATACCACAATACCACCGCACGTGTGTCTATTAGTAGCCGTGCTAATACCAAGAACAACATTAACACCCGACACCGCAACCGCTTCTTCAACCACTCTTTCAGCCGTCTCTTCTCTTCATCGTCCAGACTCTCTTGTTCGGCCATCATCCCTTCATCCATCATGGCAGACCGAGACGTTCTCCCCTCTACCGTCACCCCTTCTCATTATGACCTCAACATCTCCTCCCTGAACTTTAAAGACTGGTCGTACAATGGAAACGTGACCATCAATGTTTCTATTACTGAACCTGTCAAGGAGATTGTTATCAACTCTATTGAGCTCAAGTTACTTACTGCTAAGATCACGCCTGACTCCACCAAGCCTACACAATCCCAAGAGACCACTACGTTTAACTACGATGAGAAGAAGCAACGGGCCACCCTCGTCTTCGCTGACGAGGTACCGGCCTCGCAACTGGCTACTCTTCAGATTACTTTTCAGGGAATCATGAACAACGACATGGCTGGCTTCTACCGAAGCAAATATAAGCCTGTCGTCCCCGCAGCCGCTTCAGTACCTAGAGACGATACCTTCCACTACATGTTGAGCACTCAGTTCGAAGCCTGCGATGCCCGCCGAGCTTTCCCTTGTTTTGACGAGCCACGATTAAAGGCAACTTTCGACCTTCAGATCGAAATACCGGAGGATCAGGTTGCCTTGTCTAACATGCCTGCCAAGAGCTCTTCTAAGACTCGTGATGGTTTTGTATCGGTTGCCTTTGAACGAACCCCGGTCATGAGCACTTACCTTTTGGCCTGGGCGGTTGGAGACTTCGAGTACGTCGAAGCCTTTACCGAACGCAAGTACAATGGCAAGCAGATTCCCGTGCGTGTCTACACTACTCGTGGGCTGAAGGAGCAAGGTCGATTCGCTTTAGAACACGCGCCGAAGACCATTGACTTGTTTTCTGAGAGCTTCGGTATCGATTATCCTCTTCCAAAGTCTGACTTGCTCGCCGTCCACGAGTTTACGCATGGAGCAATGGAAAACTGGGGTCTCGTAACCTATCGTACGACAGCTGTCCTTTTCGACGAGAAGACCTCAGATGCTAGATACAAGAACCGTGTTGCATACGTCGTTGCCCACGAATTGGCTCATCAATGGTTTGGCAATCTTGTTACCATGGATTGGTGGGACGAGCTTTGGCTGAACGAATCTTTTGCCACTTGGGCAGGTTGGTACGCCGTCAACGAGTTCCATCCCGACTGGCAAGTTTGGGCCCAATTCGTGAACGAGGGAATGGAAATGGCCTTCAAGCTCGATGGAATGCGTGCGTCCCACCCTGTTCACGTCCCGGTCAAAGATGCTTTAGATGTAAACCAGATCTTTGACCATATCAGTTATCTCAAGGGATGCTCTACATTGCGAATGCTGGTCAGCCAACTCGGAGAGAAGACTTTCCTCCAGGGAGTTGGCGCATATTTAAGGAAGCACGCTTACGGCAATGCTAAGACCGAATATCTCTGGCAGGCACTAACCGAGGCCTCCGGAACCGACGTTAATGGCCTGATGGGCAACTGGATAGAGAAGATTGGACATCCGTTGTTGACCGTCGCTGAGGAGCCAGGTCAGATATCGATTAAGCAGAATCGATACCTCTCGACTGGTGATGTAAAGCCAGAAGAGGACGAGACCGTATGGTGGGTGCCGCTGTCGTTACAGGGCAAGGTCGGACAGCAGGATATCCAGAGATTTGCTCTTACTGAGAAGAGCACAACAATCCGTGACATCGATAACGACTTCTACAAGATCAACAGCAACGCCACCGGCTTCTACCGAACCAACTACCCCCCAGCACGTCTTGCGAAGCTTAGCACCCAACTCGATCGTCTAAGCAACGAAGACAAGATCTCTATCATTGGTTCCGCGGCGGACTTGGCATTTTCTGGTTATGGCACCACCCCTGCCCTTCTCTCTTTCATTAAGGGTTTTGGAGGTGAGACCAACCACCTTGTTTGGGCACAGGTCCTAGATTCCGTTGGACTAGTCAAGACCATCTTTGGAGACGATGACGAAATCAAGCGCGGCCTAGAGCAGTTTATTCTTAAGCTTGTCAGCAATGCTGTGGAGAAGATTGGATGGGAGTTCCCAGAAGGCGAGGACTATCTCACAGGCCTGCTACGTAAGCGACTTCTGCTTAGCGCTGCAGCAAACGGCCACCAGGGGTAAGTTATCTGTTTCCTAAAGAACCCCGCCATATTCATTAGCTAATCAATAATTCAGAGTAACCGAGAAGGCGAAGTCGTTGTTCGACTCCTGGGTTGAGAAGGGAACCCCTCTACATCCGAACCTAAGAACCGTAGTCTACCGTACCGCAGTCAAGACTGACCCGGCCAAGGCAGTGGAGGTCCTCAAGAAAGAATGGTACACCGGTGCATCCATCGACGGCAAGGAAGTCTGTCTAGCCTCATTAGGCCACGTCCGCGACCCCGAAATCATCTCCAAGAGCCTCCTTCCCTTCAACTGCGACCTGTCACCACCCGCGCCCCCATCGGAGTCCGTACCATCGGGCGACATGCATTCCCTCGGCAGCGCCCTATCAACGAACTCCGTCGCACGCCCCATCCAGTGGAAGTACATCCAGGACAACTGGGAGAAGCTGACGACCAAGATGGCCAACCCGGTCGTCCTGGACCGCTTCGTCAAGCTCACTCTGCAGAGGTTCACGGATGCTAAGTACATCGACGAGATCGATGCCTTCTTCAAGGACAAGGACACTAGCGCCTTCGACCGCACCCTCGAGCAGGTAAAGGATGCTATTCGTGGCCGCGCCGCTTACCGCGAAAGAGATGCTAAGGTCATCAAGGAGTGGCTAAGCGCGAACGGGTATCTCCAATAGAAGGAGATGCATGGATGGCGGAGAGTGAGCACATCCCACATACTCAGGATGACATGCATACTTAAGAATCCCACAGACAGTCCTGCGCCGTAGGGATTCGGCCGCGGTGTCGAGGTGTAGATAGCTTCGAGGCGGAAAAGCATTACAATAAATAAATCAAATATATTGTGAAACGAAATGTCTTTATATTCCCATCTTATTAGCTGGACTTCACATGTAGATTTGCCATCCATGGCATGCTGTCGCGCTATTCATCACGCATTCTCCTCGGTAAGACCCTCGTAACGTCCGCGTTATATATGCCATGGTAAAGACAAGCTCTATCCATGTACGCAGATGAATTACTCATACTAGAGTCTGTTGTTTTACCTACATTTTTGACTTATCTCAACATATGAGCGGTTACCGAAGGTTAGACACATAAGAACTACTTACCTACGCGACTCAGCAATTCAGGTTTAACCAAGCCCTTTGTTCGCCTCTTAAGCTACTCACTACTCTCTTTGGCTTTTAGTTCATACCAACCCCCTCCCACCCCATCTACACATTTAATAAGGATCAAATCGAAAGAGTCAAACGTAAGAAACGAAGCACGTCTCCTATCACGTCGTCATAGTGCACACGCCGGGAAAAAAAGAAGTGAGGAAAAAAAGGAGTATCATGGTCATCGTGTCATTAACCATTGACTCCAGCCAACTTTTTCGCGTGTCGTAAATGCTAGCAAGGCTTTTTGGTACAGACAAACACCTGGAATTCCCTTCCTACCAGCCGCAGACCCGTTGCGGAAATGCCGACGCCGGTTCGTTTCCACTGTACTCCATTCCCTCCTGAAATCAGAGGGCAAATACGATGCAGTAGACGTCCCACCAGTTCCCTTTTTACAAAATACATATGCACTTCCGTAAACTAGTGCCGTTCCGTCGAGTGTTCTCCCCTACAACCAGGTGGGTGGGGTCCGGATGTAGTTGAGAGCAAAGAAGATGATCGCCACGATTCTCTAGCCAGGAGCCGATCCCGAGAGATGCGACAGTAAGACCGCGGTGGATAAGTATGGGATTGAATCCTCTACGATTCCTCAGTTCGAGGCCTTCCGCCACGCTGACCGCCGCGACCGCGTCCGCGACCACGACCTCGTCCCTCACCATGTCCTCGGTAGCCGCCTCGGTGGAAGTCGCCTCGGCCGCGCCCTCGGTAGCCACCTTCACGGTCACCTCGTTGGGGTCGGTTGCGCAGGACTTGGTGGAATCCGTCGTTTGCGTCGGCTGGAGCACGTGCCTGAGTAGGAGTTAGCAATACTCTAACCTAAAAATTGACCCTTCCTAAAATGACAAGGAAGAGGACAATGATAATCTCCGGTTAACTAACCTGAGGAGGGTTCTCGGGCTGTTCGTCAGCCCAAGATTGGACGTTCCCGGCGGATGCGGGAGTCGCGGTTAGACCAGTATCGGTCTCGGTAGGGTCACGAGGGACTTTAACCCAGTCTTCCTGGGAAACGGAAGCGCTTAAATCGTTGCTCTGGTCCCATTGAGACTCAGCTGCAGCATTAGCAGCGTTGTCACCGACGTCATTGTTCGCGGGCACGTCCGAGCTGGCGGTCGACTTTTCGGTATGGCCGTTAGTCAACGGGGCGGTGGTGCCGTTACTGTCGATTTCAGTAAGGCCGGCATTGGCAACGGTCGGGTCGGTGCCATTGACCGCACCAGCCTCACCAACGGCTTCCGCCTGCTCGGCTGCGGCAGCTGCTTCGAGGGCAGCGATTTGGGCAGCATGGGCCTCAGCGGCAGCCTTGACCTGACCAACTGTGAAAGGATTAACTGGGGAAATAAAGGTATAATATATATCATCAAAACTCACAAGTCGTCTGAAGTTGGTCTCCAGAAACGCCGAACGTAGTCTCTTCCGATCCCTCAATAAGTTTGATCATAGTCGAAACTGCATTCTCATCACCAGAGTATACATTGAGAAGGACGCCCTCCAAAGCCATGTTCTCGTCGGAAGTAGGGTCGGCTTCCTCGGTTCGTCGAGCTGCAGCCAATCGAAGGAACTGCGACAAAACGAGGAGACTATCGTGCTTGATGTTCTTGGCGTCAGCCGCAGCTTGCTTCTTGACTTCATCAACCGCATCGGCTTTTTCCTTCTCAAACTTCTCGGAGAGAGATTTCTCTAAGCTAGCCTTCTCGACAGCGAAGCGGGATCGATAGTCCTCGTCAACTTTCTTGTACTGGGCTAGCTGCTCCTCCAGCTGAGCGAGCTGAGATTCAAGGTGGGGCTTCTTCAGGCGCTGGGCGCGCTGGTCGACATTGATGATCTTCTCCTCGACGAGCTGATCCAACGACTTGTCCTTGTGCTGATCGATCAAGGCATCCGTCTTGGAGGCGTTGGTCTAAAGGGGAAACATAGTTAGATACAAGCTACTGGAGGTTGTATAGAAGTAGATATAACGCATGCAAACTTACGATCTTCTTGTTAAGGTTGCGGATGTTCCTATTAATCAGGTAGATTAGCACGAAGAAGAGTAGGTAATCAGCTGGCGCTGGCGAGGTTAGACCTACTTCTGAAGCTCTCGAATATATGCGTTCTCAGAAGTGTCATCCTGACCATCTTGGCCGGCGACGGAAGCGGGTTTATCGGGGATAGACAAAGCGGACGGGGCAGGCGATTCGGTACGAATCGCCCTAGCCTTCTTCTTCTTCGCAGACTTAGACTCCGTCTGCACGGGAGGGTTTTGTACAGCAGAGGAAGGCATAGTAAAAAGGAATGAGGTGATCGTCCGTAGGAAAAAAAGGTTGTCGTTAGTGGGATTTGTGGAGGAGCTTGTTTGCTCGCCTTGGCGTATTTTTTACACTTTCAAGGTTCGTGATTAAAAACGGGCAACGGGCGTGAGTAAAAATAGTAGATGATGAAAATGCAAGCGCAGGTATGTCTTTTGTATGCAGGTTTCTAGGTTGCAGGTTGCGTTAGGTAACAGTAGGAGAATAGGTAGAAAGTCGTATAGACAAGGCGAAGTAGTGTCAATATGTAGGTTCAGGTAGGAAAGGCGAATTGAAGATGGTGAGAGCTGGAGAGGTCGTTGTTTGGTTGGTTGTAGATGGGTAGAAGTGGATGTTGTTTTTCTGCAAGTGTGAGTTTTTGGGTTTCGGGTCAAAAAGTTCAGATCGGTTTTTTTTCCTTTCGTCAGGGTTAAGGTTAGCCTTAGCTTCTTAGGCCCCAATGCGGCGCCCACAAACGGTCCCCAGGTAAGCCCCACACTAGCACGCGGCGCGCCCTAGCTTGCGGTAGCCTAGCACTTGTATGGAAGTGTTTGGTGCCTTGTACCCACTCGGCGAAACCTACAGAAACCCTAGGAATTGTGTACCTACCTATTTTCACAAATTATCTCATTAGATGTACTTAGGTACATGCAAGCACACGATATGAACTTCAACACTACCAGAGGCAATCTGCATTGGCTTCCTTTCATGATTTAGTTGTGTATATACAGCTGCCTCGGGTATTATCATAATTGATATGGTTCTTAGTGCTTCAAGCTCGAGGCAAGAATCGCGCCAGAGTTTGTCAATATACATACGAGAATGTTATACGTAAGGTTGAGTATGCATACAGCATCTTTACTACCAAAATTGACTGTTGCTATTCACCCCATTCTGTCTGTTTGAAAGCTAGGTTCCCTGTGATGCCCCTGGTATACTTGATCTACGTTGCCGTGAGACCGAATAAGTAGACAAGTTGATGACAGCAAGGCACCAAATATGTATTCGCACCACGGGCCCATATCCTTCATTAGTCAAATCGAAGAATATCGTGGATTACGTTAGTTATTCGTGGTTTCAACACATTTAGTATGTAGGCTTGTTGTGTTTCACCCCTTAAACTTGGCCAGAGTATCCTTTACCTAGATCAGTCAATAGTTCCAGCAAAGGGGTCATATATAGCAAACTAACCGCAGTAGCTTTCTTGACGCTCCTGGCACTAATACCCCTTTCTCCGGCTTGTTTTGCATCGATGGCTGCCTCCTTCATGAGTCTATTTAATGCCATTAGCACACGAAGAGAAAGATGATAAGAATAGTACGTATTCTTCGGGACTGAGACTAGAAGCCTTACGTTTGCATGAAGAGTACGTAGTCGAGGAACATCTGTAGTGCATATTAGCTAGAGCGCGTCACGCGACTGGTACAGAGCAGGCCAGCCCTACCATGACATCGACGTTTTTGCTAACGTTGCATTTTGAATGAGCCTTGACAATCTTCTTTACTGTTGCCCTCGGGTACATCTTCTGCCCAGGAGCCATCTTGAATGTCGAGTTCAAGCCTTGTCGGCTTGGGGGTAGAATTTTGGATGTTTTGTATTGATTCGGTACCTATTTTGAAGATGTTTAGATGGTTGTAATTTGGACCAATCGGCACTAGTGGGTAGCTGTCACCGTGCTCAGGTAAGACGGGAAGTACCGATAGCCCTGTATATGCAAAGGTACGTATTTTGGGAGCTTGGGCCATTCACCCCACCCTTAGTTGACTTGCAGCTTCCGTGGTGACGAAATGGGGCAGATCTAATTTGGGGGTCACATTGTCCACTTCAACTTCAACTCTTTCTCTGTTTTCACAATAACATTGACCTCGGGTACTTACATACATGAATCAGCAAGGCAGACCGCTACAATCAAATGTAGAAGTCGCACCCTGATCGACGAACCCAGATCTCATTTATCGTGGTAAAGGGCAAAGTCGAGGCTTCCTTCCCCGGTTAGCTATTACGTCACTCATCCTACACCTCGTCGTCCGACAAAGCCGAGATATAGATGAATTGCTAATCGATGTTTGTCGGAAAACATATAGCAGCTTTTCATTGGCTAGGTATTTGAAACATTCTGCACTTGGTAGAATTTCGAATGCAAGACATTTACAACATGAAACCGGTGTGCTATTAATATCTTCTTCATATGAATACGGCCATGACAACGGAGATTCATATTTTCATATTGTGAAATATCCATGAAAATACTGATATTTCGAAGGCCTCCTTCCTATTGCCCGCCTTTGCCTTCATCATGGTGCTTCGCTGTCGTTCCGCTCTTTGCGGTAACCCTCGGCGCAACAGGTACTATACTACATATATGAGACGAGTCAGCAACGTGGTTTTCGATTGCTAATGTAAACACACAAGTTGATCTACTCTAACTTCAAATGCGAAAATTATAGAGATGATACTAGGCTTACAACTCCATAACAAGGGGAAGTTTGGCACGAATAGCCTGAACATGTGATGCAGCCGGGAAAGCAACAATAGGCCTGGTATCGTCGTGCCTGAAGCCTGGCTAACAGAATCGGCTCGGAATTAATGAGATGAGCGAACAAGGCAACCGCCATGACAAGGAGGACGTAGAGTTTAGCTAGAGAATACATGAGGGCCTCTTTCTATGTAATACTGATTTTGTATTTAGGGTGATTTATCAGGTAAATGTAAGTATTTATTATTAAGCAATTCACTACGATTGATTCTCAAACAGTTTACAGATAAACTGAAAGACTTGAGACACTGGAGCGCTTAACCATTTTAAAGGAAGTACTCTTCTCTACCTACCTACATCAAACAATCTAGATAGGATATGAGCACGTTGGTTACATGATGAATAGGGGTTGATGCGAATGTCTGACACCATTTTGATTGAACTTGAGCATTGGTCCTATTCAATTCCAACTCCTCTCAGTCATCCAAATTCGCTCATCACGGAATTACGTGACTTTGTGATACCTAATCAAACAAGTGATTCAAGCTCACCTATGCTGCATCAGAACTTAAGCTAAACTGACGAGAAAAGTCGTTCAGCGAACTGTTTGCTCTTCCCTAGAAATAATTTATCCACCTGACACGAGCGAAATGGCAAGCCGGTGACATACTTGCAGATCTATGCTATGTTGTAGTATGTGAGTGCACGGGTCAGCCAACTAAGGGTTATATCAACATTACGAGGCTTCTCAAGTCTTTACTCTAAAGATGGTAGTGATCGAATGGCGAGAATTCGACTGCTGGGAAGAATAGTCTAACCTAAGGACCTGTACGATTCGGTATCGTACTTGGTAGACGATTCTAAAGAACCGGAAGCTACCTAGGTTGAAGCAATCAGATTATATGAGAATTATGAGGTCTAGAGGGCGACCATCACTAATTGTTATTCCCTGGCTGCCATGCCAATGAAAGTTCACTATCGCCTCCTTGAGCAGAGACTTCCACATGCCTAGGTGTTAAGAGGTCTGGCGAGATCAAAGTGTAGCCCATTGAAGACCTGTTGATAACTAGCCTCGGAGCAGAGGAGACAAAGACCTAATCATGAAGAGCAGCTTCAAGGACTAAACCGCTATTATTAGCTCATGTTTCCTGGGCCATGTTTGATGGAGAAGTCGCCTTTCGATGAGGCATACCAAGGTGTAAAACCAGATAGACAGTTCACACTAGCAAGGTTACTTTACCCTCCATTTATATTAAATTAAAGCTAGATCTCAGAAAGTATAATTAACTCCTCAGGTAAAGGTACAACAATGTCTGTATTGCCTTCGACTTAGACCCAATTCTGTTCTTGGGCAGCTTGAGACATGTGATATAACTTACTTTACTACATAAACAAAGATTGTAGATGTAGATAGAATACTATGTCGACTTCAGAAGAGAAAGAGCGTTCTGACTTATATACTAAGTACCTCAAGGAGAGGCAGCCCCTAATCCCAGCATATACCTATGTTCCCCCCTTTCCCACGCAATTACTTTACAGTCCAAAGCACAGTGTCATACGGTATCCTTTCACTCACCTAACTTTCTTTCACTTATATCTAAACCACCGCCTCATCTACATTATCACCACCCGAAGCCTCTAACACTTCCACGAAAGAGGATGAACCAACCAGTACCGACACCGCGACAATTCCTAACATCCCTCATAAACAGCCTCACCTCAATCCCCATCCCCCCTACCACCACACCCTCCACCACCGCGATCCCAAGCGCAGGAGCATCAAACCCACTCAAGCTCATCCCACCCGCCCACCGACCTCTCCTCACAACCCTCTACACACTGTATCCCCTAACCCTCCTCCCAGCGCTAGACCTGCTAGACCGCCGCCTCGCCACACGCGTCATCGTCAGCGCCTCCCCGCACCAACCCGAGACGGGAGCGGGAAAAGACCCAGCACAACCACCATCGTCTTCACCATCACCGCCGGGCTCCGATAAAGAAACGCCGCCGCCGCCGACATTCTACATCGTCCGCTCCGCACAGCCGCAGCACCCGCGCCGCGGCGAATCTTCCACCTCCACCTCTTCATCAGCAGGTCTATCCTACGTCGTGCGCCTCAGCGCCTGGAACTGTACATGCGCGGCCTTCGCCTTCGCCGCCTTCCCGCGCGAGGAGCGGGGCCCTTATCCGCATCCGCATCCGCATCCGCATTCCTATCTCGCCTCCCCCTCCCCATCTTCTCTTTCTCCTTCTCCTTATCCTAGCTCCGGGCCGACGGGGGACGGCGGATGGGAGTTCGGGGCCCTGAGCGCGGACGGTGTGGAAGGAAGCGGGATTGCCGGGGTTCCTTGCTGCAAGCACTTGCTCGCGTGCGTGCTGGCCGAGAGGTGGGGTGCTTTGCTGGGCGGGTATGTGGATGAGAGGGTTGTGGGGAGGGAGGAGGGCGCGGGTTTGGTTGCTGATATCTGAGGAAGGGGTGGGAGGTGAGAGATGAGGTGTATGGCACGATATAATTATGAGTAACGATCTCACAAAGTGATGAGTTTTTACGTATAATAATATGACGGACAAAAGGAATAAGACACCTTAATCATAGCAAAATGAATCATCGTTCATCAGGCGATCATGAGTCTGATCAAACGTCTATAGATAGCATGCATGCATGAGGCGAACTCTGGCCTCGGAATGGACCTTTCCTCCCCAGTCTGGATAATGTACAATGGCCGAAGTGATTTATTATCCCGCGTATTCGTGATAGACTTCACTATTTCTTCTTTTCCTTTTCGCTACTCTTCTCTGCCGGCTCACCATTGACACCGTTGACGCTGCCCTCCTTCTTCTCCTTGTCTTCCTTACCCGTCGTCGCGGCAGCCTCTTCCTTCGCCTCCTTCTCTTCCTGTTGTTGCCGGTTCTGGATCTTGTTCTCGATGAGGTCGTGGAAGGCTGTGATGGCACGGATTAAGCTGCTAAGGTAGATGGCGAGGAGCTGGTCATTCGTCTTGACGCTCATCGCGTATGATAGTTCGCCTACGTTACCACCCTTTCCATCGGCGCTGGGTTTGGGTGTGGAGAGGTTGGGTAGAAGGTTGAAGATATCTTGGAGGTTGCCTAGGACCGCATGGTTTACTGGTAACTTGCCATCTTGGACTTTCTGGAGATAAGTCTGGATCTCGCGTAACCGGAGGTGTAGTCCTTGTAGTGACTGAAGCTGATTTGTGATACGGGTAGATAGAGTACCAATGGCTACGTCGCGGATATCTCGAAGTAAGTGCTCAACGCCAATTTCCTCCGCTTCTTCAGCTTCGATGGTGGATGGGGTGTGTACGAAGGTCTTGGATGTGGTTGTGCCGTCCTATACGTCATTCATATTAGTTTGTGGACCTTCCGCAGCTCTACTATGGAGCGACATACATCCTTGATCTCCTCCACTGCGAAGTATGCATCTGTTGGGACACCAGACTCTTTCGGTTGGACGTCAATGATGACTAGTAGAGGGTTGGGAGTGTATCGCTTGAATAGCTCATTGATCTCGAGATCGGATGCGCGTAGCTTGGGTCCGGAGTGGTACCAGCCTATTAACTTCTCTCGCGCGTTGACCTTCTTGAACATATCGTTCATGTTCTCAACGTAGTTATGATCTAAGAACCAGACTGACGGGTCGTCATTATCCTCCTCGAACGGAACTACAGAGAACAAATCCAGGTTAGTAATACTGATCCGGACTGTATAGACAACTTGAGGAAATGCGACCAACCTGCAAAGCTGTTTGATACTCGCACATTCTTCCCATCATTCTGACCCAGCAATACACCGACCACGCGCTTCCTGGTGCCTTTTGCTACTCGGTTGTAGTGGTCGACGACGGAGAGAAGAACTAATGGGGCGACGGTGACATTTTTATTCACGAAGGAGAGTGTCTCGGCTGTCGTAGTAGGCATCGTGAAGAGTAGAAATGTAGAAATGTGAAGAATTGAGTGATGCGATGGAAAGGAAGAAGCTTGCTACGAAACAGAACCGAGCTTGATGAAAGTTTACAAACAAGGTACGAGGTGAGAAGGCTGTCGTATGTGAGGCTGCCTTCCGCTCGAAACCCCGGTCAAGCTTAATTCTTGATTAGGGTTAGCGCTGAGCGGTTGAAGTACCTAAGTACCATGCACAGACCACCCAACTGGTGAGGCTGATTACTAATAATTCCTACCTAAGCCCGACTTCTCTACTAGATGTGGCTTGACTTGTGGCTGATATTGTATGTCCATTTTTATATCCATTTCTTGAAGATCCTCGCTTTTTCTGAAACCCCAACAAAAGGTCACACGGGTCGAGGATGGAATTGTCGGATCGTTGAACTATCCCAGCTGACTGAGGCATATTACATATATGCCATATACTAGCAGTCTTAGCATGTAGCTAGGAAAGGACGCCTTCCGCCCTATCGCCCCTATCCGCTGGGCCGAGTGAAAAGTCATAAGCTGATCTTGACTATATCTTGACTATCACTTGTTTGCTATATTTATAGGTATATACCTACGTGTCTTTTAAAGGATAGATCACTTCATGCTTATGGCGAGTAAGAGCCGCTAGAAACTAATATTATGATGTATAGAAGACTCTATATCTATAACATTGGATAATATTACACTCAGTTTACTAAGCAATGTTTCGATAAGTTGCTCAAAGTTACAACTTGATGCCGTTTCTATATCGTCTAACTCAGCGGTCTAACGGAAATAATCGCAATGTGTCCTCGAGTTCGTAGAAATATAGCCGAGTGCTAAAAGCGATACTTAGCCCGAATAAGTAAAGCGACACAACGTGGAGGAATACTGAAGCTGCCTCGGCGTCTGTAGCTCAAGGGGATTGCGGAATTACAGGCATTACTGGCAGGAGCTCCAGGTTGTTCGAGTGTCACGCCGCTAAAAAGCATGGGGGTATTTCCCCACTATCTTACCGCTGTACCTAGGCTATCAGCCACTGGGGAGCCCCAATTGTCTCCAATGGGCAATTGCTCAACCTTAGCTCTAGCACTTTAGTAGAAGAAGCAGTGAGGAAGTCGCAAAACCAACTTGGCAACCTATTCCCTGCTATTTGCCAAAAAATGGTTTCGAGCTAGGTACATGCCAACTAAGGTAGCTTACACAGGTCAGACAGGTACACATCCGGTACATTTTTTTCGAAAAAAGAATTCCCCGATCCCCGACCTCGCAGACAACCGCTGAACCTCGGACTTTCCAGCCTTTTTCAACATTTTGCAACTTACTACGCTCTTCCAACTCTTCCACCGACCTACTCCGTCACCTTCGCCTTGTCCTTCCCTTACTGTTATATCTCTCATTTTCTTAAGACTTACCCTGTCGCCTCTCTTTCCCGCCTTGGTCAGGCTTAATTGATTCCTTCCGAGCTCTTCAAAATGGGTGTAATCGACGATGAGATGAAGCGATTGCAGGACGTCGTGTCCGGATTGGAGGAGCGTGTAAGGCGCTTGGAACAGCGACAGGCTGGCGGTATATCTACTGAGAGCGTGCGCATGATTCTCATGGGTCCTCCTGGAGCTGGTATGTTCACGTTCCCGATATTACCGGGAAAATCGCTGGACTGGGATGTTTAAGCCTCAATTGGTCTTAATTGAGAGTTGCGCTGACCGAACTTTCGCGGTTTTTAGGAAAGGGAACGCAAGCGCCAAAGATAAAAGAAAAATTCGCCTGCTGCCATCTTGTGAGCTAGTCAATATTAAAGCGGTAGCTGTCGTGGATGCGGAACTAAATTGCTAACTGTTATGGCAAGGCCACTGGTGATATGCTCCGATCCCAAGTTGCCAAGAAGACCCCTCTTGGACGAGAAGCCAAGAAGATCATGGACGCTGGTGGTTTGGTCAGCGACGAGATCGTCATTGGCATGATCAAGGAGGAACTCGAGAACAACAAGGAATGCAAGGGCGGGTACGTTTTTATACCGCCCCGTTGATGTGCCAGTGCACGCGCATCCATGTGCCTGATAGCCTACGATCAGCACTACGCACTATTTTCGAGCTTTGGGTGTAACTAACCATGTTTCAGCTTCATCCTTGATGGTTTCCCTCGTACCGTCGCTCAAGCTGAGTCGCTCGACAAGATGCTGTCGGATAAGAACCAGAAGCTACAGCATGCTGTCGAGTTACAAATTGACGACGCTCTTCTGGTTGCGCGTATCACCGGTCGCTTAATTCACCCTGCCTCCGGCCGAAGCTACCACAGCACATTTAACCCCCCTAAAGTCCCCATGAAGGACGACATTACTGGCGAGCCTCTGATCCAGCGATCCGATGACAATGCCGAAGCACTGAAGAAGCGCCTGGTTACCTACCACAACCAGACTACTCCGGTCGTCGGATACTATAAGAACACCGGCATCTGGAAAGGTATCGATGCTAGCCAAGAACCTGGCCAGGTCTGGAATAGTTTATTGAGGATCTTCGACGACAAGAAGCCTAAGAGCGGTGGTATTCTCAGCAAATTAACTGGCCAATAAACCAGCGGTTTATCACATTTGCCCACAATCCTTGACATGGCTTCCCGAAGCCAATATCTAGGAGATGGTTTGTCGACATAGATATGGAAACGGAAACGTGAAAGGCGTCATGCGATTGTATGGAAGGTGTTATTTGAATGCAACGCAGCAACAACAGGTATTTGGAGAGTCAGTACCTAGGGAATGACGACGAGGCGAAAAGGACATGCATGGGATTGACGAGGCTTGTATCATAGGACTTGCATGTACCATGACATTAAATAAACCTTGAAAAAAAGACATTTTAAATCTTATACCTACCTTACCACCAACCTGTTAGAATCAGAGCTGACTTTGAACAGACAAGATATCTCCTAAGGATGGGCAAGTAGAATTACTTCACCTAGATAAAAACTCGCAACTGATTAGAAGAGGAAAAGAGTTATGGCACTTGAGCTATCGACTGCTTTTAAATGGTCTCTTATGATTGGTCCCTGGGTGCTATAAGCGGTCGATCTTCAACTCCGGATATTTCCAACCACTCACGATTCAAGGAACACGAATACGAAATCTATAAGCAGATTATGTTTACAGCATCTTTATATCTACATGTCAATCCAGGGGTGTAATATCTACCTACTGTGTCAGTATAAACTCGGATTGCCTACGCAGACATCTTCGCCCCGCTTGCCGAAGTCTCATTTGCCGGGACTCCGTACGCCCATCACCCGGTCATTGGTATCGTGAACGGTGTGCAATATCGAGGATTTATCCCTTTTCTCCCTTTTCAGTCTATCTCGAAGCAAGAACTTAACACCTCCTCAAGCCGACCAAATCATTACTCCCTAGGCGTACGTCCTCCTTCAGCCCCCTTATCCTCAGAACCTCTCCCTAAAGGAAAGGCAAAGAGATTGCTAATTCCAGGCCTTGGAAGAGACGGGTGCCGATTCCACGGGCGGAAGTTAGGGCTCGCCCGACATAGAAAAAAGGTGGCAACTTTAGAGGTTGAAGCTTTTGCGTACCTGTTTAGATTAGAAGATTACATGCCCATCAATAATGGATCGTTACCGTTTTGTTGGCGGGTAAGTTTGTTGCTTAGTAGCTAGATTATAGCAGAGACAAAAAGGAGACCGTCCATTCCATATCTCAGATCTGGAAATCCTCTCTTGACTGAACTAAAGCTGGGATTCAAAGCTGAACCGACGTCCCCAGCATTACAAACCTCTCATATAAAGCAAATCAGATTGGCTAGTGTAATACGCAGATTTCATGAACTCGGATGTCATGGCAATCGCAAATAAACATCTCGCGATATCTGTGCAGATACTGAATATGCACATAATTCATCTACGCTTTGCTATCCCCACATCTCACTCACACCACAAGCGAAATAAAACAATAGGAGTAATAATAGTAATTTTCCGTTACGATCGGTAACCTCACTACCTAGTGTAGCAAGTATGTAACCTCCCTAGTCAAACAAACCTTCCCCCAACTCCGCCAGTCATCCCCGTCGTAAGCTGAAGGTATACAAGGAAAAAAAAGGGAAAACGTCAACGCAGCGCGATGCGAGAGGGTAAAGGGGTAATAGGTAGAAAGGTCTGAGAAAATCCAACGCCTCATTCCATGTCATTTCATCACCGATTCCCGTCCTCCCCCCTTTCCCTCCCTCCTTGCCTCCCTCCTTTCCTTTCCTAAAAAAAGGGGGAAAGGTAATCGAAAAAACGAGCGATAAAAGAAAAAGAAGAATGAAAACGCCGATGGAAATGCAATCGTTCTGGGTATGGTATCTGAACGCCTGAGCCCCTTTCCTCGGCGCCGAAGCATAAAAGGGCCTTTTGCGAATATTCATCTCACCCATTCCATTAGGTAGTCCATCAGATATTAGGTTGTCGAATCCTACCTCTCTTTAGAAGTTGGTAGAACCAGACGAGCAACAAGTAAAGTAAACGGGATATTAAGTCCCATCACGCAGACCGTCCCTTCCGGCCCCCAGGCGCACTAAGATCCCTCCTCTCGCCCGCCCCCTTGACCATCTGCTTCTTGGGCGTGGCGAGCCCCTGCGCCGCGCTCCTGGCCCGGCCGCGCCTCTCCTTGATCATCGCCAGCGCCTGCTCGCGCGTCATCGTCGGCGTCAGCGCCGGGTTGTTCACGTCGAAGGACGGCGGCTCGCTGCTGCTGCTGCGGTAGCTGTTGGTGCTGTGGCTGCCGCGGTAGTTGTCCTCGCGCACGGGGACCGTCGTCGTCTTCGTCACCGTGAAGAACGCGGCCGAGGTGTGCGGCCGGATGGCGTCGTGTTCCGCCGCCGTCATCTGCGCTTGAGCGTCTGCCTCTGTCTCTGCCTCTGCCTCTGCCTCGGGCTCCGGGTCCGAGCGTGTAGCCTCTTCCTCGTCTTGTTCGAGGTCGGCGTGGCGTGCGATGGGAATAGTCGGGATTTTCATGGGCATGCATTGGGAGTCGCCTTCATGAGGCGCGTTGAGGAGGGAGAGGAGGGAAGTGCGCTCCTGCGCTAACAGGGCGAATGTCGGGGGCTCGACAGAGGGAGTCCGGCAATAGCGAGGGGGATCCGGTTGAGAGTCTACGGGCGTAGGCGGCTCAGGTATAGACTCGACGGTTTTTCCCATCGCCTCGAGCTCTTGTTGCGAGACAGTCCTGAAAATGCCCTCCGATGGCACAAATATCGTGCTCCGTCTAGGTCCCTTCGGTAGCTTGATCTCAGGTTCCTCCCGCGGCGTGGTGCTTTCCTCAGGAGGTTCTATTATTTCTGGCTGAGAGGGCTCTGATTGACGCTCTTGCTCCTGGTCTGGGTGCTCGGCTTGTGTAGGAGTACGCTGCTCTGAAGAACCGGCCTCCTGGCCTAAGATCATAAGATCGGCTGGGTCCATAACCGCGATCGACTTAGGCCGTTCTTGACGGATCGATGATCGGGCGCTTCTCCGCGGGCGAGGGGTCTTGGAGCAGGAGCAGCATCGTAGCTCGCACTCGGCCTTCACGAATTCGAGATGCTCTTGAGCACGGTCGGCTCTCTGCTTCTCCCATTGCCATAAGCGGGTCAGCTCTTCTATTTCAGCCTCGCTCGCGGCGGAGGAGAGGATGTCGACGGCCGACAAAGAAACTCTTTCCTTCTTAGGAGAGGCGAACTCGCTATCCGGGTCCTCGGGGGGTAGTGGTAGGCGGCCCTCTGCGGCGATTCTGGCAATCTCCTCGCTCTTGGCAGCGGCCTTGTATGCGTCACGTTCTTGCTCGACGAACGCGATGCGCTCGAGAGCCTTCTCTAACTGCTCTTGCATGTTGGCAAGTTGGTAGCGCGATTGGAATGCTTCCTGTTCTCTAGCTTTGCTAAGTTCCTTCTCTCTTGCTAAGGACTCCTCTATGGACTTAGAAGCGGCTTTGACGACTTTTAGCTCCTCTTGTAACTTTACGATGGCCGACTGCGTCTTGAATAATTCTTTACGCGCTTGGCGTACTTCTTTCTCCCATATGGCCTTGCTGTGTTGTAATGTTTCTTTCGCTTGGCCGTATTTCTCCTTCAAAGACATTGTTAGTAAACCGGACTCATATTAGTCAACATCCTAGTTATATTGTACTCACCATGACATCTTCAAGTCTTTCGCCCACTTTACGCTCTCTGGCACGGCTTTCCTCTATCTGCTTGCGTAGTGATCGAGCCTCGTCCCGATAGCGCCGCATCTCGGCTTCTGCTTCTTCACGGCCTAGCATAGCCCGTTTTAGAGCCGCGTCAGCAGTCTTCCGCTCGAGCTGTCTGGACATAGATGCCGCGCCCGCGGGGCCGTTATGCGTCATGTTGTTGAATTGACGGATCTTGTCATGCACGTCGCTGTCACGTTGGTGGTCGGATCGCGCAGAAGCGACCGAGGCAGGATCGCGCTGCTGGTTGGCTCGGTCGGAGGATATTGGTTGAAGTGGCGTAGCGCTACCTGGTGGTGAGCCTGGTAGGCCAGACGAGTGGTCGCCGTCAATCATTTGTTTTCTGCCTTGCAATTGAGAAAGTGTAGCTTGGATTGTATACGGGCAGGAGTGTGACTAATATTATAACTGTCAGCAATATGAAGCCTGTGCAACTTCCAGCATTCAATTGTGAAGTGTCTCAAAAGTTCTTGAGGTTATTGTATGGTAATGCGGCAAATTATGGATAGTGGAGGCGATAGAAGTAACTTTAGAAATTCGATGATAGGCGGGTTAGTGTGTTTATCTTGACATAAGCACCGTTGCCAGGTCAATGTCATGGCCGACCACGTGATTCTTTTTTCAGTTGGCGTACCCGCTAAATATTTCCGTTCCACAGCCGTTGTCACCTGCACCTGCCGGTTGCAAAGAATAATCTTGCGATTACGTAAAGATGCTATTTTCTTTTCATTTACAGAATACAGCAGATAAGTAGGTAATTATTCACGACTCGGAGCTGGGCGAACTTAATCCATTTGGTATCAGCTTTTCATTGCTGACTCTATTTACTCACTTAATTCAAGTCGATTCACTGGTTCCTTTTAGTCGACTACCAAATATGAGACCTACTGATGATAAAATAGCATAGCACAATGGGAAACAAACGTAACAGAATCGAAATCTAGTTTCTTCTCATACAGGTCATTAATTACGCGCGACTCGGCCTAATCAACTTTGCCAGCGTCCCTTTCCATTCCGTACGTATACACTCTCGTCTTCCTCCCTACGAAATTTATCAACAGTTTGACTGTGTCAAAGGTTATGATCGGAAGTTAACCGGATGATCGAATCGAATTTTCACCTCCTCGAGTAGATATGCTCACGGAACGTAAAACTCCTTTTCCTTGCGCCAGGATGCGAAGCGAAAGTGAATGCCTAGAGACTAGGCCCATATGCCCTCATGATACACCCCCATCAAGTTGCCCGACACACAATACCCAGCCCGGATTCCGAAATTTCTGGTTAAAAGGCCAATGAAAGAAAAATGCAGCGTGGTATCAAAAAGAAAGAAAGGAAATATGTGTTGAGAGTTGTCTTTTCATCTCCTTATGCGTCCCCCATTTGGCAGTTGGCCTATTGGGTTGCGTTGTTGCTTGCTTCCTTGGCTTGCACTTTTCTGGCTTTTAAGAAGTCCCCAACCCAGTTGAGTGCTTCGGTGGTGACCACGAGACCGGTCGAGACGAGCGCCTTGCCGGATGTTACCAAGCCTTCACCGCCAACTTTCTTATATTCGGAGCTGTAAACGTCGAAGACATGGTCCTTGGTTTCGTAACCCTTGCGGACGGGAAAGAGGAAGAAGTTCTTGCCATCAGTCCACAATTCGTGAGTCGGTTTCTTGAGGGCGGGTAGGCGTGCATCGATCTTGGACAGGGTATCGTCACCAATGACATCGGCCTTCTTAATGTAGGGCGAGACATATTGGTAAGGCTTCGAGAGGTAAGGGATGACGGGCTTAGCAAAGGTCTTGTAGGCCGAGTCGCTCAGCTCTATCGACTTCTGGCCGTAAGGGTTCCCTTTGAAGTAGGCGATTCCATCGCTAATGACAGGGTATCCTGTGATATGCTATAAAATTGCGATGTTAGCCGGCTCGGCATATCGGGGATCTAAAGTTACAAGGTATAGATAGAAATATCGCAGACTTACCGACAGAGTCGCGGATGAGGGGTGGACTTCGCCGTTTACTTGGGTAGCCATCGCAAGAGTTAAGCAAGGATTAAGTTGTTGATACTTAGATATCAAGAAAGGATGGAATATGAACGGAGGAAACTCAAGAAAGCGCTGTAATGTAGTTGAGTTGTTGGGTACTGATGATGGCTCGGGAATAATAGAAGAGGGGTGAACGAGGAAGCTTGATCAATGCTTTGCTTATTCGTTACAGGATTGGATAGGTAGGGATAGGATGGATGGAATTAGAATGTGAGAGAGATAAAGGGAAATCGTCGGGCTGCTAGGTTGGTTAAGGTTAACAGGTCAGCACTTATTAACTTTAAATACAGGTCTGTTAAAGGCAAAAATGCGGAATGGAAATGTGAAAGAAGGCACGAGGCACAACGACTGCTGCAGGTGAAACCGTCTTCTTATAAAATAACAAATAAGCGGTACAACGCCGTAGTCAGTACATAGCAAGAAGTCAGAAGTCAACCTTGATGAGATTGCGCCAACATTCTTTTTGACATGTGCTTTTGCCTTTCTAGCCCACCTAGCCACCTAGCCCACCTTGCCCACCTTACTGTAGTACCTTCCCTTCCTCTTCCCTTCACACCCGGACTCGATTAGAACAGGTCCTTGGCTTCTTGCTAATCCTATTATGTGCCTGGCGCCATCCTGCGCACGCTGCGCATACAGATCGCGAGGTGCATTAGAGGGGTCGCATTACATCTTCGTCCTGGTCGCAAAAATGACCACCATTCTTCTGGCCCTTATTGACGCATTCCGCGTCCTTCAGTTTGGCCAATGAAGTCACTGAACCCGAGAGCTCCTGATGCGCTGCCCATGCTATAGTGGATCCTCTCTCGCTATCAAGACCTATAAGCCCCACAACAGCTTCGGGTAGCGGTACCTTGATGCCTGCAGTAGATCTACGGGTCGGGTACCTTGGCCCTTTGTACAGTTACACATCGGAGGGGTGATAGCATGTGTCGGCAGGCAGATAGGTACCTACCGAGACAATCACCTACGGACAACATAGAACACCACATACCTTCTCCAGGAACCTATAGCATGTGCCACAACATGTGCCTTGCTGGTATGTGGGATCAGTGTATTGTATTGTGTTATATTACACAGCAGCTAATTGTTTCTTATGTATCACCTGAAGCCTCTAAGATCCCGGTGGGCTATACGAGGGTTGATGGGAGCATTTTTAACCTTGAAGCGCCGAAGTGTCGAAGCGTTTGATCACGTACCATGTACAATGCACATGTACATTTATAGTACGCGTCAAGGCCCATCCATGGATGCTTATTCTTTCTTTTTCTCAGCCTACCAGCGTAGCTGCTGCGCAGTAGAGGCTAGCACCTACCTTCTACACTATCTCTACCCTGGTCTCTGGCATGTGAAAATTCAAATGTCGCGAACCCGCAAACCACGACGAGCACAACGTTCCGTCGCTTCCTGCGTCCTCCGGAAGAAAGAGGCAAGAAGCATTCACTAATGCACTAGAAATTCGGGGCTAGATAGGTAGGTAACCATCAAATCGTTTTTCCTTACCTCTCGTAAATCGCAATCACGATCTTTGATCCTACCTTAGGTATCTACCCGCCTTCGGCTCGCCTATCTAATTGCACTACACCATCCCCTATCCCCTAGCTGCTCGTCCTTTGATCGACAACTCTGGCTCCTTATTCTTGCCCCCCCTTGCACGTCCCGGGTTCTGGAAATACTTATCAGCATGATGTTTCCAGTATTGCACCCTTTGATTTGATGGTTTGCTTGACTTATTATGCTCCTCAGGCTCGAAGTCGGGTTCGAAGGCCACGAAATTCATTCAAGCACAGAGATGGACACGAGCTCAGCTGCATACAGTAAAGCCAAGACTATTCGGATGTTTTTGCATCATGCTATCGTCATACGCGCTTGCCCAACCCTGGCTTTATCTACCAATCTACGAAAGGAAGAGAGACAGCTACGGATCACTCGGCCAATTTAATGACATTCTCCTACTAAGTGAAGCCGCCTACATATCCATCTGCCTATGAAGACGTGTATGTATGTTAGAATACAGGTCAAACCTGCATTCAACACCGCCTTATTTTTGTGTTCGAGACTACGCCTACGATTCGGCAATTGGAAATGATGCACGTCGTCGTCACTTTGACTGGACCGGCAAATCCGTTCACCTTGAATGACCCAACCTGAACCTGTTTCCGGTCTACGGATCGCGAGTTGCACGTGTATTTAAATACCAGCCTGCAGGACCTGCTCTCTTAGGTAATATGCTCGGAGGATCCAGCTTGGGTACGCCAGATGGAGCCTTGGGCTGGGTTCCCGGAGGCATTCGTCTTTTCTAAAGCATTCAAGTAATTTCTTAAATGACTATCAGATTCAAAAGCATCTAACGCGCCGGGCAAAGCGCAGAGTTTTCACCTACTAACTTTCACGTTTGTTTCTAATATCTAATAACCTCGGTCTAAGATGATGGATGAATTCTCATCAGTACACTTGCCACCTGACGTCTAAACTCCTAGGTCCGAGGACCTTACTTGCGAATATCACGACACGATGGGGCCATATTTACTAACTCACAGGGGCCGTCGGGCGAACAAGGAACCCTTAGATACCGGTGAAACATCGAGGTTTATCACGATTCCGAAACCCATGTGCATATATCATGTACCTACCGATGTCGATCCCATGTCCCTTTCACGGACGAGACGGCAGACGGGATATTCAATCATAGGACGATACATAGGATTAGCCCCACCTCATTACACAGCATCCTACGGTCCATACCGCCTTTCACATGTCAAAACCCAGCGAAGTAGGGCTACGTCCACTACGGATCTAAATATTTCACGATCCAGAAAACTTTTAAATTGAATCCATTTTCGTCTCCTTGCCACATTCAGCAAACCTACCTATGCCAAGAGCATGCGGCGATTTCATACCCATGCTGCTGGAACAATCCAAAGAAAAAAAGAATTATGAGCCTAGGCAATTCAGAGCAAGGTCCACATCTATCTATTTTTATTCCACGGTGTATGAATCGCGAACATCGCTAACTCGCCTTCATTTGGAAGAAAAGAGATGCTAAATATTAGCAACATTATCATCAGAGTTGCGCAATTACCCAGGCATCGAGTTTACCGACACACGCTATCTAGCAAACAGTCATCCGTAAATCAGGACTTAACTAATATAGTAAAGCTAGGGATGGCAACTAGGATCAAAGCTCCATGAGTTAGACGACAAGGCCTAGAGTTTGAGGTGTATATATATACCTATACCAGCTCCGAATACCTTCTGTTTTCAGCCGAATTGTCGATATGCAGTTCCTTGCCCCCCGCTCGATTGAAAGCGAAGCAGAATCAATTTCCATCCTCAGCAGCTGAAATAAGGAGACTAAAAGGTTGACAGAAGCTGTGCAATCACAAGGACCTTCAGCTTTTGCTCCAGCACAGCAGAGCGGCGGCATAATCCGATCGTTATCAGAGATGCTGCGTCCTAAAGACATACTTTAGCGCGATCCATACCGTCGGTAAATGTTTACAAACAGGTACTATTGCCAATGAGCTAAGTTTTCATAAATCCACAGCACCTGAATAAATGAGAACATCTAGCAGGGATCCCGGAATTTGATTGGCAGTCACGTCCACCGACCTTCAGTCGGTGTTAAAAATCTCCTGTCGGAATATTTATGTAGGCAAGTTTTTCCAAAAGATAGAATTCTCTTGGGAGTATTCTAGGTTTCACGGCGTCAACTCGACATTATTCCGAGATGGTTGTTCAGTCGCCCTACCTATATTGAGCCTGGCTAGCTGTGTCCGTTGGCGTTCAAAGTAAGACAGCATCGTCTAAATGCAAGATCCAGTTGAGCAATTTAAAGACCGTTGGTGCCACTCTTTTCAATGCAAAAGCATTGATATCTAGGGCTGCCGCTAGCTTAAATCACCCCTCGCTATGAGTGAAGGGGGCAGCAATTCGCTCCTGAAAAGAGAGTCTATGTCGACACCCGTGAGTACCTGTAGACGAGCATCACCCCGTCGTTAAGCTCATGGTAGCAAATAGGTTATGTCCCCTGTCTTCGACCCCGCGATGATAGCATTAACAGCGAGCTCAAGTTGCACGACATGAGACTATCGTGACCCTTCACGCTTTGACTCGTTCGCATCAACGTGTAGTACGTATGCCCAAGAGCACATTTATATCTGCCGTCGTATTTCCATGCGCCACCTTACCTCCCTTCGGTCGAATCTGCAGACGGCGGTGTCGAAAATCAGCGAATCCAGACGCTTGCTGTATTTCATCAGTAGGCTCGATTACATATATCGGTCAACATATTTAGCTCTTGATGGTACGCACCAAAAGCTCTTATGTAAACCTAACAATCCTATGTATATTCATGATCCGTCATCTTCATCGTGAAAATGTAGTCTCTGGCGATCATCTCAAGGTCACTGCCATGTAAGTATCTTCGCTATTTTCAACAATACTCCCATCCAATAAGCCATGAAAATCAGGGAAATGTCACCGTTGCATTCGACTATCTATGAGGCAAGCGCGTCGAATGATAAGCACAGCAGTGGGCATCTCACAGGATCTACTATTGCATATTATAGAACTCAAGGATCAATCAGAGGAGAGTTCGACTTTGGGCTAGCCCCCTATGACGGGCGAACGGCCTAGCGATACGCGGGGTACATGTTCGCGAGACCGGGAACGCCCGCTGTCGAATGTCTTGATATGAGTATAGATAGACTATTACTGAAGAGGAATGCGGAGAGCGATGTCCGATGGAACATGAACGCATATATGGCGGCAAGATACAAAATGGCTATGGGTGGAAGAGACACCGAGGAGAGCGTTCATTGCACGGGAGGGTTTGGGACGTAGATTGCCTATGTACCTGGAATCCCCTCGTTTTACATATAGTGCACCAAACTTCGTAGTATGGCTAGGTACATGCTACTGTTCACTTTGCTTCGATGTATCAGGCATGGCAGCACACCTGCGTCAGTATCCGTAGATATGTCTATGCTGGTTATTATTACCTGATAATACGTCAATATAGAAGACATAGGATCACCAATATGAACAAGGGTTATCTCGGTACTGGCCTACTTGATTGGGCCTGGTAACTACCAACTAACTACCGCATTCACCACTTGTATTTAAGTCACTTGTGCATTCTATCATTATCTAGCATGTTCATGATATGGAGATTCTGCGCAACTGGTTGCCTCGAACAGGACTGAGGGTTACACGTCGATCAAGATGATACCTTAGCTCTGGCTTCTCCTATACCAATGATTCTAATTGGAAACTAGGAGCGCATTTCGGCGCAAACAATACCCCTGAGAGGAAACGCCCAAATATGGTAGCCGGAAGATAAGATACTACAGATATTCAATTTTATGAAGCGTTGTCGTGGACACTCTATATCACCTCAAACTCCGCGGACACCTACCCAAGGCAGTAGCCCGATATCATATTACCAAGTCTTGAGTAGCCCTCGCTTGCTCCCGAGCCTACTCAACAGCGTGCGGCTGATGAAAGTCTCATATCACAGCTGCCCGCAACGACAGGTACCAAGCCACATGAAAGGAAATCTTCCCCCTTTTTAGCCTGAGGCAGGGGGGGCTGCGAATAGATGGGATCGGCGCTAGCGAGATCGGTCTTTGCGCTGATTCCCCCACGGCGCAAGAGGTCTTGGCCGGTGTTGAAAGCCACATTCACTTTGTCGCCCGCCGGTCCTTGATAGAATGAGAATCCAACTGCGACGTTGGAATGCTACCCACATAACCAACGGCAGATGGAAGATTTTATTCCTTTAGAGTCGTAATCCGCGGTATTGCCGACGTTCCAACATATTTTCATTGGAACATACTTCGATACCTATAACTACCTGGCTTCCAGTTGTAGTAGTAGATACCTGCCAGTAACCGTTTAGTTCAGTAAAATACGCTGATATTGAAGACAGTACACCAAAGAGAATGCTCATCGAGAATAGCGATATAGTTTCCCTAGAACTGGAAGCCACCCTTGGTGGCACAATAACCCTGGGTTTGGCCGAGCCGAGGGTTCAATTCCTCGGTCTCGCACTTTTAGAGTTTTTAAAACTTTGCAACGTACAATTGAACCTGTCAACGATAAATTTCTATAGTCGGTAAACTTATGGCCTTCCCCTTTAGACTCGGGACGTGTAGGCGAAGCACGGTTTCGAAGTTGTGACCGAGGTCAATCTCAAAAAGGGGCAAGTTGGTTCTGAGGGTCTAGTGAAGAAGGATGGTGAAGGAGTCACTGTCTAGCCGATAGTATGGCGTTCTGAAAAGTCGCCAGCCGGCAGGTGGGCAAGAGCAAGAGTGTTTCTAGCCGCGAGCCCTGCACGAACTAAATGTAATATGTTGCATATGAGGGCATCCATAGGAGCATCTACACTCATGAGTTCAGGCTACGTGATCGTTAGCTCTGGGTGATAGAGGTTCAAGCTCCTACATTCTCTGTGTAAGGGAGCTTGTCTCTCATTTATCTGACAAGCCTTAGTTTCGTACAATATATGCTCTTATGTAGGTATGAAGTTGGTCGCTTGCAAATGAATTGTGGTGAGAAGATTGACCACCTCGTCGTTTCCTTAGTTGG